CTTTGAACCTTGCTGTACAGAACATATGTATCAAATATTTATTGAAAAAATCCAAGAGGAAAATTGTATCATGTTTGAATGTTTATCATTTCACTTTGCAAAAGTGTTTTATTGCCAATGTCCTGTGCTGCTTTGCACATGAGGGTCATATAAATATCGTCATCAAAATTTCAGGAAAACTGCTTATCAGTTCAAGTTGATATTTTCACATATGCAAGAGCAGATAAATGCCAAGATCTGATAGGTTTTGGGCATGCTGGGAAAATAAAATGTACATGGCATCCATTTTGCTCTTAAAAATGTGATATTAATCATTGTGTATCTTTTTATTTCAGAGTTAGAGTATGTGCCCAGTGAATATGTGGAGCCAGAAGACCCTCCTCCTTACACACCCGGGAACTACTTCCAGGACATTTTACAAGATATTCCTCCACCGATTCAGCAAAACATCACAACAAGGCGATCAGTATCTAATAGGAATAGGAATACTAACCAATCAGGTGTCAGAATCCAGTCACATGACCATGATGATCTCGGGAGTGATTATGAGGCGGATTTATCAGGAGCAATGGGAGGTGCCTCACTTAATTGAAAAATTGAATTAACTCCTGAGTGATCTTTAAACTTCCAAGGAAACTTTTATGGAAATGTAGGAGAGAAATTGTGATAATGATTTGAAATCTTTAGTGATGATGTTCCTGTTTTCCCCATATTTTCACTCTCTGATATTTTAGAAAGAGTGGAACCAACCCAGTATATCAAGGTATCCAAAATGGATTTTCTTTCTGCAAATGAATGTGATATTTTTATTGTTATTATTTGAATTTTGAATAATGAAGTTAATTTAATATTTACACTAGTCTCATTTTCCAGAAATTCCACACAATTTCAATGATGCAATTACCCTTTGCATTCGTTCGACTTCACTTCTTAAAAGATAGCTTCGTCTTCATATTAGTTTATAAACTAGACTCTGCGTGCAGGGTATGATGCAATATTATGGGTTTGAAGAAATATTAATCTTATGATGCTTGAATATGCTGGCATTGCATGCTATTCAGTGATCCCTCAGTTTTTCTCAATAGGGTGCTAAATCATCATTTTATTTATTTCAATATTATATTCTTTGACAGGGTGAAAAAAGATTTTCAACATTGTGGCATGTAGTTTTTGAATTTTTAACGACGTAGTACTTTGTTTCTACAATACTGGGAAGACATCAGTTCTCATGTGAACATTCTACCTGATTATGTAAAAATGGAGTGAATTTGATCTTTTATTTAAAGTACTAAAAAGGTGTATTAATCATAGAGGGATTGTTCACATTAATGATTGGTGATAACATGGTTGAATTAATTGGTTAAATAATCAAGTTGTGAAATCTGTGTAAGTTGAACATTTACAGGTCACAAAGGGGGACTAGGTTGTACATATAGTCTAAAATGTTATACAGTAGAACCTGTATATCTGAACACATGGCTAATCCGAACACCTTCCAATTTGAACACTTTTTTCGGTCCCATTTTTTCCTCCCATTGACTCCCATGTTAAATAAACGCTTTTGGCTGGTCCCATGGGTGTTCAGATTAGACAGGTTTTACTGTATATGTTATGTTTAACATATTTGACACCGAGAGGTGTTAAGCTTTGCATGTTTCCTGTATTTGGAGTGCAATCTTTAATAATACCATATGCAAAACAATTTGGAATGAACTCAACTTTTTTTAAGCATGAATATCTCATATTAGTTAATTTTTGAAATTTTTTGTTATGTATTTGTTTTATTCTTGTTGAGTCTGTCACATTCATGAACTCTTACCAGCCTACAGTAGAGTAACACTCACCTTTTCCAGGTGCACCAGGGAAATGAACTGCTACGAGCAAACGTTGAAAAGCGATATAGTCTACTACAGTCTGTTTATTACAGATGTTCATACCTCATCTGATAAAATGAGATAGTCAACTACAGATGTTGAAACTTCATCTGATATAAAACTGTTAGTTGCTCTAATATAAAATGAATTGATATACTCTATGCACATAAAGGTCAAACTGATGCCCCGTCTACTTACTTTGGCTTTGCATACTTTAATTATTGTAATATTTGCATTAAACTGTAAAATTAACACAGGGAAAATATTTTGTGTTCATATGAAAATCAAGTGATTTAAAACTCAAAATATTGTAAATTGCCAAATTGCTAAATTGGTAGGAGTCCAATATTATCAAGATTATTAAGTGCAAGATTATAGCACTTAAAGCACTGCGTAATGGTACTCTACTGTGTAGAGGCTAATCACATTGTGGGATAACTAACATTGTACTATTAGACTATATTTGGTGGTACTATTAGACTATATTTGATGGTGATTTGGATTCAATTTTAATTAATTATTTTGATGAATTGCTAAATGGCAAATAAGATTTATATTTTTTTTAAAAATTTGGTGAACATTTTTGAGGACTGATTGAAACAAGATACACATAAAGACAAAAATGTATGTATACAGGGTGTTCCAAAAGTAACAGGACTGTTGCTGGCATTTTGTTAAATAAAAATTTTATGTATCGTTACTAAGACTGCAAAGTTTTGACAAAATATATGCAACTCGGGTAGAGTTATGGTTGCTATAGTAACATGACATCGCAATACCCGGGGCAACATTCCACGCAAACAGTTACAGAGGCATTAAGCATGTTGTACATCCCGTATCATTTTGTACATGCCGTATCAAAGTTGAAATGCAACAACTGGTGGGAATTACATTTGTTTTACATAATTTGATGTTCCTATGTATCCTTTACTTTGAAAAATAGGCTCCTCTGTGGTCAATACAAGAGTAGTACTCTGTATCCATGACCCAAACACATGAGTGAACCCATTTGAGGACATGTCATGCAGGGTCGATTGGATGATTTGGAGAAGGTCATTCTCATATTTAAGGTCTTACAGCACTGATCAGCATTCCGTTCTCAATATAAGTAATAATAAAAATTAGAAATTGCATGATCAGAAGAGTATGGTGCATTTTTTTAGACCTCAAGACCTAGCTCCTCTTTAGCTGCATGGTCTTAAATGGTGACCTGCGGGCAGGCGTGCTATCAAGGTGGATGACTGGCTTCAAAATGGGTCTTTTCAAAAACTTAACCGTGAATTGTTCAGACTGTAATACATAGTGATATTCGAGGAAATTAAATAAATATTATTATCATTATGAAATTATACTTGAATCTGAGTTGTATAGCAACATCTTTACAACAAAGCAACTAATAAAATAAACAAGAAATGTTGTGTTATAATAGGTGAGCTAGATACTTTCTTCAGTAATACAAAAATGTTAGATATCACATTTTCAGGGAAAAAGTTGCCCGGGTATTGGAATGTCATGTTACTATAGTAACCATAACTCTAACTGCATTTCATCATTTTTTCTGAAACTTTAGAATTTTAGTTGCAATACTTCAAACTACAATTTGTGAAAATTTGAAGAGACTCTGTACAAAATTGACAAAATGCCAGCACCAGTCCTGTTACTTTTGGAACACCCTGTATGTCTCTAATAAACATGCAAGACATTCTGGGTGGTACAGATCTTGGAAGAGAAAATCTGACAAATAGAAAGTGATTTATCCTAAGACAAAATAAGCCATTCTTTACAAAGGCATAAAAATAATCATGATTAAAACAAATGCAATACAGCACCTAAATTGTCAAAAATATGATATATGTTCAGATTATGTCTGGTGTGTTTCATTTCAAGTTGAGGATCAGTTTGAAAAAATGTTTGAATAGAATTACTATTTCTATTTCACGACTCAGTGAGTTCAAATGATATTTCAAATAATTTGCGAGTCCAGTCAGAGACATATAAAACATGGTAGGATGAGGACTTTTACGCTTTATATTATGATGTGGTCGGTATGTTTCTCAAAATATCTTAAATTATGACTTGTTATAATCAACTATTTTATGAATTTGAATGATAAAGTTTCATCACATTTTCTTCAGTAAAAATCAGTCATCTTTTGAAAAAATGCATAATCCAAAGTATTGTATGAAATGTATTTATTAGTTTCTCAATGGATTTAGAGCAATACTGTATGTTAAATGTTGATATATTATATATTCTTGACTTATCTACACCCATATACCATAAGATTATTTATACATTAACATCAGTGTCAAGATGGACTATTTTCTATGGACACATATGCATATGAACTATACATGTAATAAAGTACCATTATGTATTAGTACAAAAATAATACCTAGTTTTTTGTTATCCAGTATATTAGTTGTTATCAGGTGTATTACTAAATTGAACCCCTTTGCATCATTTTTTTGTGATGCACCAAGGTGCTATCATCATCAATAGTGTCATTCCTTTCTGGATTTTGACTATCTATTTTTATATTTGCACTTGCTATATTGATTTCTATCAAGATCAGATAAGTAAAAAATACCGACTTGGGCAAGGCTAGTGTATTACAAGAACATTCTTATTGCATGTATATCTAATATTTTTTTTAATTAATCGTCATCAAAGAGAGAGGCATCATATGGCAAGAACCCTGTACATGCAGATGTTCCACAGTGGCATACTTTTCTATCAACAGATATTGTGTCTGTTCTATTTACATCAATAGATTTCACTTGATCATCAAAACATACTTCTTTTGATTGAACCCCTTTAGAATCATCCTTCTGTGATGCACCAAGGTGCTTATCATCATCAATAGTGTCATTCCCATCTGAATTTGGATTATCCATGTTTGTACTAGTTATAACCATATTTGTTGCATCTCTGCTCGCAGAATCCTCATTTGTTTTAGCAGTGTTTTGTTCCATGTTTACAGTTTCAGTCTCACCATCCTCATCTATATCACCTTCATTTACAATGTACAGTTCACCAGAGTAATTATAACACAATTCCTCACCTTCTTCAATATCTCTAATGGCAAAGAGTGCAAGATGAGGTACCGAATTGTCCACACGTACTGGCAACATGGCTAAGTTTGGCATGCATGAGTGATTCATGAATCTGCCCACATTGCCAACATTTGTAGGATCAATATAAGTTTTAAGGATGTTTTCCCCGAGGTGCTCTTTTAGAGTTATGATATAGTTTGAATCAGTTTTGTGCTTCAGTGCATGAGTTCTCCTTCTTGCTTCATTGTGGGTAAGGAATTCACCAGCATATTCGCACACAAATGCATTTTTGGGAATTGTCTCCAAAGTTTTCAGTCCATATCCCTTCCATTTGGTAGTAAATGCTGATACTTTATATTGGAGTCCATTTTGTACTACTCTGTTTGAACAGTTAGTGTTACATTTACATTCTTTGTTACATTCATATATGGGTTTCATTGTTTGTGATTGTAGGAGCCCATGAATCAGAATTTTAGACCCCTGATATGTGGGGCCAAATCTTGTAATACAGGGGCATTGTTGACCACATATTTCAGCACACTGACATCCTTTGTACTGTTCCTCAAATGGCTCCACATCTGTTCCTGGACCGGGTATATTATGAGGTACATAAGAGAAATTATTTAGATCATTCTGATAGTCATCGAAATAGATGGCGTGTCTTTCTCTTCCACAGGAAATATCAAGTTGGGACATCATTTTATTATTTTCCTTCCTTTGTCAAGATGCCAGTATTTCAATCCTGAAAGCATAAAGACCAAGCATCTTGGAAAAACATGATAGACTTAATGAACACAAGTGGGGAGAGATGGTATTGTGGAATACAAGTTTGAGCGAAAAAGTAACATGAAGTGTGGAAAAAATTGGAATATTAGAGGTCACAAAAGGAATGTTATGGTTCTTGTCTGCAAGTATCATAACAGTTTTTATGTGAACCAATAGAATTCCTTGGACAATTGGGGTGTGAAGCTGATAGCTAGGAACTTTCCCTGGCACCTCACTTTGGACCAGTACATTAAAGACATAAGTTCTGTTAGACAATTATTCAAATAAAAAATTCAAAATTTTAATATAATTAACATGCAAAAAGTCACCACCTACTATTACAGATGCCAACTGCGGAACAACATCCACAAAAAGTTAGAGACCATTTCAATTTATGTCACCACTTGTGGTTGGGACAACCCATGCCACAACTCTAACAATGTCAAGATATTGGCTTGAAATGTTTAGCACATGCTGTTTTTTTTAATTTAAGACTATTGGACTGATTGCACTAAGAACTTATAATTTGCTAGGTCTAGTACCCCTATTTCCTTTAGTCTTGCATCAAGCCCCTCTATCTCCCAAAACTTTCTAACTAAGGCCTGAATAAACTAGAGGGGGTATTGAAACAAGGGTGGTGGTAAAGAGGGAGAGACATACAGCAGTAAAAAAGGGGGGTAGAGAGAGAAGGGATAGAGTGGAAATTAAAGGGAGCAGAGATAAAGGGGAATGGTAAAGATAGATGGTGAAGAGATTTGATGCAAGACATTGTTTTGTGGCCCTGACAATTGTTTTTCATGATAATGTGTTCATCCTTTTCTTCAATATATTGCGAAACAAACTAAATATTTTGGCATGTACATATCTTTATTAGAATTCATCAACTAATTATGATATTGTTAAATGCACATGTGCAAACATTAACAAGCTACATAAGTTAAAAAAATATTATTTGAAGTACTCAGTTCTTAAAAATATTTGCCTGCAAGTAATCTTTACATTTTGAATTAATAAAACTAAATAGTTACAATTATTCATGCTTATCTTAAGAGAAACTGACATTCAATGTTACATTCTCCAATCTCCACTTGGCAATATACATGTAATACCACATTACAAAAGTCAAACATACATGTTCTCCATTTTCATACGCACTTAGATGCATGATAATAACTATTAACATAAATCTGTTATTCATAATCACAACTTGTACATCTACAACAACATGTGAAATATTATTGTGTCAAATGTTGCCAGCACATAGAATTGGATCATTTATAAAATCACAGCAAATTGAGTATAAAATCTATAATATCACGGTGACTATCCAGGCCCCGTATATCTCGAGCAAGTACCTGCTTACATCGCGAGCAATAAGCTCATGTTAGAAGCAGGGAGATATGATAAAATACAGTTATAGTTGAAGAATGACGTTGCCCTGCAATTGAAATAGCCATTGTACTATGAAATAAAGTTGTTCTGAGTTTCACTTACTAAAGTTCTATAGAAACGTTTATATTTCAATTTCATCATATCTCTTGAGGCCCCGCTTCTAACACGAGCTCATTGCTCGCGATGTCAGCGGGGCCTGGATAGACACCGTGTAATATGGCACTAAAATTAATTTAACATGTTACACACAAAAATATATATTCCTCAACAATTCAACAGGACATAATATGTATAATTATATAAAATATGTTTTCATAAAATTCAATGTATTAGAAATTTCAATGCAATCTTTCATGCATTTTTTCAGACTTGATTTAGTAAACTATGTACTGTACAGCACATATGAAAACTAGGTGTATATAAAACCAGTATGTACATATATGAGTACAAGTCCCTTTAGGAAATCTTGAGTATATAACAACGAGTATAGATATTTACAAAATGTGTAAGCATGATATCAAAATAATCTATGTATCAAATAAAAAAACTACTTTTTCATTTGTTTTTGATAAAATAATTAAGTGATCAATAAATCTCAATGCGATTCCAAATAGAAATAAGTACATGAATAACACTTTCATTATAAAACCAAACTTTTTTAAATGTGTGATTGTTGTTACACATCATTTTGAGTCCTCTTGTATGTTCTTGAAGCTTTTCTGCCATGTTTTTTTTCGAAGTTTGACTTCAGAATTAACATGGCTGAAACTCTCAAAACTTCAAGAGGTTACAACTATCCTACAAAATATACTTTAAAATCTCTGAAATGAATATATTTTAGTCTTCCAAATATGTTAGTAACTTTCTATTTAGAATCACACTGGAGTCCACTGACAACTTCTTCAGCTATAACTGTTTAACAAATCTGAAATAACCTTCAGATATTAATTGAAAAATCAGCATCGATAACAATGTTATAATTTATAACAATGAAATATTTTGGTTAACATGGTTATATTACAATCCTCCAAACACATATAGTTAGACATCCACAAAGTTTTTCCTGTGAATGATGTCTGGATTGTGTTCAGAGAAACAAGCATCAGAATAGTCTGCAATCGGCATCAATAGACTTTGACACAAACTTGAAAAATTGGTCACATAGTATAATTGACAAGTAAAAATAAAGGACCATGCACCTTTAATCATTTTAAAAGGCACTTAATTAATTTATGTGAGCAAATTGCATAGTGAGAGAAGGGAATGTATCAAAGACTACGGATGGTGTAAGTTGTCCTGTGCATTTTAAGTGATAACACACCCATATCAAAGGTGATACCACTAGGGGTTGAGCTAGGTTCTGAGAGCAACTGGTCAAAATGGTATTAAGGACCAGTTGCCATGTTATTTTCCTATAGCTGTTCAACTGTTCCGTATCAAAAGTGACTAAGCAAATGACCAGTGGACTGGCCCTTAGCTCAAGACCTGGGTACTGGGTGTTCAATGTCTTAGCTTAGAACTGAACTTTTTTTAATGGGTGACATTTCTGTTGTGTTCCCTGTCCTTATACAAATTAGAGTACCTCTGTTCCACATGAAAGAATAAATCCCGATATCCATGAGGCCATCTATGGACGAGTGACTTTTTAGCACGACTGCTATTATCTGTTATAGGTGGCGTTGCCATCCAGCAAGGGACATGCTTCATATCCCCACCAGGAAATAACAATGGAACGAAGCGAAGATTGTTATTTTGGTGCTGTTGGTATTCACGTAGCATTTTCTGATAGAGATAGCGTGTGGGATTTTGTGCATTATTGTTGTTTTGGCGATTTTTAACATCAGCAGCATATTTAGGCGAGATACAGACAATTATTATATGAGCCTGAAAAACATGAAAGTATATGAAATCAAAATACATATTTATATCCATATATATGGAATATGATGTACAGTTTATATTCAATTCTATGTGGTTTCTATATCTACCACGCAGAAATCAATAGAAAAGCATATACATGTACATATATTTAGCATCTCAGGTCTGTCACATGCTTTGATAATTCAGTGATCTCTTTTTCTTGATAGGGCGCTTAATCCTAATTTTACATAATATTTGGGAGAAAATCTCATTTTATCCTTTTCACAGGGTTTGAGCTAAGGGCTGATCCACTGCACTGGTTATTTGCCAGGTCACTTTTGTTACAAACTAGTTGTTTTTTTCAGTCGGAAATAACATGGCAATTGGTCTGTAATGCGATTTTGACTGGCTGCTCTCGAAACCTTAGCTCAACCTCTGTCGGTAAAAACATATTTTCAACAGGATAGCATTTAATTTTTGAATTAAAGCACCCAGTTGCTTTGCTGCAGAGATCATTTTAGTTCATTATCAATGTTGCATTCATATTTTACATACCTTTGTAAACCTTGTGTCCAGCCAATCTTTTAAATCATTTCTTTCCACGAATCTCTCCAACATTTCAGCACTACATGCAAAGTCGTTGTCCCGGAGACACTTACATAATTGCAGGACATTTTTCTCATGCTCTGGGTTATCGCAAGAGTAAGTCACCAATATCCTTGCACCTCTTGAAACTGTTGGAAAAAAATAAATTTTCTTGAAAAATAAAATAATCTTGATCTTCCTAAATTAAATTGCACCAACCTTTTAAGAATATGATACAAATATTCAATTCTATTGAGGTGCATCTTTCACAAGTGATATTCCACAAAGCCCAAAGGGCAAGAGGAATATCATCTTGAGAAAGTGTTACAGGTATTCACAGAAAAGAGAATTAAATATGTTTTATTACTCGCTGTTATATTCCCCACTCACATTAATGGATTAACAAATTATTGATGTCTAATTAATCATAACAATGTACTAGGGATATCTAAAAATAAAATTACATTGGACTAAGGTGTGACTGGTGAATATCATTTGATATTCAACGGAAGTGACTTTTGTTGAATATTGCTTTTTATTTTTTTAGTCATGTGTAAGAATTGGATCGATCAGAGAGTGAGGAATATGACAGTGATATAATTTTTTTTATTGTTGATTTCAGACTAACAGATCAATTGGGATATAACAACAAACGACAGGGCATTTACATGCAATATGTCACCACCTGCCATTTGTTACAGACACCATTTGTGACAGTGATAAAATAAAGCTGAGTATAGATATGGATGCAAATACCATATCTACCTGTCATCATCTGTCACATTACTAGTAATTTAATCATCATAGGAAATATTCCTGATAACTGACTTTATGACCCTAAGAATAGAATAATGAATTTATAACAAACAAATCTAATCTAGAAAGAATGTAATACTAAATTATTATAAATGAGTCAAATCACTTTTGACCTACGCGCTGACCTTTCTTCCACCAATCAGCGAGCTTGAAGAAGCATACACCAAATGCGTTCTAATTAAATATGCGCATGTCATTGGACAATTCTGTGCTCAACAATGATGTCAGTAGGAATGACCATATATAGAACGTCGGTCAAATTTGGCCAACGAACACTGATTGGCGCGATGAGTTCACAGGTTTATTTTAGTTTGAAAGAGTGGAGACGAAGCTCTCTTTTAAGTGAAGTCAAACGAATGCAAAGGGTAACAACTTTCTGAAGTGAAAACAACAAATTTCTCAAAAAACATGATGATTCTGAAATGGCGGTGACAGGTAAAATAGATGTCCATGGACAGCCATGAAATTAATATAGGCATGACCTAATATGAATAGCAGTTTTGTTTTACTTAATTAGTTCAACCACTGTAGACAGACAGACAGACAGACAGACAGGCAGATAAATGGACAGATGTCTATTTTGATCACAGACTCATTGTTTGACCAAAATAGAGCTAAAACATGTTTAAGTAAAATAGCATGAAACATTTACAAGGTTTGTCATCTTACTGTGTTTGAGTTCAATTTATATTGTAAAGAACATTATATTTGCCAAAAAAACATTACAAAAGGAAAGAATGTAATGCTAAATTATTATAAATGAATCAATTTTATGAAAGTAAAGTTTTTGTGTTCACCATCTAGTTACCATGGTAATGCAGTTCATACACATAATGCAGTACATATTAGAGGTGTCAAGTATTAACCGGTTAACCGGTTAACCGCCGATAATGCCTTGACCGGTCTGAGTTTTTATGGGCGGTTAGTTGACCGTGTATAATTCTGTTATTTCCCGCGCTTATTTTGCATGCTAATCCGTTTGGTTTTATGGTGTCAGTTTCACGTAAGCTACTCATACATGTCATAAGTCCCATAACTCCTTACAAACATCCAATCAGCAACTTTAATCCCTGCCACATTGCTTTCCCGCGCTTACTTTGCATTTTAATCTGTTTTTCAAGTGTCAGTTTCATGTGAGCTACTCATAGATGTGATAGGTCCGATAATTCCTTACAAACATCCAATCAGCAACTTTAATCCCTGCCACATTGCTTTCCCGCGCTTACTTACATAGAATAGCGTAAAGCTTGACGAACGTAAAAAATAAACGCCGATATATCATTTTTCCAATTTTTTTCAACTTTCAAGATCGAAGATGAAGATTTCATTTGAAATTATAAGTTCAAATTTCCCGCCGGTTAACCGACTTTAACCGGTAAAAACCCCCGGTTAACCGGTTAATGCTCAAGCGGTTAATTGACACCACTAGTACATATACATAGATAATAAATAACATTATTTACCTCTCCTAAGGGTTCCTGTGCCAACATTCCCTGGGGTGGATTCTGCAGGGCTAATCTTTGAAGACTCCACCAAGGGATGGCTTGTATACTTGGGAAAAGTGTTTGCATACTGCAATGGCTTTGGATTCTCTGAAGTTCTGGATTTAACCTGATTGTGTTTTGTGGCTTGATTCGTATGGACTGGAGCCTGCCTAGTTGCTTGATATTGGTCGTGTCCATTTTGTTGATATGGGACTCCGACTAGGTCTATACCCTGGTTGTGCTGAGATGACATCCCATATTTGTATGCTTGGGCTTGTTTATGGTAAGGTTGCCTTGAAGATTGTTGTTTCATAGCATATTTCGTATGATCGACATTAGGGTCACCATGCAAACCCTGGTTGATGTTTTGTGGGTCAGTGGCATGATTCAACTGCCAAAGGGTACCATTGTAGCCCTTTGTACTGCTAGTGCTAGACATACCGCTAAGATTTCTTTCGAGAGTAGAGCCAAAGTTCTCTATTTTTATGGATGATGGAGAAAAATTGGAGTACATTGATTCTAAATCAAGACTATTGGTGTTGCTATGAGCCTCTGTGTTGGGGAACACAGGAGACGAAACTAGTTCTGAGGGTGGGTCAATATCCATTGCTTCCTCCAGTTTAGTTGGGCTAAGGTCATTGTGTGGAGTGACCTCAACCTCAGCCCCAACATTGGACATATCATGACTCTGCACTAAGAATGATGACATAGGGGGTAATGGATTCAATTTGGGGCTAGTTGTGACAACGTTACCTTCCAATGAATTACTTTGATACTTTGTTTCTATATATCCAAGCTGTTGATCCCTTGTTGCAGCCTCATGTTTTACAGAGTGGGCACATGGAGGTTTCCCTTCAAGCTTAATATCATGATCAGCTCTACGGAGGTCAATAGGCAGATCACTTAGTATCGGGACTGGAATGCCTCCCCTCGGACTATCAGGATAGGATGGGCTAGACTTAACCACAGTAACTGATCCACCACTCGTACTATTATATCGCAATGGTTTTGTATATGGTGTAAAAATGGCAGTTGTTGTGGGCACTTCATTTTCATTACTTTCGATGTATTGTTTCATTTGAGTATCCCCCTGGTTGTAAAATGGTATACTGTTGTCACCTGTGTTATTTTCATTGTTTAAAAGTTCCATCATTGATGAGTAACTATTTTGTACTGGCTCGTTGTTATGGGGCGACTGTTGCGCATTTATTGGAGATACTTGATGAGCAATGTCATTAAGGTGACCAGGGTGTCCCTCTTCGGTATTGTTAGACTTATCTTTATTTTCCACCACTAGCTTAATAACAGCATCTTGTGTTGTCATGGTAACGGAAAGTTGTGATGAATAGGGAATTCTTCGAGATCCCTCTGAATGCTCAATAGCAACTTTGGGGGTGCTTGGTCCATTCGCACCAATATTCGATGCATCTGTCATATTCTGATTACCATGACAACCATTATTATTGTTATTAATCCCCAAATTGGGACTATGAGTCATATTCTGAAGACCCCTTGAACTGTTAATATCTGTAATATTATTCACCTGTTCACCAATACCAGATGATACTGTATTATCTTGAACTGGAGATTGTTTAGAGGGTGAGAGTGGTCCTTGCTGGTTGAGCTGGCTATAACCTTTGGAATCATTAACACCAGGATTGGAATCCAAGGGTGAGACTCTTATTTGTTCGACTGAGCCCCCTGAATGTTGTGTTGTAAATGTGCGTTGTTGCTCTAATTGTGACCTCTCCCTATATTCCTGGCGAATACCTGTAATGTTGATATTATTGATAGCTTAGTATTAATAGACTGCATGGTCATGTCATGACAACTTATTAATAGTCAACTTATTTTAGGAATGATAACATGCTTGTTGCCATCACAACAAACTTGATTTATATAAAATTAAACAGCATATAAAAAAAATTAAATATAGCTCGCTTTAATGCAGCCACTCAGAAAGGCTTATCTGTTCAGGGTTTTCACTAGAATTTCTCACAACAGGTTAAGTAAATGAAAACAATGGGCAAAATTAATGGAAATCATAAATCTAACATGTTACATTCCAAGCTGAACAGTATATGCTAACACTGTATTTGAAATTTTGAATATGGGCTAAGATAGAAGATGGAAACCGATTCTTTGTTAAAAATCTCTGTATTACAAGGACATACACTCAGATACTTCTTTATGGTACAAAATATTTCAAATCTCAATAAATATTATCTCATTAGTAATCTGATATGACTCTATCATCAAGTTTCTGAACCCCCCCCCATCTCCCCTTTGTTTTACTTCACCTCTTGTGCAACTGAGGTGTTGTGGGGGATCCAGGCAAGTAATTCTGTGTGTGGTTCCTGATTCCTAATATATATGAACTTATTCTCACAAAGGACCAAGAGACCTGTACCAAAATGTGACTTTTTGATATCAAATTTGCCAATTTTTTAAAAAGCAAGATTTGGAAAATTACAATGACAAACTAGAACAAAGTCAAAGTCAAAGTCCAACTGTTGTGAATTTAAACTACACTCTGCCTAGTAGAGACCAAATTACAGTTAAGTAGCCACGCCCCCACGATGGGTACCGGTGACAGTTTGGGTAATAAATCACTTTTGACCTACGCGCTGACCTTTCTTCCACCAATCAGCGAGCTTGAAGAAGCATACACCAAATGCGTTCTAATTAAATATGCGCATGTCATTGGACAATTCTGTGCTCAACAATGACGTCAGTAAGAATGACCATATACAAATTTGGCCGACGAACACTGATTGGCGCGATGAGTTCACAGGTTTATTTTAGTTTGAAAGAGTGGAGACGAAGCTTTCTTTTTAGAAGTGAAGTCAAACGAATGCAAAGGGTAACAACTTTCTGAAGTGAAAACAACAAATTTCTCAAAAAACATGATGATTCTGAAATAGCGGTGACAGGTAAAATAGATGTCCATGGACAGACATGAAATGAATATAGGCATGACCTAATATGAACAGCAGTTTTGTTTTACTTAATGCAGGCAGACAAATGGACAGATGTCTATTTTGATCACAGACTCATTGTTTGACCAAAATAGAGCTAAAACATGTTTAAGTAAAATAGCATGAAAAATTTACAAGGTTTGTCATCTTACTGTGTCTGAGTCCAATTTATATTATACAGAACATTATATTTGCCAAAAAACATTACAAAAGGGTCACAGTGACTCAAATCTTTTTAATGTTTACTCAACCTGTTAAAATTATGTGTGAAATGAATGCAGTATTGAATTCAGACTGTTTTGATGTTTTCCAATTTTCATAGCCTATTACTGACGCATAAATTAGAGTATTCAAAAGCATGTTTATTTCAAATTACAGACCTAATAGATATACTGTATACCATGGTAATTCAATCTTCAAAAATAAGCCCATAGTGTATATGTACGTGGATGTCATTAAACCAGAGAGGCATTTTGAGGAGCGGGTCACATACACATTTAACATAATTGACTTACTAAATGCTACCCTTCACAAAAGCTAAACTTTACCTGCTGTCTTTACATAAGTGACACTTCTTTGATATTGCAATTATAAATCAGATGTACTCAGAGAACAATAATATTAACAAACTTCCATAAAAGGCCATGAAAGCTGCATTCGAGATCATTAAGATCTCACCAACAGTCAAACTGTAACATCAATAATACTAAAAACTTCATTATAGCGGGCAACATAGTGAAATCTTGAAGGGTCACTGAAATGAGGTTATTGGTATATTGGACTCAAGACTTACTTTCAATTTGTGATTCAATGATTCTAATACAGTCTTTCCTCCCAATTCTTGTGAGAGCTTCAAGAACTTCTTCTAAGGAATGTTGATCACCCCTTCTCACATAATCTTCAAACAACTTCAAAGTATTGCTTCCCCCACATCTTTGCAGAGTTTCCAAATTCTGAAAAATGTTGTGTTCTAGTTATTGGTGGAATCAAGAGTTTTCAATTGTACAAAATTTATATATTTTTGCATTTTAAATCAAAAATTACTTCAACAATAAGGATATAAATGCACTGACCATAATAAGCCAATGGGTACATATCTAGTAAAAATTAATTGTATTATTTTAATTATACTGTAATCATAGGGCTGGTCAAGAAAAAATCTTAAAATGTCTTCAAACAAATAACAAGGCATTTATTACATGTAAAATGTCACCATCTACCATTTTTAATAGACGCCAACCACCGACCACCAACCACCACCCACATAAAATTGGAGACTATAACATTATGTCAGCATTTTTGGTGGTGACATAACAAACCAACTCACAAGTAGATCTTCACCTAGGCCTACCTTAATCTGTAAAACTGTATACTTAAGCTCATGGGCCAAAGCTCTCCAGTTCTTCCCACTTTCCGGGTTCAATAATTCTGCCAATGGCTCCCATACGTTACTATAGAGATGGCTGTCGAATGGAATGCAGTCAGACATATTGAAATTGCACTCTTGTTTTTCTATTCACGGGGCGAAGTTTTATGGAGTTACAGTACCGACGAAGTCCTTATATGTTCTATTTTAGTATTGTATTTACTGGTTGAAGCCAAAGGTGAATTATGTTCACTGCTGTTTACTTTTGGACACTTCAGTCTGAAGTATCTGCAATATACAGATAAAACATATAAACTGCGTCATTAAATGATTCCAAGAAAACCAGAGATCTGAATTCTGAGAAATAAACAAGTTATTCGTATTTGGAATTATTAACATGTCTTTGTATTGCCATACTTTAGTTTGATTATATGGGTACAAATTAAAGTTAGGAATGGACTTAACATATTGGGTTGGCACCATGTAAAATGTGAACCCCCAAAACATGCCACTTATTTCTAAATTGATATGACATTAACCAGTAATATTTTTGAGTAAAAAAGAGAGAGCTACATATGTAAGACATGACATTAAACAACATGCCACTCAGTGTAAAAGAATTAAAATTTGTGCTGGAACACATTCTCTGAATATTAGAATCAAAAGAAAATGTTGCAAAATGAAGTACCTTTTTCTAAAGAAGAAAGAATTCTTTCAAATTCTCCAAATATGTTGCTTCGCGAATCTTGAACCATGTCTCGTTTGATCCGGTCCCTTGTGGCATACACCACATAAAAATAAATGATAAAGGTAAATGATAGTGTCAAAATTGGTACCATTATCACAAAAAGATGAAATGTTATAAGAAAATTTTGAAACCGCCATTGGATGACGTCATTTGTCTGTCTATTTGACCAATCAGTGATAATGTTTTCTAAATGCACATTTACACTATAGACATATGTCTTCTCTGAATCCTGGGGTTTGCCCCCTCTAATCAAGGATCAACTTATGAACATCAATAAGCAAAAACAATGTATAAAGATGCAAAGATTATATCTACATGCAAAAATATATACTAAAACATCCAAAAGAAACTTTGCTAAATAAAAAGAAAGGTAAGATATATGTTTGAGTAAAAAAACATGGGGCATTTTAAAAAAAATAAAAGTTTAATTCAGATATTTTTGCATCACCAGAATCCATTTGGAGATAATCACTGAGATGTATTGATTAAACGTGACAATACACATAGAATATCCCTGTTTGGCATGATAATAATTGGACCTGAATAACAAGTGTACATGTACATGTTTTTCTCAAATTGCCTACATGTGTGACATGAGCTGCAACATATAACCCTGATTGCAGGAGATTTTCTGGCACAACCACGGCCATGTTAAATCATGTGCAGGAGTCTGGCGTAACCATGGTACATTGCAATATTGTAAGTTGTACATGTGGTATAACCGTGACAATGCTAATTACAAGCAAACGACTGTGACAATGCTAAATACCAGCACAGTCTGGTACAACCACAGTTAAGTTGATCCGCGGCTTACTTTTGTTCTCTAACTATGTTATACATCATTACCATCCTTCCGTGCAAGTATTGGAGCGCTGAAGTACTTCCTTTTCGATCAAGACTTGTAATTGATAGTCGAGTGAATGTTTTTCTGCCAAATTCCAAAATGGCTTTTCTGCTCGGACATTTTCGTAAATCTCCGGAGGTTGTCAGAACCTAACTCGTTCTCAAAATTCATTTCGTTCGTTGCGTTTCTCGCTCCTAGCAAACCGCCATATTGAAAATGGGTCGAAAAAACATTTACTCTATGAAGAATTTACAAGTCTTGATCGAAGCGCTCCAATACTCACAGGCTGGTATCGAAATATTTGTCCGCTGTGACGGAGCATGCTATTTTTCATAAAAACACTAAGAATACTTCACGATATATTTTTTAACTAATATGTTTCGTTATACCATACAAAATTACTTACCCCATGCAATGGATATATCATTTGCGGGTAACTTTCACTTTTGTTTGAAGTCCAATTACGCTGGGAAGAAAAGCTATTGAAAATGGCGCCGGAGTATCATACTTCAAAATGTACCATTTCTTGTTTAACTTTCTAATGGCACGATATAGTGACACGATATTTACACATTGTTTCAGCATAACTATGAAGGTATAAATGAGATGTTGATGTATTTGGTCTTTTTAATTCTTTTATAAAAAATATTGTTTAATTTTTTTGTCCGCTGTGACGGAGCAGTTGCAAATGTGAACTGTGAAAATGTTCCGTCACAGCGGATAAAAAATATTAATATTATTTTTAATAAAAAAATTTAAAAGACCCAATGGATTAATATCTCATTAATACATTCAGAGTTATGCTGAAAACATATGTTAATATTATCGTGTCACTATATCATGCCATTAAAAAGTTAAAAAAGAAATGGTACATTTTAGAGTTTGATACTCTGGCGCCGTTTTCAATAGCTTTTACTCCTAGCGTTATTGGACTTCAAACAGAAGTGACGGTTACCCGCAGATGATATATCCATTGCATGGAGTAAGTAATTATCTTTGATATAACGAAACATATGAGTTAAAAAATAAATCGTGAAGCATGCTTAGTGTTTTTATGAAAAATAGCATGCTCCGTTACAGCGGACAAATCTTTCGATACCAGCCTGTGTACTTGCACGGATTGATGATACTGATGTAAGAGTACTAAGACACAGTTAAAAGTACCAAAAGTAAGCCACGGATCTCATTATTCATGTTTTAAAGGTCACTATTATTCAGCTGTCCAAGTGCGCCGCCACCGTGTTGTTCCAGAAAAATAGCATCTAACAAAACAAAAATATTACAATGTACCATGGTTACGCCAGACTCCCGCAGAAGATTTAACATGGTTGTGCCAGAAAATCTGCAATCAGGGCTGTCTCAGCTGCCACATGCAGTGATTTACACAGCAGTGCTTATTTCACAATAGTCCAACAACATTAGACCTAGCCCGGGCCTCGTTTCTTATCTGACATGTGTTATGGCCCGGCTAGGTCTAACCTCCATGACCATTTTGCCTTTGATGCGTTAATTTAATCGTTCAGCAGGTATCGACAAGCGGAACAAATTAAACCCTGAAAACATGGCAATATTACACAAAGAATGTGATTCAAACATGCATACATACCTTATAAACACATACACCCCGTCCCGTATCCCCCTTAGACCCTATTGATGCATAATTACGAAAATATTGGAGACAGGTTTGGAATATGACGAAAATGTCGGTCAGTTTCGGTAACATCGAAATTGCAAATCGTTTCAGGAATTAACCGTCATCATGGCACTGCATTAACGAACAGTAGGTTTGCAATTAATAACTATTTTGCGTGTATAAACGCGCTATATAAATTAATCAAAGATACGTGTTATCCTCAAAATTGATCTTTTTATCCCGAGTAATCGCGATAATAATTATCAATCTATTTGACAACAATTTCGTTTCGCTGGTAGTTTAATTTTACGATCCGGGACACTCAGACGAACAGACACAATGACGGACATGCGGAAATGTCACTTTAGAGATTGGTAAGTGTAGCCTCATTTTACTCGTATAAATGAACATTTAACACAAAAATATTGTGTTAAATCGCTTTATGTTATGTGTTTTTATATTATTGTCAAGTATCAGTTGCACGTTGTTATCGCGGAAAAATGGTTTCGATGGATTCAGAACTTGCATCAAAGGAAAGAATAGTAAGGAGGTTAAACTCAATAACGGCCCAAAGAAAATTCCTAATAATAAAGAACGCCGTTATTGAGTTTAACGACGTTGAACTAATTTCACAACAAACCTTGCTTCCTTGGTTGTCAAAAAATGATGCTGTTCATCAGTACAAAACAATAGTAATGTAAACGACAGATAAAACATTCCTTTGGCAGAAAGATCTCTGCCTCCTTATAAAGTAATCTAAACTTCTCTGAATTGAAAGTAAATAAAACTTTCAAGATCGAGTTTCTCAGAAAATAAATATTGTGAAATTCAGTGTTGATTTTTCAAAATCACCATAAATGCCCAAAACACACATGCCTTAAAGTACATCAAAATATTTATCATTAGTTTATACTCACAACATGTGTACTACCATTATGAACAAATTCCTAATTATTGTAGTAATCTGTGAAATGTTTGAAGAACTTTCAATCAGACTTTATGAAGCCATGTTGATTCACTTCTTAGAAAGAGACCCCTTAGCATAAACATGACCAAAGCTATTTTGCCGGGCTTTTGTTTAAAACCAAGTCCTTGTGCAATATATTTTTAAAATTCTAAATCTAATAAAATCAGCTCGAAGTTTATATGAATAACGTGTGGTTATCAATTGTGGTAGATGTCAGAGAATAAATGGGGATATGTTCAATATCAATAGAAGAGCTCTCTTTAAAAGGAGGTAAAAATTTCATAATTGGTGGGAAAACTCAAAAACTTTTTGTGCAGGAGTAAATTAAGTTACTTCAGTAAGAGCTTTCCCATTCACAAAGGCTGATGTAGATGTAGACCTAGTTTATAAGACAGTCTACAGTACCAGCATAGGCCAAGGGAAAAAAAGTAAGGAATAGAAGATACATTGAGATTCTATATTGAGCTACTACATTTCCCTTGGCCCAGGGGCTGATCTGGGAGCCAACAAGGGGGGGGGGGCAAATTTCTGGTCTGAGAAAAAAACTTCCGCGTTTGCACGCAAAAAAATTGATCATTCTTCAAAATTTGGCCTAAAATTAAAAATAAGGCCTTAGAAGGCCCATTTATGACCAAAAAGTTGGCTCAAAAAATTTTTAAGCCCAATTTTTTTTTCTGGGCCCATCCAAGGGGGGGGGGGGTGGGGGGTCAAAAAATTGATCATTCTTCAAAATTTGGCCTAAAATTAAAAATAAGGCCTTAGAAGGCCCATTTATGACCAAAAAGTTGGCTCAAAAAATTTTTAAGCCCAATTTTTTTTTCTGGGCCCATCCAAGGGGGGGGGGGGTGGGCCCCTGCCCCGCCCCCCCCCCCAGATCCGCCAGTGTTGCCAATGAGTACCAAACAGTATCCAAGTATAAACTGGCTGCAAATGATTAATTGATTTACATATACCTTTACACCTGTTTACAAAGCTATTCATGCTATTCTTTCTTGTCATGTTTACTTTCGCTTCTGTATTAGTTACTAGTATATCACATTTCGAAAAAATGTTTCTAGGCCCACCTCCCTGGATCCACCGATGCAGAAGTTGCAAATTTCAATGTTTCCAGGGGAGCAGTTGGATACCTGTAGAATGACATCCATGCATTATTTATCCCAATGATATGTGGATTCAATTTGATTTGGGTGAAACATGTTAAATCATTTGCCAAACCTTATTATGGTGACTTGATATTTGAGCCAAATTACAAGAAAAAGAGAACTTTAAGTTTTTATTATATTCAAGACCGAAAAGTGTCAGTGCTTGTGCATTCAACATGTCTTTAAATCAGTTTTTTCATTTGATCAAACATGATCAGGCAACTGAAATAGTGTGCAAGATGCTTGAATTTAAAACATAAACTGAATCACATGACATGGTACCAACAAGGCTATCTTTTCAGCTTGTGAATGTTTGTTTTCATTTTGTACAACTAGATAATGGCAACTCCGCGGAGTAGCAAATCCCAACGAACAAAATATCAATTACCGAATTCCAATCAATTATACTCATTAGTTACTTTGGTTAAAATTGAAAAATTTAGATTTTAGAATTGTGAATTCCTGCAAAGCAGCCATTTTGAAATTTCTGAGGTACAAATCTGAAAAATAATAACATAATTGTGATCTACTCCAAAATTCCTTCAATTTGAGTATAATATAGCCATACTTTGAAGGGATCGAAAAATGATTGCGAAATCGTACATTAGACGGCCATTTTGAATTTTACGAGGCTCGAATCAGAAAAAAGATACAATATTTGCAATCTACTCTTAATTGCCTTTCATTTGAGTATAATAAAGCTATACTTCAGAAAGATCTAAAAATTAGCGAAAATTTCTGTTTTCCTGACCCCCCATACACGGCCCCTGGGGGTCAGCATGAAAAACTCGGAATATATGTGAAATAGATAGATGTTGCGAATATACTACCAAAATTTCAAACAATAATATTAATTATTTTGGTTTAGAATGAAAAATTTATGATTTTTGCGAAAAAGTCCCGTCATTTTTAAAATGGCGGCCATCTTGAAAAAAATTTTTTTTGCGTAAAACTATTCATCAATATACATCTTTCCATAAAATATGAAGAAAATCCGTCCACTAATATTTGAGTTATCTTCCGGACTGACGGACGGACGGAGGGCTTTACTATATCCCTACCGAACTTCGTTCGTTGGGATAATTAAGGCCAAGAAGGTGCATGTTCAGAATGTTTCTGCATTCCTCTATGAATTGAGTCACATGTTATTTTTCAAACAGGAATCACCACTCCTTCCCCACATTGTCTATATCTTCCAGGGCAAGTAGTGATTCTAAGAAAAGTAACATGTGATCCTATCGAGGGTTGCAGCAAAATTCCGAACATGCATCTTGTCCTTAAAGGGGCAACAAGGCTGGTAGAGAGAAAATAGGGAGATTTTTAACTTTTTCTGAGCTATCAAGGCAACATTTGGCTTAACATCTTCTTTGATATACCTATTTCTGAAAATGCAAAGATAAACTATCAATTTCAGCATTAAGAAGTGTAAATTCAGTTCAAAGCTTCAAAAAGGGGAAATCCACTTTTATATTTTTAAGACCCACCAGGTTTCAAGAGGAATATCAGCTGAAATAATGTTTATCAAGGGGTTTCTTTGTAGATAATAAAAATAGATGTAAGTCTTGATGAAATATCCAAACTTATTAAATATATTTTGACATCGGTCCACAGGTCCATGATCGTTGAATTGAACTGAAAGACATAACTGCATAAGGACGACATTATTCAAAATTTTGTAGTGGCTTTACTTGCACAATTATCCCCAAGGTTACCAAGCTTCTTTTCTCAGTTCTAGTGACAGTTTCGAGATTTTAATTTAGGTCCCGATATTAACCCAATCATCTTAGTCTTTGCCTAAACTTTTGCTAGCGTTTCTCTTGGGATGTTTCTTTTGCTAGCATTTCTCTTGGGATGTTTCAGTGAGAGATTTAAGTAATATTAAGGTGGATCACAGAACTGAAGTATTCCTCTTGCAAAGATGTTCTACTCTTGGAGAGGTTCACCCCCCCAACATATTTTACTGGAATTAAAAATTTTATAAAAATTCAACTTTACTGCTCGGGTTTTAATGCTGGGAGATGCCAATAGGTTCTTTGAAAGGTTTTGAACATTTTGTTTTTGATTGCATATCTACTCTTGGGAGGGTGTCCACTTAACAGATTTGACTGTACTTCCTATTCAACATGTTCAAGAATTTCATAAAAATTCAGTTTTACTGGTTGAGTCAATGCTGAAAAATATGTTTTTTGGAAGGTTTTCAGTATTTTTTGTCAAGTATTTTACTGGTTGAGTCGTAATGCTGGAAAATATGTTTTTTGGAAGGTCTTCAGTATTTTTTTTTTTTGTCATTTCAATGTGATAAATACTAAGTAATAAATCTTCAAAAGATTTAAAGAACTGTTTAAAATATCCAATGCAGGGGTTTCATCATAAGTTTCTAAAATGAAAAACAGGCATTTTTGGAAATAATCATTTGAATATGAAAATGCCATACTCCAATCACCACAAAAAATGGAGACCATAACAATATGTCACCACTTGTGGAGGTGGTGACATAAAAATTGCCTGCTGCCTGTCACTAATGAACCATTGCAGTGCGAAACAACCTTCTCAGATAAAATAACCCAAAAATAAGCATCCATTTCCATGTACTTTTATTATTCCAGGCTTTAGCACAGTAGAATACCAGACATGACAAAAAGTTTTGAGAAAAAAGTGAAAAATGCAAAAAAATGTTCTTGAATTTGAATGTCTATCGCTTTCTGCGCATTTGGAGCATGTTCTGGCGCTTCCAGTTGGCACGACGGGATCCACCAGTTGTTTTGTTGTATCCATGTCCTTTGCCAAGACCCCTGGACTTCTTGCTTGCAGAGGTGAGACCGCGAAGTTCACGATGTTTCATCACTGGCTTGGTAATCCATTGGGTGTCTGGGTCACGACGGATAGCCTTGTGGAATGGGTCGACCATAATGACTTCAAAGAACTTGTAGCTGGAGTCTTCAGACACCCAGTAAGAGTTGAGTACACGGAGACCACCACATCGACGTCCAACTCTCTCCTGAAAATTGAATTATCTTTTAAATAGGGCCCTAATCACCTAAGAGCCTTGACAGATTAGGGATCAATACTACTGATCCCAAGTATTTGAAATGATCCTTGATTTACACAGGCCTTAGGCCAACCTAATATTTTAGAAAAGCACATTGTACATCAGAAAAGATAAATAACCATGGTTTTGTCATTTGTCCCTATCTAAGAAGTCATCATTTGTACAATAATTTTAACATTGCTTATTTTCTGCAACATTAACATGACTCCAAAATGATATATGAGCCTTTCACACACTAATTTCTGCTCTAACAAAAAAATGGAATTTTTAACTAGTGACATGTAACAAATATATTTACCTCAGCTGTGCTCTGTAGGGAACGCTGATATTTGAGACTGTTAACACCCTGGTTGGTGGGTTTGCCATAGGTGGCACCCTTAGGTACAGGCCTTTTGCGACCACCACGGCGTACACGTACACGGTAGATCACAAATCCTGGAACATACAAAGGTTTTGTTAAACAGAGAAAAATGTGAAGATAAATTCTAAGTGACACTATATAAAACTAGTCAAACCCCTGATCCTCGCCTCCTCAATTCTCTCTCTAACATAGGGTCATGAAAAATGAGATGCAACTGTAGACTTGATGTAAGTTTTCACTGCTTTAGGAAAAGGGTTTTCTTGTTGCATCATAATTTTTGTCTGTTTCTAAATTTCCATATCCCGCCAAGAACATTTAATGGAATTAAATAACAAATAGAAACTGTGTACTTAGTGGTCATCATATGTACATCAGAAAAGATAAATAACCATGGTTTTGTCATTTGTCCCTATCTAAGAAGTCATCATTTGTACATAGATAAGAGAATGTGTCACTCAGAACTTTCACTATTATATATCCGAATATTGAGCACAATTAGAGAATATTCTGTTTTTAAATTGTGGACACAGACAGATCTTTGCTGAAATGAGCAACAAACAGACCAAAATGCAATTAGTAAATACAATCATTTCAGGGACCAAACTTTTGAATACCTTTTTCAGGTTATACATTCAGTATAAAAGGTGTGACATAGCCGTGACTGCTTGTAATTTTAGGAGTTTCACAGGCACACAGCTCGCTCAATCAAAAATATGCAAAGTTTTGGTCTCATGTATTTGCATAGTTTTTGCTTTTTTGATTTTTCAGTTTATACTTGCACTGCAGTCCATTTAGCACAAGTAACCTTGTCTTAATCAAGGTAGCTCGATGACTTTCCTAAGTTTTGGTCTCATGTATTTGCATATTTTTTGCTTTTTTGCTTTTTCAGTTTATACTTGCACTGCAGTCCATTTAGCACAAGTAACCTTGTCTAAATCAAGGTAGCTCGTAGTCCAACAACATTAGACCTAGCCCGGGCCTCGTTTCTTATCTGACATGTGTTATGGCCCGGCTAGGTCTAACCTCCATGACCATTTTGCCTTTGATGCGTTAATTTAATCGTTCAGCAGGTTTCGACAAGCAGAACAAATTAAACCCTGAAAACATGGCAATATTACACAAAGAATGTGATTCAAACATGCATACATACCTTATAAACACATACACCCCGTCCCGCATCCCCCTTAGACCCTATTGATGCATAATTACGAAAATATTGGAGACAGGTTTGGAAATGACGAAAATGTCGGTCAGTTTCGGTAACATCGAAATTGCAAATCGTTTCAGGAATTAACCGTCATCACGGCACTGCATTAACGAACAGTTGGTTTGCAATTAATAACTATTTTGCGTGTATACACGCGCTATATAAATTAATCAAAGATACCTGTTATCCTCAAAATTGATCTTTTTATCCCGAGTAATCGCGATAATAATTATCAATCTATTTGACAACAATTTTGTTTCGCTGGTAGTTTAATTTTACGATCCGGGACACTCAGACGAACAGACACAATGACGGACATGCGGAATGTCACTTTAGAGATTGGTAAGTGTAGCCTCATTTTACTCGTATAAATGAACATTTAACACAAAAATATTGTGTTAAATCGCTTGATGTTATGTGTTTTTATATTATTGTCAAGTATCAGTTGCACGTTATCGCGGAAAAATGGTTTCGATGGATTCAGAACTTGCATCAAAGGAAAGAATAGTAAGGAGGTTTAACTCAATAATGGCCCCAAGAAAATTCCTAATAATAAAGAACGCCGTTATTGAGTTTAACGTTGACTTTCCTAAATCTATTCTTCCTTATGAGGTGAAAAACGTTATTACCTTGTTTGGCTCTGTAGCCCATTCTCCTGGCCTTGTCGGGACGAGTTGGCCTTGGTGCTCTGTGGATTGAGGACAATTGACGGTATTGCCAGCAACGAATACGAAGCAAGAATCGCATGACATCACTCTGTTTCTTACGCCACAGTTCCTGGATGTATTTGTAGGCTCCCATTTTGAAGCTTGAGCTGGATCTGTAATACATATGACAGGCATATGAACATATGGTGGACTTGGACGATACTGATAACAAAGAGTAATTTATTGGAAATCAGCCCATATTGGACACGTGTATATTTCCTTGCTTTTTTTAGGAAAGTATCATTACATTGTCTACTTTTAGTAAACCTGGAAACAGGTTGGCTTCTGTATTGTCTGGAAACTTTGGAAGAAAATTTGGAAAAATAGAAAGTGTGAAATATCAGAATTTCCCATTGAACTCCTACCAGATATTCTAAAAGAAGACAATGTAATGATACTTTCTTGAAAAAAGCAAGCAATTTTTTACCAAAATGTTATTTTCCAGCTGCTACCTTATAACCAAATTTACTTTTCAAAGTTTCCACCAGACAACACACATTGACCGGTTTCCTGAAAAAGCAAGGAAATACACACATGCCTTCATACTAAATTTTGTACCAGAAAATAACATGTGCAACTATAGCAATTTTTTTTACCAAAATGTTAGTTTCCAGCTGAGCCTTAAGGTACAGCTGGAAAGTAACATTTTGGTAAAAAATTGCTATACCTGCACATGTTATTGTCTGGTACAAAATAAAGTATGAAGGCATGTATCAATTTCCTTGCTTTTTTCAGGAAAGTATCATTACATTGTCTTCTTTTAGAATATCTGGTAGGCGTTCAAAGGGAACTCAAGGGAATTCTGATATTTCACACTTCCTGTTTTTCCAAATTTTCTTTCTAAGTTTTCAGACAACACAGGAGCTACCATTGACCTGTTTCCAGGTTTACTAAAAGTAGACAGTGTAATGATTCTTTCCTGAAAAAAGCAAGGAAATACACACATGCCTTCATACTAAATTTTGTACCAGAAAATAACATGTGCAGGTATAGCAATTTTTTACCAAAATGTTACTTTCCAGCTGAACCTTAAGGTACAGCTGGAAAGTAACATTTTGGTAAAAAATTGCTATACCTGCACATGTTATTTTCTGGTACGAAATAAAGTATGAAGGCATGTATCAATTTCCTTGCTTTTTTCAGGAAAGTATCATTACATTGTCTTCTTTTAGAATATCTGGTAGGCGTTCAAAGGGAACTCAAGGGAATTCTGATATTTCACACTTCCTGTTTTTCCAAATTTTCTTTCTAAGTTTTCAGACAACACAGGAGCTACCATTGACCTGTTTCCAGGTTTACTAAAAGTAGACAGTGTAATGATACTTTCCTGAAAAAAGCAAGGAAATACACACATGCCTTCATACTTAATTTTGTACCAGAAAATAACATGTGCAGGTATAGCAATTTTTTACCAAAATGTTACTTTCCAGCTGAACCTTAAAAAATCTGAAAACAGAAATGTGAGGGGGAGAGTACGAATAAAATTTGAAGCATTTCCGTTTTAACTCATTACTAGGGAAGATTAAGACAGAAATGATACATAGGAGTTTACTAAATCGATAGACCAAATGTTCCTCATTTGATTCACATCGAGATGAACAGCGGATGCATCAAAAAAGAGAAGATATTTGGAGATTTGTGGAGAAAATTTTACCTACCGGCAGGGAGAATGATGGCTACCTCGAAAAGGATGATGGGAAGGGTTCAAGGTCAAATCAGATTTGGGTTGTGCTTGTTAGAAGAAACACAATAAGTTATTAGCTGAGGTACTTTAACACAACATTCGTGCTTATTGTTTATACTCCTGTCACATTGCCTAAATAGATCAGTAGCGTAATCGACCAGAAATAATGCAATGTGGTCTGATCTGAGGAGCTACACTGTTATGGTTATCACAGACACGGGAACAAGAGTTCACCCCCTCCCACTCAACATAGTAGCTTTTACATTATACAGTGAGTGGGGGGGGGGGGCATTTTGCTATTCATCCATATTGCTTGTAGATAATTTTGAGACAGGTTCACTCTAATGACATATACAGTGAGTGGAGGGGGGCCAAATCATGGGCTTTCATTCCTGGGCCTAGATCCTGGGTTTAGAATTTAGATGCATGACAACACAGCCCTTGGACCACAACAATGCGGGAATAACTTTCGTAATGTAGTCCAAATTATCGAATGTTATTTTCTTGGATGTCTTAAATCTTAATCATACAATTCTTATAGAATAGATGATTGTGCTAATTTGATTGAGACTCAGGCACATTCAATGACGTCACGTGAAAGGTCAAAGTTCCTGACCTTTGCAATGCATTGTGGGATAGAAGCGTTGGAGTGTCACATTTCGGAAGAAGTTGTTGAATGTTTTGCTACAAAATTTACATTTTAGACGATATTCATTGGATTGATTTTACTTAAAAGTATGTCAGAAGAAGTATTCAAAGGTAAGACACTGTTCTGTGAAGGATACACGCAGATTTAAATGAGATTTCATGTGGTTTGCAGTTGTTGAAAAGACTGGCCGATTTTCATGATTGGGCAAAAATGCCCATTCCAGTCTGGAAACATTCACTGCAATTTCATAGAAAATATGAAGGAACTCTGATGTTTATAACAATTTCACAGTCTTTAAAGAATGAGCTTTAAAATGATACCAAAATTATAGAAATATACCAACTGGTTATCGAAATATCACACTTTATAAAACACCTTACACAGACGGATTTGAGTTGTCGATCCACCCCTCGCAAAGTACCAATTTTACTGTGATATTCGTTTCAGGAAATGTGCCTAATTATTTTATTATTTAATTTCAGCACCTAAGTCTGCTAAAAGGACACATGGAAAATCTAGCTCGACGGTAAGTATCCTTGGTTTTTCCTGATAAACTCGTAAATGTTGCAATAAACAGAAATTTCAAAATGGCGGATATCGTTTGTTGTCCTAAATAAACACACTGCAAACTCGAAAAATATATGTTAGAAATTCACAATATTTGAGAATCTTAAGCTTTATGATGCATTTCACATCTCGTACAAATATGATTACAATTGAAATACTATGAGCCTCGAAATCCGTTTTTGTTTCTCACCATTCTTTCGGGTCAACAAATCAAAATGGCTGACTTCTTTTTTAAATCCAATTTCAGAATCTGTTCAAAAATAGATAATTCACAAAGTATTTTTTCATGTGTATTGTGAGGATATTCATCGTTAAGTCCAAAGCAAAAGTAAGATCATTTACAGAGAAATCCATTCATGGACAATGAAGATAGGCACACTTTTTTAAAGTGATATTTTTTGTTTTGTTCAATATGGCCACTGCAGCAAAGAAACTGCACAGTGCATATTCACATTGATTTATCTTTTTCATGAAACTTAGTAATCAAGAAATCACTATGGAGGTCTGTTGAAGTGACATGACCATGAAGAATCAAATCAACAAGTTATTCAATACGCCTATTCAATATTAAAACTATGTCATCTCATGCAGGTAAAACTTATTTGACTCTCTCGCCATCAATGTCATTCTAAACCGAATGATAAATTTTCATATTTATGATTTCAGTTCTGTCTTAATTTTTTGCTGTAAGTAATTGTATATTTATTATGGATTCTAATTTAACGTAAAGAGACATGGTTTTACTCTTTTTATTACCATTAAATTAACAGATCATTTGTCTTTGTCATACAATTACTTTTCATTTGGTATATACTGGTCGTTTGAATAAATATCATGAAAAGGGATTGTTTTTTGAGTTCAAGATACAATTTTTGTTGAGGCCTGTTTTCGATAGGAAATAGAGTATCAATGAACTTCTAATATCTGTTATGTTACATTGTTTACCAAGTGTGTATATGTTCAGAAGTATCCATTTGTTTCTAAAAAGATACAGTCGTTTTACTTAGGTGGAATTCTCAGTTTCCAAACCAAACATAAAAATCTGTAGAATTATCATCTTCAGGGTATCTACAAGTGGTTGTACTAAACTTGCAGTTGCATTGAAAGTGTGCCGCGAAGTTGTAGACTAACCCAATTTTGTTTGAAGATTTGCCAAATATCCATCTATTGAAAGCCAGATAAATATGCTCAATCCGGCATCTTTATAATAGAACACTCTTTATTTAGTTACCTGTCTAAAGAGCATTCTCCTTATAGATTTAAAGTACCAATCAGATTGCAAGCTGTGACGTAGCTTATGACCTGCCCTTTTAGATCAATAAGTCCTACAAAAGCTAAGTGCTGCAACTGAATACTAAATGCATGGAATATATCTATTCTACTCTTTACTGGATGTTTTTATTAGTGGAATACTCGTAAAACAAAAGTGGAAATTACATTGAATCTGCAGCCAAGGAAAAACATAAATGTACACAACTGAAAAAGGATTTGTTTACAAAAGTATATTTAAATAATGAGGAATTTACTATGATCAACAGATTTTTTAAACTTTTTTTCAGTTACTTGCACCTGGTTAAATCAGCTGATATCTTTGAGAAATACAGTCACTTTAAGGCGACTATTTTGTATATAAAAGGATCAAATGTATATGTTGAAGCATTTTGTCAGTTTGTATTTTTCTGCGACAGCCGCCTTACAATTATATATTTTTAGAAGGAGTTAGGCTTTCCATCTTTTTACGGCACCATAAATCTTGTGTTATTATTGTTTTTCATGTTGAGTCTTATGATAAATTGAGAGCAAACTCACTAGAGGCTACTAAAGAAGGATACTACTGTTTATGTTCAGTAATCTCTCCAAAGTACAGTATTTAGATGTTTTCATGGAGGAGGTATTCATAAGATTCATTATCATGTCAAGCCAGCCAGTACAAAATTCAGTATTATAGGATCATCTCATTTTGTACACAGATGTCTATGAAATTCTGTGGTTTTTATACATTCAGAGCAATTTTTTGAATAATATCCAATATTTTTCTCACTGATTTTCACGATACTTAAACCTGAAAACATTTACAAATGTACCGTGCCCTTGAAAAGTGTCTCTCTCATTTTGCCACTTTTCAATGATTTTGCAAAATGCAAACAGTTGGAGTTACAATTTTAAAGCAGGACAAATATCTGTGAACATCTAGTTGATTAATATTTATCTAGCCAAATGTAAATGTCTTAGTAAAACTTAAACCCTGGATGTGTGTCTGCACTTAGTAAACAGGGACTTTGCTTCATGATCAGATTTCAAGTAGATCTTTTCAGAATTTCTTATATTCTGAAAATTGATTTTAATTTTTGATAATACAGAATGCACAAAAGGAACAATAGACAAAACGATATGGGAGATACAAATTAGAAAGAAATGAAGTTTACTGAATTACATTCATCATACTGTATTTTAATTAGTATGTGAAGAAATCATAAATGGTTAAAGTTAAGGGGAGGGAAGGCTACCTGCTAGTAGCTTATATGAGATGCAGTTGATTTATGTTGCTGTACTATCTCAGTTGAACCATATGTTACCTTCCTTCACTTTATCAAGTAAGCATAGTCTTGCTGCAAGTCTCTGATAAACTTCCCTCAACTTGTCTCAATCCTTTTGATATATGTGTAAGAGGTGTGGTATATGAGGGGGTGGAGTATATATAAGGCTTTGTTCAAGTTGATAAAAGAAGTCCAAGATAATTTCACATGTATGTGTATATAATTTTTTATTCTATTTCAATTTTATAATCTGTGATGACTTTTTAGTTATTTGAAATAGTTTTCTACTCACTGTTGTACTGTTGGAATTTTTAGGACCTAATATTTTTAGTCAATCATTCTCAAACTCAATTTATTGCAAGAAAATAGAAATAGACATGCAATTTTCTATGTCAGAAATTTAGCATAATTTTATTGCTTGATGAACCAATTCAATGAATAATTGACTCTTAAATAAAACACAATCAGGATCCTGGAGAATAAAATTGTCTATAAACTTCATATGATTTGACAATTCTTATTAAACCAGGGGTTTCATTAGCAGCAGACAACAGACGATATTCGTTGGTTGTTTTCAGAAAAGCACCTGTTTTTAAGGACTTCTCAATCTTTCCATGTTAAATTCATGATTTCCATTTATTTTGGCTGTTGTTTTCATTTATTTAGCTTGTTTTGAGAAATTCTAGTGAAACCCCTGTAAACTGTACTTTTTTTAGTCCAGAATGACATGTCTAGTCATCTACCTTCCTAAAATGCTTATGTGCATTATGAACAAAGATGTAGAAATAAAGTAACATAATTAATATACCTAGTTGTTAGCAATCATGCAATGATCAGTTCTCTCTTTTATTCATAGAAGTTTTCAATGTAAAGTATGCATGTTTATAAATTATAAATGAATGTGTATTTTCTCTAATAACAGCTGGTTTATTCTGTATTATGGTATTGATTTCATAAAATAAATATATAGCCATTTCATGTGATACAATTGAAAGTAGATCAGGTCTTTTAGTCACAGATATGAATTAGAATAGGCCTATGAATAGGGATTGGAGTCTGCAAAACATGCCTTTTAGGTAAATCATTTTTATTTTGCTTTAAAAAGGAATGGAAGTTTTATTAGTTATTTATTGAATAAATTGTTCAGAATAACAGGATTGAAAATAGTAAATAAAATATAGTATAGAACTTCTGTTCAGGATGACTTAAAGGTAAACTTTATCTACTACCTAACAGTATCCTCCCATCATACATTATAATTTTGATTCAGTTAATAATTGTTAAAAATGCACACATAATAAGGAACCTAGATCAAGACCGAAATGTTGCAAAATTTAAAAAATAAGAAAATAAACGAGTCCTTGGTGTTTGTTGTGAAACAATCTTGGCTTAATTATTGCGAAACTTAAGATTTCAGACATGCAGATGATTATGATTTATGACATATCTGTACTTAGGAAATATGAATTTGCATTTACTGTATACCTGTATAATATGCATCACTAATTTTCACTTAAAAATCAATATTAGCCCAGTAAATCATTTTGTCTCTGTTTTACAATAGTACTAGCACATAACTTATATGGAAAATTGATACTGTGGTTTGATACTACTTGGATGGTTGTTTGCATCATGCCGTAAATATTAAATATTTACCATATCTATATATCTAATCAGTCAAAAAAATCAACATCCATCTGCCATTCAAAAAATAAAGTATTTTTCTTATATTTCCAGCCATGGTCTCCGGGAGGAAAACGGCGCCGGACTAAAGATGATTTCTACAGTTTCTGTAGCATTGTGTTAGCGTATACCCAGTATGAGGCTATGAGAGCAGAGGTAAGAATCGACATGACAAACCACAAAGGTCAACCATCAAAATATTAGATCATTTCAGAGGTGTATTAACCATTGGAAAGATGAAAATGATTAAACCTTTGAATATTTTGTGCCTGCTGTAAATATAAAGGCTAAAGGTGTCCTTTTCCAATGTAACTTATACTTCAGTTTTTTAACATAGTTAAATGGAAAATCATACCAATGTATTAAATCATTTATTTTGTAAAATAGCATGGTACAAAATGCAACTATAAATCAATAAAACCAATTTTACTGACACAATGTTTCTGTCAGTTTGCAAATGTCTTGCTTGCTGAAAGATTTTATGGTGATTACAAAAAAAGATGCTGCAGGATATGATATGTAAAGAAATATATTGTTCGTATTGTGTGATGAATGAATACTTCATTGGATGCTACAAGGTTTTTATTATGATTAATCTGAATACTTTGGTATTGATTATATTAACAAGGAAAATGAGGATGTAGATATTTCACAGGGGTCACTGACTGACATATAAACGTTCAATAATCACACGGTAAATTGCAAAGAGGAAAGGTGTAATGTATATCTTTTGTCATCTTCTACTCCAGCAGGACCAGCACATAGAAAGGGGGATCTTCAAGTTAGGAGCAATCTAAAATCATTAGATAACCTTTAAAAAATGTTACATTTTACAAATCCAGGAATTTATATTTATATACCATATTACATATTCAACATGTTTTTGTAGGATATCCGAGCCAAGAACAATAGCAGTCCCCTAGACAGTAGTGGTAGTACCATAGAGAGCTTGTCATCTGACTCAAATGCAAGTTCAACAAGCTCCTACAGTCCAAGGGACGAACTCAGGGGGAACGAGGAGATGAGAGGAGGTAATATATAAACATTTTCTTATATTGTAGCTGTTTAAGATTATTCGTTCAAAGTCAAGTTTACAAACCATCAGTACAAATTGACGAAATTAAATTTTGCCCATTAACTGGTAGATAAACCCAAAGTAAAAAATGAATATTCCAACTGGTGCAATACAACGTTTGAGATCTCAACTGGGTGCAAAGGGGATTTTCAACTTGGTGCATTATCATTTTCAACTGGGTGCTGGGTATCGGGGCTGGAAAGCATATATCACTGATGTTTTATAAGTAGAAATGAAGTTGATACATTGTTTAATATGTTCCACAAATATTTCTTGACAAACATTCAGATCCGTGTGCTATTGTTACACAAAGGGAAAATCATTTTGTGGGTTGTATTATACTGGAAAAATGTCAAAGTAGAGCTGTGTCTAAATGTAATATGTGGAGGCGGTGCACTGTGCATCTTATATAAGGAATCCTGATAGTCACGTGAAGTAATTTCCTGACGGGGGTGGTTGTTGATTCCTTTCAACGCATGAGCTAAAAAGCTCAGTTTTCATTTCCTGTTTTTGCTCACAATGTTTAGCCTATGAAATCACCTACTAGTTATGAATCTCTTGTATCTAATCCTTTAAAGTATCACGTCAATGTCTAGAATTTCATGGTTTTGCTGCCAACAAAGTTCTTAATAGACAGCACAGATTGATTAAGATGAAGAATCTTGTTCTAGTTGTCAGTGAAATTAAATGAAAAGATACAACTATCTGTAAATGAATGCTTATTAATATGAGCACTTTTTGCTCCCATCTTCCATGGAAATAAGTCAAAATGTAGAATAAAATGTCCATGTTGGAATATTACTCAAAGATTTATTTATGTGTATAGTGCATCATATGTCAGATTTTATGGTCCGTATTCCATATTAAGTGATCCTGTCAGCAACGTTCATTTTGTTGGGATTGAGGTAGGGGATCAATGTTGATTTGTATAATGGTGGAACCTTTTATGTCACCTGAAATTCAAATGGATGTCAAACTAACCTTTTCACAATTTGCTATATGGGAGAAAAGGAATTGTAAACCCTAACAAAATTACAAAGTCATAATTTTTTTTTTGATATTTCAGGGGTAGAAGACGGTGAACAGGACCTTATTACTTGCTTCTGTATGAAGCCGTATGGTGGTCGACCAATGATAGAATGCGATGAATGTGAGATGTGGATACATTTGTCATGCGCCAAAATTCGCAAAAACAATATTCCTGACACTTATATTTGCCAATCGTGTAGGGACTCCAAAACATTGAGCAGGAAGTCAAATCGACAACGGACTGAAAATAAGCGAATAAGTACGTAGCTGTCACTGGAATATATACTCGAGGCCATAGTATGATGTACAGTGTACGCCTTGTTGCCGAGTGAGTGTACGTAATGATAAGTTGAATGCTATGATACGGTGTACACTGTGTGTATAGTTGTAAATATGTACATAGTCTACAAAGACTGATCTTCGCTGGCAGAAGGGTATAGTTAGTGATGACACAGTTGATTGTAGAAATTCAAGAGTTTGCCCTCTTGTAAAGGTTCACATACCATATAAGGTATCCATCACCATATATGGTAAGCCTGTTGGTTATTACTGGTTAGGAGTTCAATTATTACTTAAGAATAAAGAGCCAGACGTTCTTCATATGCACACCCTGTGGCAAAATTTTCATATATTTATATGCATTTCACATAAAACTCGAAAAAAGAAAGTTCTTCTTGAAAATGTTTAGTTCATTGGTACATTCAATGTCAACAATAGTCTAGATGACCAAAACATGTTCATGGGAAAGATCTTTAATATTTAACGATGTGCCACATGACTATCCTTGTAGATCTTGTGAAAATTAGGATGACAGTCACCTCTTAACAAGATGGCTTGTAACCCAATCTTTAGTGTCTTTGTTTTACCTCTTAATGTTGGTATCTGTTGCTCACTTCACAGATAACAACATCAGTCGTTTAAGATCTCACTTGTTGCATTTAAAGATATCTTGTAGATACCAGTGTATGGATTTTAGTGCCTGTGTAAAATGAATACTGTATAACTGTTCATCTTTTTGTTGCCAAAATCATGACAAGATAAAGATCATGTTATTTAGTGTCCAAACATGACAAGCAAAAGCAACTTAAATGGAGTAGATTATCCAAATGAGATTCGATTTGTTGCATTTTTGCATAACTAACGTGAGTCTGTAGAAACATTGTTCTTGCAAAATTCATATCTTAATTTGAGCCTTAGATCTTGCATTTTATATAGAGGTTTTGGAAGTGTTACGGTATTCAGCATAACTAAAATTGGTGTGGAAAAATTGACTTTTCTATTTGTTTTTTCACAGACAAAATTACCAAGTTTGAAAAATGAAGTCTAAAATTGACTCGCATATGTATCCAGTAGAAGTGAAATCACACTTGATATACATCATTTGAAGTGACTTAATGGTGACCATAGCATCTAAGTTTGTGTAAGTGTGAAATATGAAATGCCAGTTTAGTTGTAAATATAATTTTGATTCCCGTCATCACCCAAACTGGCCAAAGCAATTTCAAGTTCTTTATTTAAAGGGTGTGCTAAAAAGCACAACATCATTGTCAATGTTTTAAAAAACAGCAATATTATTATTGAAACAATATTATGAACTGTATAAACAAGAATTGGCAGGTTGCCACAGAACTGTAATTTATTATTTTAATTTTTAGTTACTCAATTTATATTTATTTCAAGTAAGTACATGGAAATATGTATGCTAAAGTTAAGACTTTGGGGAAATACCAGTTCAAGAAATCAAGAATTTAGAGCTGTGTGGTGTATTTTTTGTTTGTTTGTTTTATGTCAGTTCAGATGTATAAGTGTCATAACAATCCAAGAAAACAATACTATTTATTTAACATAACTATATATTCAACACCATATGCATCTAATTTATGCACAGATGTAGAGAGATAATCTTGAAGTTATTTTAAGAATAATGAAATGAACAAGGGAGATATCTTGTATTATTATTTTAATATAAGACATATTGACTGAAACTTGGAACTTACATTAGTATATTCTTGTATTGGTGCTTCCCCCAAGTTTAGGGCCAGTGCATATGTATTATATGCGAAACTGAATTTCTTGGTCGTATCTTGTGTTTTATGTCTGTCTATATGTTTATAATTGGGGACGATTACTGACTTATGAAGTCAACAACTAGACTCTCAAATAACAGTCATAATTCTTAATGCCAAAACAGAGTAGTTTTACTAGCTAGACGTTTCTTCTTAAGTGAGGGGTTTCGCCTTTGTTGGAGATATTTCTCATTTAAGAAAGGCCTTTCTCTTCTGAGAGAGGTCTCTCCTTTGATGAAACAAGTATAGAGAAAGAATATGAAGCTAAATGTATTATGATAGTCATATCATATGTGTTAGATTCAGTTGAACATCTCATTTGTGATCTCAAATGTAACAAGATGTCCCTTTGAAAGATAGCATGGTGGTTGTGTCCATCTTCATAGATTGGGGAAGGGAGGCTTAATTTTGGGTGGCTAGATTGGAAAGAGGCAAGATTGGGAGAGGCTAGATTGGGAGAAAGGGCTAAATGGCTAGCTGGTATAGAGACTTAATCAAATAATGTTTACTTATTAAGGGTTTGGTAGGGAAATGGATACTTAATGCGGCATCACTGTATATTAGATTTGGAATTTGAGATTTTTAGCAAGGCTAAACCCCACAAGCTGACAAGGGACATCATAAGTAATATTGAATACCATGGTGTTCTTGACATAAGCGAAGATATTTTAGTACCAAGTATTTGTACCTATAAGTGGAATTGCATTAACTTGCAAAAGTATGATATTCAATATTCATATTAATCTGAAAGATATGCCAGGTTGCAGATTAAATGTTTTCCCTCATAAGGTATTCTTGTACATTTTGTAAATAATATGTTTATCAGTAATTGCACAAAGTTGAATAATTACTGTGTTCCTGTTGATGTTCATGTTCTTCATAGATACGATCATGTTCCTTCAATTTGATAAAATCATAATGCATTTAAAGAATCTTTCGATGTGTGCCTTTGTTGGTTTCCCTCAAACGAGTGTATTAGAGTCTGATAGTGGTTTAAACAAAATTACTTCATAAAATTAACTTGAATTACTCAGATGCGAGTAGGTAGTTACCAGTTTCGCCACCAGGTGGCTGATTTGGGGAATTAACATGGCAGGGTATTACAAAATTCCCTTAAACTTGAATATGCATCAGTTTTAGTGGTTCGCTTTTCATATTACCCTTATGTATCTGATAGTTAAACAAATTAATATATGTCCAGTAAAAGAAAATGTTATCTGCTTAACACAAGAAAAGATTTCACTTTTTGTGGTTTTACAACATGGGGTCTATGGGGAATCTCCTCGACCTAGAAGTCACATTTTCAAAGAAAATTAAATTTTCAAAGTTGATAAACTCTTTTAAAAACCACATTTCTAAATGTACTTTTACATGTAGATTCCAAATACGACATCAGTTTGACTGAATTTTTGATGACGTAAATCAAGATTATTTCTACTCGCATCTGGGATATTGGTGTGTCCAGTTTTTTGTTGTTTTTTTTAATTTTGAAATTTATTCATCATTTAAACAGAACTAATTTGGATCTCTGCATCAAAGTTAACTTTATAGTAAGTAACTGTATTTATCCCATACTTGGACGTGTTACGGGTACATAAAGCTGGTTTGTAAAAACTTATATTTTCATCAGCGGGCAGATATAGCTTTACGTCCCGCTCCGAGCGGGCAGATATAGTATATCCGCCCGCTACGTCATAATCGGCGCTCGCATATTTGTTCATAATTTGTAACGTTCACGTAATGACTGTAAACTACAATGGAGAAAACACAGACAATCGGGATCTGTTTGATGGTTTAAAAAAGGGAAAGAGCATCCACTTAATCAATCAAAAATTCGAGAAAATAAATGTGGGAATATTTGAGAGAACAGGAAAATCCGCCGACGGCCAAGAAAACAAAACTGGACATGAATATTCTAAAATATTTCCACGATTGAACAATGTGAACCAGATGACCAAGATTGGTATGGGATAAACATATTATCCTATAGTCGGTTCAGGATATTGGGATTATCCCTTGGCCAATATAATATATTTTCCCTCGGGACCTGCGGCCCTCGGGCAAATATATTATATTTTCCTCGGGATAATCCCAATATCCTGAACCTCATATAGGATAATCTCTATATATTTCTTACATTTCTTCATGGAATAAAAGCATATATCAAAGAAAAACATTTTCAATTTATTCTTCAAGATCACCCATCTTTATGATATAAGGTTATATTTTCAGGTTATATATTATATGTACAGGTTACGGTATGTTATCTCAGATTGTTGTATTTAATACAAAAGATCAGGGTGAAAAGTACCAGATTAATGTTATTCATTCTTGATTCACTGGGAAATTACTTTTTGTTTCATACTGTAGTTAGCCCAGAACATTTTGTATGTGATGTCTTTAATTTGTATTTTTATGACAACGTTCTTTTCGTCAGATTTCAGAAATCTGCGAAAAGTTAATCATGCAAAATGTTCAAGGTAATATGGGGCCATTGCAAAAAATCAATGTACATTAATGAACTGTACATACTGATAGACTTGAACAACCACCCTCTTGATTTGGAACTCATTAATGAGCGTTGAAATAGATGCAGATTGATACAATTTGGCATATCTGTACTAATATTTTCTACGGGCTCCTTATCAATTAAAGCAAAGTTTTGCTGTTTGTATGATTTTTGCATTGGTCCCAAAGTATTTCTAGCATATCAAGAATGAAAGATACAGAGTGACCCAAAAACCAGAACTCTAACCTCAATTCATAGATTTATGGGTTTTGTTTTTTGGGGTCACCCTGTACATATACTCATCTAAGAACCACTGTCATTGTGACTGAAGCAGGACCAGATTTTCTACAGTGAAGATTGCTATTATGTCTTACACTGAGAGTGTACATTTTGTAAAATAAGAAAAAGTGAAATACATTTACAAAATATATAAAATATAAGATTTCTTGTGTTTTATTGCTGATGTTGCATGATGGAATGATACAGAAGTTGATGGCAGAGCACATCATAAGAGAAATATCATTGATACTGTATTTTATGAGATAATTGAGCTCATTTTTACTGAAGATTTCCTTTTAAATGGTTTACCACAGTCCTGTAATCTATTCATCCAGCTCCACATATGAAGAGGTCGTCTCATTTAAATTCTACATGTATCCATTTCGAATGCTTAGACAAACTGGCAAACCTGATGAATATATTTTTGCACCTAATAAAATTATTTATGGAAAGAGTATATTGGTAACACGAGATGACATCAGGATTCTATACTACAACATGAATGTTCAAAGCATGGTTAGGGGAGGCATCAAAAGTTCAATGTCTGATAGGAAACTAAATAAATCTAGTTTTGAGTTAGACACCCCCTCCCCCTCAAAACTAAATACAATGAAAGTTGATCGCGGACTTCTCACATGTTTTAGCGACTCAATTTGGACTTTCATGGGGGCAGTACTATAACTTATTATGATTCTTAAAACATGTGCCAACAACAGTAGGCATAATATTCCATGTTGCATGCATCTTGATGAAGAAGGCATCTGGTAAAAAGTCTTTATTTTTAAACCATTCCAAGGCATTTTGGGTCGAAATTGCAAAAAAATTAAATGTTGAAATTTGTCGGATAGCAAACTGAAATAGCTTTGACCCCCTCCCCCAAACTAGATTTATTTAGTTTTCTATCAGACATTGATCCTTGGTATGCTGGTATCCTGCCATGACCATGTAGCAAAATAATCCAATATCTAACTTGTCTGGCTCATCCAGGGAAACCTGACCAATCACATAACATCCAAATCTGAGATCATTTTCACTAAATAAAAGTTATTTCACCTAGATTTTCACCCTGGCTAGTGATCACAATCTGGTCTGGCTACCTCTGATCACTCCAGCAATTATGTCATGTCCTGTTATCCTGAAAGTTAACTTCCGACTCCCAGTGCTAGGTATTATCAGATTTATATGGGTCAGCTATCCTCCTAAATACTGCAGGCCATTTCTGTCCTTCATTTCTCGTCACCTTCTGACCTTCTTCTGTACTATTGTAAAGTTTTGCCACAACTGGATCAGCATCCTGGAAATAGGAGATAAAAGGCACAATCAGTAGCAAAAGACACAATCAGCGAGCAAAAAAGTAAATACAAGATAAGAGACAAAATCAGTTAGCAAAAGACAAAATCATCAAGCAAAACGAAAGGAGGAAATACAGTGAAACCTGTATATCCGAACACCTCTCTAATAGGAACATCTTTCAATAGCATCCTCCTAAGCAGGTGTCCAGAATCCGTACCTCCTTCTTCCCCCTGCTATAACCAATTTGGAAGCGCCCGATTAAACTGAATCACGTGATCTTATTATGCGCAATGACTTATACATGATTTCTGTCGCAGTGTTGCGACAGCCAATCAGATTGCGAGTTCTTAATCAGGGAAATGCTAACTGCTTATCACTGAAAAGAAAGAATATATTCTGGATATTGAAGCCCTGTGATCGGAGGATGTTCAATAGGAGCACTTTTCAGAGGTCCAAATTTTGTTTTCTCTCATTGACTTGCATGCTTATAAAACCTTGAAATGTAAGCACCTGCTAATACGAAAACATAGGACTTCGGATTAGACAGGTTTTACTGTACAAGATAAAAAGGTACAATCAGTTAGCCAAAGAGGAAGAAATAAAGTGAAACCCGTATATCCGAATACCTCTCTAATTTGAACACCTCATTGTGAAAAATTTTTCTAAGCGCCAATTTTGTTATCTCCAACCAATTGCAGGCTTATAAAACTTGGAAATCTGAACACCTGCTAATCCAAAACTTTATAGTGTTTGAATTCAACAGGTTTAAGTGTACAAGATAGAAAGGCACAATCAGTTAAGCAAAAGATGAAGATGAAATTTGCAACTGTCATACTTTGGCCTAATACTGTATATTAAGCCCTTTTTGACTGGTCGAAAGTGACCCAAGGGATGAACTGTGTTCACATTTTTCTCCTCAAAAACTGTAATAAGATATTACATTTCTGTAACACTCTTGGTACAGGGTGGTCAAAAAAATGGAAACCCTGCATTTTCCTTATATCATTGTCACTTTAAGGAATTACTCCCTGATATTTCACACATTTGTACATCATTCAATTTCCTACCACCCTACCACATTTCATGACCATCAGACTAATAGTCACTTTGAATAACATGCTTTAGATTTGACCATTATCGCGCTGTAGGCAAAACAGCACAGTTGTCAATGAGCCAAATGCATTCCTCAGCAGGTATGGCCTGAATGAAACAGATGATCTCACTTTTGAGGTTCGCAATTGTCCTGAGGTCATTCTCATATACTCTATCTCCGCCATATCTCCACAGGTAGGGACATTTAAGACAATGAATACAGGTTTCCCCACAATGCAATAGTGGCCACTGGGCATGTTCTTTAATGTACTGTAACATTGTGACTAGCAATCTGATGGTCATGAAATAAGATAGGCTGGTAGCAAATTGAATGATGTACAAAAGTGTAAAATATCAGGGAGTTATTTTTTAAAATAACAAAGATATGAGGAAAATGGTAATAGGGTTTCCATTTTTTTGACCACCCTGTATATAAAGCATGCAATAGGGAACCAGTATGGTACTAAGAGCTGGAGTGGTGCTACAGTTATTTCTGAATTTTAACCTCATATGATACCTTTGAATATTTGGAAGTTTTTATTTATTTTAGGATTCTTCAAATGTGAACATTTTGACTTTAAATCTCTCTTGACACTTTTTGCCACTTGAAATTGCACGTTCCTTCATCAAGGTGAGATTTTCCATGTCTACAAAATATTTTGTTACATTCATAGTTTAAACTGTATTCAAGAAGAATTCAATGCATATTCCTGATTTCCTAATCTCACCTGTTCTTCCTGAGAAAGTCTAGCAAATAGTGGGTGTTCTGTGAAATGTTTCACCATCCAGTGATGCACCTCTTCCACATCTGTGATAGTGTACACTAAACCCTGTAAATATATGAGAAATTACATAGTGTACACTAAACCCTGTAAATATATGAGAAATTAGATAGTGTACACTAAACCCTGTAAATATATGAGAAATTAGATAGTGTACACTAAACCCTGTAAATATATGAGAAATTAGATAGTGTACACTAAACCCTGTGAATATATGAGAAATTAGATAGTGTATACTAAACCCTGTGATTATATGAGAAATTAGATAGTGTATACTAAACCCTGTGAATATATGACAAATTAGATAGTGTATACTAAACCCTGTGAATATATGACAAATTAGATAGTGTATACTAAACCCTGTATATACATGAGGGTTATGTTATGGGAAGTTTTGGATATGGGATATCCTAAGCCGGGTAATACAGATATCTTACCAAGGGCTCGGAGGATCTACAGTAAGATACCATATTTCCCGAGGGATATATCCCATATCCAAAACTGAGCATCACATAACTAACTTATCCTATGACAAGTGAGGTTTTCATGACATTTGGATTAAGAAAAATTCTACAGTTCTACATCCATTTCGACAGTTTCACAATTCTAACAAATTGACTGTTTCTACACTGAAGAAAAATGTTTTCCTGGGAATTTTGGAGCAGGAGATACACTGCAGGAGATACTAGCATATATATCTGCTATACAGTAGCAGATATATATGTCCCACTTTTCCAAGATATCAATTTTACATCCCCCTGTTATGTACCTGTAACCTCACTTGTCTTATTAGGATAAAATAATGTATGTGAGAAATTAGGATAGTGTACACTAAACACAAACTCTGTAAATACAATAATGTACATGAGATGTTAGGAAGGTGTAAACTGTAAATATACAGAAAATTAGGCTTGAAGAAGTATAAGTATTTTTTCAACTTTTCACGAAGAATTGGTGACAAATGATAGTGTTAATGACAGACACCATTTTTGTGATCTTAACACCAACAGTGAATTGTTACAAATTTATAATTGCTAAGACGATAAGACGAACTAAGACGATACAATATTGTTTCAAAATCATTTATGTATACGAGGGTTGTCCCAGAAGTAATGCACTATATGCTCTAACTTTATCAATAATTGATATTTTTCCATGAAATTTTCAGTATTTGTTCCTTAGAGACATTTTGATTATACTAAAAAAAAAATTAGTGTGTATCACAAGGGATTTTTTTGCAAGATGGACTAATTAGTTTTTGAAAATGAACTGGTCTGCATGAAAATATACCGAACTGGGTTGTCCAGTTCAATCAACAAAATCAAGTGGTCTGTAAAAATGTATAGATATAATATCTAGAGCCATGGTTTTAGCATGTTTGACTATTCTGCTGAAATATGTATTAATTGTACATAACAAGCAAAATTTTGAAACTAATTACATGTAAATGTATTCCTACATGTAAAGGAACAGATAGGAACTAAATGCAAATTCTGCTGCAAACTTGTAGACAGCACATGAATGAAATCTCAAATTAAAACTACATGTACAACCATTATATCCACAAATGTTTCAAGTGTAAATTATTAACTAAGAACCATCAAATTCAAGTAAAGCAACTGATAAGTCTTACATTGGCAATCATTAACAGTGAAGTAACCAAATTGAGATTATGGTTTATCACTTGTGTATTATGACCTCAAACTTATACATTTACTTAGTATTTCACTTTAAAGTACATTCATGACAGAGTAAAAAAATTACAGGAAAGAACTTTGACTGACTGTCGCCAATATGGCGGCAGAAAAATCTCTAGAGGCAGAGTTACTGAATGATCTCTTGGAATGTCCTATATGCTTGGGAATAATGGAATCACCAAATTCTCTGCCTTGTTTGCATAAGTTCTGCTACTCTTGTCTGAGAAAATGGGCAGATGAAAAGGAAAACTTTTTGAAAAGTTTCCCATGTCCAATATGTAAGGCTACAACTCGGAAGGACTCTATCAAAATTGATTTTAACCTAAAGTCAATCGCAGAAAGTCTGACGACAAAAAAATCAAATGACAAAAAGGAACAGAGTAAAAATATTATAAAGAAAGGAGATCTTGAAAAACCAACAAAGCAACCTATCGAGGACAATGAGGAAATTAATTATTGTGAAAAATGTTTGGAAATTGATTTGAAACTTTCGCAAGCTGAGGTGAACTGTGCAGAATGCAGCAAACATTTGTGTCTAGATTGCTGTAAAATTGATTCTAGATTCAGGAACTTCTGCAACGACCACATGCCCATTAGTCCAATACCACGCCGTAGAGCATACGCACCACGAGCAAATACACAAAGAGCAAATACACCACGAGGAAATGTTCTTCAAACTGTGACAGTGGCTAAAGAGGATAATGCATCAAGACCAACAAGGGAGATTAAGACATGGGCTTATGCACCACAAGAATGTATTCAACCAGTGAATGAACCACAGAACAGTACTGGACTATCAGATGACCAACTAATCACTTTTGTGATGTGCTTCATTCTCATAACAATCAGCTTAGCTTTGCTGAAGACACTTTACTAGTGTATGGGACTCATATAATCCTTATTCTACACTTTTATAGGCAAAATCAATTGGTCAGAGCCATGGCATATTTTAGATATTGCATGTTATCATAACGTTATCAATTAATGAATGTCATTGGACCAGATCTGAAAATTTTAGGCTTAAAAGGAAGAAACATACTGTATAATCAATTATACCACTCTAAGTCCAATTACAGTTGTATAACATGGGTCTATAACAACGATATACAGTGGAGAGTGGTATATCGTCATCGTATACAACTCCTCCGTATACACTCCAGCGTATACCACTGTAGAAGTGCATTCTGGGAACTAATGAATATAGACCGAAGAACAAGGTTTATGTTTTGTTACACAGACTGTTGTGTCCCTCGAATGATTGGAGCGAATGAGGTGTTCCGACATTTCAAAATGTTCATGATTTCATTGAATCAAGTGACGTCATAAATGGTTCCGGCATGATTTGCTAGAATCAAGCCACGTCATAAATGGTTCGAGATCAACATCGGCATCTTTGAGTTGGCTATGGGATATTTTTATGTTTTTTAATTGTTATGATTGTGTTCGAATCAACTGTAATTGAACTTAGAGTGGCATAATAAGATTATACAATGGTTCATTCTGTATATCGCGCATTTTATACTCTCGTGAGAATATAATATATTCACTCGTTCGCTACGCTCACTTGTGAATATATCATATACTCACTCGAATATAAACACGATATACAGAAAGAACCATTATATAACCTCATAGTATGTTACTTTATATACATAAATTAATGACTTCAGCTTCTTCCCTCATACATAGTACTTACTTGCTCTCTAAGGACATAGGCATATTCTGCAATGAGGGTTGGGCTGATGATACGCCATTTGTGCTTGGTTCTCTTAAAATGAGGATCGGGAAACAGGAAGAACATCTTTGAGAGCTGAAATAAACATTTTCTGTAAATTAATAAAAATAATGACTTTATCTCTTAAGCCTTACTCTAGATTGTAGATTTTACTATATTTCATGAGCAAACTCGTCTAAGATATTTTTCTACTCCACAACAAAGTAGGCGACAAAAATGTGTGTTGGGTACTATCAAATGAATCTTCATGCTTAGTTTATGGCAGGGTATGTAAGGTTGAAAACATATTTAATCTGGTTCATGCAATCATTATTGTAAAGAGTGAGTTAGAAAGTAACAAAGGATTCATTCTTGAGTATATACAGAGAGCCTTTGCTCAAAAGCATTTTATATCACGATTCCTGATTTTCACTTGTCTTTCTATGGTATGGCCAGTAATGGTGGCTAAGAAAATTCAATTATATAAATCAAAACTTCCAATGTTTTCAAGAACATCACCTGTTCACATACCTGTCCCTTTTTGAAGAAGTTTGGCAGATATTTCATTGCGTTGCCACGGATACATGCTATATTGGTGTATTCTCCGGGGTGTTTTATCCGTAAAGCTTTGACACGGTCCTGTACATAATCTGACACCTTTACTCTTATCTCCATGCCAAGCATTAGTTTATCAGGGAACATCGGAGATAGTGACACTGAAAGAAGTAAAATGTTGCATGAAATAAATAATTTTTATTTGATAATTTTATATTGGAATCATGAATTCATTGAAAAGCTATCGAAGTGTAAAATGTGAATCTGTACCAAAATACTACTACAATAACTACAAAGCAGTCTGTGGCTATATTTGAGAAATGTGTTTGGTCCCATTCAGGGAAAGGTCCAGGGTGTAAACCAAGTTTCTTCCAGACCTTCCAAAAAATGTGTTCCCAGTTGATTGTTTTCATATGAAAATGTTCTTCTAACTGAATGCTCAACAGAAATAGTCATTTACAGTAGTAAAATTGTTCACTAGTATAATGTTTACTACAGATAAAGTCCAACCTAGAAGGCCTCCGTATCCACAGCCAATATCAGCAAATTCTACCCGAGACACATCATCCTTCTTTTCCAAAATGTCCTGCACATCATCATGTTTGTCTCTATCTTCAGAGTGAGGCTTGAAATGATCCGGATAATACTGGTGCCAGTTCATTGTATCGGGACATGTTGGACTGGAATTAATTATTAGGTGGAAGTGATATGTTTGTACAGTATTGTGATGCAAAATGTGTAAAATAATTGAGGTGAACTAATACATTGATCACTTCATGTGTGTTTTAGAGTTTTTGGTGAGGTTATAAGACCAAAACTCGCAATTCAAATTGTGATGTGAAAAAATGGCAAACATTTGATTTCAAATTTTATGATTACAACATGACCCATATACTAGGCGATCAGCCTGGGGGGTTGGTCGGTACCAAATCAGGGGAATAATGGCCATGGTGATTTTTGGGTTGGTGTACACCCCTAGAGTAAGAAAATATGTGATAGCATTACAGAAGTGGCAGCTTAATGGGTGTTATCACCCATTTTCCAAAATGGCCGCCGTTGCGCTTGCTACCAAATAATAGAAGTTATATCTAAGCATACTGAGAGGCAAAATCAGTGATTTTAAGGTCTAATTCTAGGTTTTAGGGGTCACTGATTAGATTTATGCCTAAATCCAAGTCATCAAAACATTTATTCACATGAAAATCCAAGATGGCCGCCAATTTTGGTTCAAATACAAATATGTAACTAATGATACAAGCTAAAAATGTTTCAAAATGATTTTGAAGAGTTTTAGAAGAGGTTTTCAAGTCTAAGGAATTTATTCATGTCTAAATCTATGTCATCAAAGGATCACCTTATATGTAAATCCAAGATGGCCGCCAAAATAGCTGCCAAAAGGAATATGTAACTACATGTATTGATACATGCTCAAAGAACAGATAATAAGCAAATTTATAGATCATGAAAAGGTTTAGGGGTTAATGATTTCACGTATGCTTCATTTTAGTCTAAGTAATCAAATAATTACTTTTCTTAGAAAACCAAAATGGCCGCCAATATGGGCGCCGAAACGAACATGTAACTATTAATATAAGCTCAAAGAATAGCTAAAATGTAGTTTTGTATATCATGAAAGGGTTTGGGGATAAATGATTTTATTGTCTTAGTTTTCAAAGAATAACTTGATGTGGAAATCCAAGATGGATGCCAAAATGAATAAGTTACCATTCATATTAGCTCAAAGAACAGTTACAAAGTGAGTTTGAAGACCATGTCTAGGTTTCACTGGTCGAAAATTTAAAGTTAATGGCTAGGTTTCAATGGTTGAGAACTTTAAGTCATCAAATAATTCTATTATTTGGATATTCAGGATGGCAACAAAAAGGGCTGCCAAAATGAATAATTAACTTTGGAACATATTCATTTGGATATCAAAGATGGCCCTGATGGGATGAACCATCTCAATTGTACTCTCTTCATCAAAACGATGAACTGGCTTGTGAAAACAGAAGAGTCCTAATATGGAGGTCTCAAAGGGAATGATGATACAAGACATCCTTCTTGTCAAGCCTTTATGGACATCATTAATGTTATGACCTAGTCATTCCCTGGAGCATAACGGATTTTAAGCTGCTTTGAGAAGATGAGATGTATGTAGTGCAATCCCAGGAATATTTTCAGCTAAGTGGTATACAAAGGAATACCCTTTGCATTCGTTCCACTTCGCTTCTGAAAAGAGAGCTTCATCTCTAGTTTAACTAGACTCTGCAAGCAGGGTAACAAAGTCTACAATTAATCCAAGTCTACAATTACACAGAAGATAATATCTTGGATGGACTGAAGAGTGCCGAGTATGAAGACCTCATTGACAAAGTAAGATGTAAAGGGTGGAAGTTGAGACACTTTCCTGTGCATAGAGGCTTTAGACAGCTTCCAATGTTCTTCTCGGAACATACTGTTGAGAGAACTAGGTCTGCAGCCTGTGAACTTGAAGATGGCAATAAAGGAAATAGGTTAGATGGTTGTGTCATGCTCCATGTGAATGTGGTAATGACCAATCAAATCACATGTTATTCTTAACAATGGCAATGGCCAATGAAATCAGGTATTATTCTTAACACCCAGCAACCTTATGAGGGTGAGCTACTGATGATGGACAAACGGATCCTGGAACAAACCTTGACCACTTGTCCTTGGAAGATACCATAATCACCAGCCAACATCCTTCATTAATGCTTAAAGATATGGGTACATGATATATATATATTTATTTATTTTGGCAGCCAGTTTGGTGACCATTTTGGATTTTAATATGAGGAAAGGTTAAGATAACTTAGTTAAAGGCTAGTTAATTGAAACCATTTTCTCCTGAAACCCAGTCTCAGATATCTATAACGTAACTATTCTATTTTTTTTATGTGCATATGAATTCATTTTTGCAGCCATTTTGGCAACCATTTTAGATTTCTATGTAAAGGTTTTCTTTAATCACTTCAATTTACACATGAATGGAATCCTTAACCTCTAAAACCTTACCATGGTCTGCAAAAGCACATTTTAACTGTTTTTTTGAGCTTACATAAATAGTTACATATTCATTTTGACACCCATTTTGGTGGCCATTTTGGATTTATATGTAAAGTACTTCTTTGATCACTTAGATTTAGACACAAATAAAATCCCTAGCCTCTGAAACCCTTTCATGTTGTGCAAAATCACTTTTTAACCATTCTTTGAGCTTTTTGAGCTTATACCAAAAGTGACATATTTGTTTTGACATCTATTTTGGTGGCCATCTTGGATTTCCAATTCTTTGATGACTTAGATTTTAACTGAAATAAAATCCTTGACCCCTAAAATCCTGAAATAGACCTCAAAATCACTGTTTTTGTCTCTCAGTATGCCTAGATAGAACTTCTTTTATTTGGAAGCAAGCACAACGGTGGCCATTTTGAAAAATGGGTGATAACACCCATTTAGCTGCCACTTCTGCAATGCTATCATATAATTTCTTACTCTAGAGGTATTTACCTTGCCAAAAATCACAATGAGGCTTATTCCCCTAACTTGGTACCGATAACCTAAATTTTGGGGTGAAGCTGATAGCCTATACAGCAGTAAAAATCATGCAAGGATTTATCTTTGGACGAAGGCCACGATATAGTGGCCTTAGAAGAAGGTAAGTTCCAAACATTTAAAATTTTACTGTAGTCATTCCTTTGGGGCGCTACCGGGATCAAATTCAGATTTGGACAGACAAGCTCCTGCCGATCTTAATATCACTATTTTGGCATCTCATCAATGCAGGATTTTTTATAAACTGTTTGTTGGTGATCAGAATGGTAAAGAATGCTTTGAATGAGGCACAGATCCGGAGCCAGATCCAGCCTCTATTGGTAGTAGGCTCAAAGAATAAATGGAAAGATGAGACACAAACCAAAAATGGTACACCAAAAAAAATTACCACCCAAAAATATGACGCTCATACCATGGGCTTTCAACTAGAATAATTGAAAGCCCATGCTCGTATTGACCTTTATCTTTTCCATCTCTCAAACATTGAGTGATCTGAATATTTACCTGTAATCTCTTCTTTATGTATTAGTTTGAATGGTTGCATGATATCAATTATTGACGCTGTAAAACGAATTTTCCCAGGACATTAATTTCAAATTTCAGAGCGTAAAGATAATGGAGTGCTTCGGTAATTTCTGGCAGTGTCCGATGTTGTTCGTTTCTCTAATTACATCACATCACAACAAACAGCCAATGAAAATAAAGGATCCTGAGCCTAACAAACAATAACCATAACCAAATAGACTATATCCTATCTAGTCTGAATTATTTCCACTTGACAATATGCTGTGTTTCTTTTTATTGCATTTAATTGTACCTTACTAATTCATTGAAATTTTGTAATGCTTATTTTATTGAAGAAATGGTTCCCCTAATTGATAATTTTGTGCAAAAAATTTCACTGCAATTTCCACAGGAAAGTAGTACATCATAACAGACTGACTTCTAGTCAGTCTGTTGGATACATACTACATAACCAAACCCGTCTGGGTTTCTCGGTAATCTCTAATGTGACGTTGTGACATCGTTTGAGGTATGACATGTGATATTTATTGATAAACTGACTCCAAAATCAAGGAAAAATAAATTTTCCGAAGATTTTGTGTCTTGTCCTTGAGTATATTTATTTAGCCTAGACCCCAAGAAGAGGTAATCTGGCAGAAGTCCGTGGAATGAGGTATGATCTGTCTCATGATGATAATATGTACATATTTCTGAAATGGCTGCAATCATCATTTCTATAGGCTATTCTATTGAGATACTGATGCTTATACGAAAGAATCTTTGCCTCGATCCTTTTAGGTAGTGAGCCCCATCAATGAACGAACTGCTTTTTGGAGATATGAAGGGAAAACATGGGCGATAATTGGCTACTTCCGGGTAAAATATTGATCTATTTGATCTGTATGAGTGTCTGTAACAATCATACACTCTATAATATACTTGGAAACATACTTACTAATCCAACGTATGATCTGATATTGGATTACAATGTGCCCTTTGCCTATAAAACTTCTTTTGAGGAAGTTTTGTTTCCGCAGTTTCACTTGCCATGTTTTTCTTCAAGGCGGGTGTTACTAAATAACACCTAGGTGTCCCCTTGGGCACCTGGATTTCTAATTTCATTTTAAACCACGTACACATTTTAAATATAGTATTATTTCCTTTGTCATATTAACTTGACATTTAATAGGCTTGAAATAATAATTTGTAGTCGAGAATATTGCAAAGAAGATTCGAAAATAAAATGTTAAAAGTTTTACTGTTAGAAAAATGGGCACCTGGAATTTTGCTCATGTATGGTCATTTATTTCAACCGTGTAGTACTGGTAATAAAACACTGTTTATATGCTAAAGTGTGCATTTACATTTGAAATATATACATTGGTCTTACTTAAGGCGACGCTATATTAAATAAAAAGTACAAAAAATGACTGCCATATTTTTTTGATAAAGACACATGTTTTTAAAATCTGTTTACCTTGTATATGAATTGTGTGTCTTGACTAATGAAACATGTCAAAGTTAACATCACACATAAACGCATTTTTCCAAACTATGAATTGGAGGTGCATGGATCCCCAAAGCTAGCATGAAGAGTGCGAAGTGAGGCTAATTTTTGAAAGTTTCAAGGAGTAGCCTTGCAACAGTCACACATTTGCAAGAGTCTAAAATTTCCACAAATCATCTTACCTTTCCCAGGAACAACGAAGGAGCATGAAAATGTGCACTTCTTGCATTGTTAGAGTATAATAAAGCTCAAACCATTGTAAATTCTAAATATTTCATGTCCACATTTTGTTTGCCGGAACTACTTCTAGACTTCCTGATTAATCCTCATAAAAGTTTTGTGACTACACCAAGTGGCATGGATTATCACTTGTATGTTTTATCTATTACAGTGTAATTATCATGATAGATACATGATAGAGGCTTTATGAATGATAAACAATGGAAACATGAATGAAAATAACTCTGGACTAAAAAATAGTTCCAGGAAACAAAATGGTGGACATGAAATATTTAGAATTCACAATGGTTTGAGCTTTATTATACTCTAACAAGGCAAGAAGTACACATTTTCGTGCTCCTTCGTTGTTCCCTGGTAAGGTAAGACTATATCTGGAAATTTTGAATTCTTGCAAATATGTGTCTGTTGCAAGGCTACTCCTTGAAACTTTCAAAAAATAGCCTCACTTCGCACTCTTCATGCTAGCTTTTGGGAGCCATACACCTCCAATTCATAGTTATGAAAAATGCGTTTAAATGTGAGGTTTTCTTTTATGTGTCTCTTTAGTCAGGAAATACATTCACATACAAGGAAAACAGTATACAAAATCTTCTGACTTTATCAAAAAAATATGGCTCCCATGTTTTTGTACTTTTGATTAACTTAAATGTCACCTTAAGTTGCTAAAATAGTGTATTTGTAGCGTTTCATAGTGAGCAAATTATGAAATATTATCCTAACAAATGACTTTTCGACATCGATCAAAATTTTTTAAGAAATTAAAAATATCATAACCAAACAGAAATATTTACACAAGCTCCATGAAAATACTTTATTTTGTACCATATTAACACTTGGAAAAATGTTAGTTTAAAATAAAGTAGTAAAATATGCCAATAAGGCATTTCAATGGGGACACCTAGGTGTGGGACACCTAGGTGGTATTTAGTACAACCCTTCAAGGCCGTTGTCTCGTTTTGAAATTTAGCCAAGGTCACAAATATTTTGAAAAGTGATTTTTGAAGTTTCTTCGTTTATCTCAAAATGGTGAGTATATTGACTTGAGATGTGATTAGTTGTGTTTTCAAATACTTCTGATAGTTTGAAGCATGATATCTAAAAGTAGCATACTCGACATGGTTGTAATGTTTGACTGTAATTCATCCAACTCAAATTTCTTCAATTTTTTCTCAAGTGAAGAAAGGAGTTCAAATTCAAGTTGAATTTCTGCACTGCCAGAGTGCCACAAGGGGTATGAAATCCAGGCCACCTCAATATTTTTATCTCCAAGCAATTTGTTAATGCTGATTCATATGGTGAAGAATGCAAAAATGAACTGCAAGACATCCTCTGAGCACAGGGCTCCAGACATCCACGTCCTGTACGTTCCTCCCTTCATCTTTCATCTAAAAAAAAACTCAAATATTATCTGGAAGAAGGAGGTACGAGTTCTGGAGGCCTGTGTTTGGAGGATGACTAAAAGTTACTTGACTTGACTTCATTGATTTTGTATGTAATCTAGAAACAACTGTGCGTGTCGTAGGCGTAGCGCATGGTATGCTTGGTACGCACAGGCGTACAGTTGGGGACATAAATAAATGACAGGTGGATTTGCTGAAGTGAGGATTTCCCATGTTAAAAATAAGAGAATTTACAAGAGGCCATACATCAGTGGATGAGATTATACAAAATGTAAAATATACAAATTTTAAGGGATATATATCTAGACAATATTTGAAATTATGGGCTTTCAGACCACCATAATTAGGAAATGGTGATCGAAAATCGACCTGTCATTTATTTTTGTCCCCAACTGTACCAGATGGTTGCAAATTTACTCCAAATATGAGCAAATTTCAAAATTAAACCCCAGACCCCCTAAACGGTTCTTTTTTGCTTCGCTCACCTCTTGTTCCTGTGGTGGTGTACTGCTTAGAAATATAGCGCTACGCCCATGCATGTGTTACCATGATTTACAAATATTGAATATACCAGGTCGGCTGTAACAGTCACTTAAAGCAGGAATATACGCTAGGTTCGTGTTAACGCCGTTTTTCACGATTTTTACGCAGTTTATTTCATCTTCACGCAAAACTGCAACACATCTTACGTATGGTATACGTAAAAATCATATTCAAAAAACAAAAATTAAAAACTTTAAATAGGACTCTCTCTAACAGCGTAACATAATGATCAATCTGATTCGTGCAATACATTTTTCTTCTGGTTATTTAGCCAATCAAAATTCTTGTAGCAAACATATATGGCTAAACAGGACCGTCCTTTTGAAATGATCATAATTAGAGAGCTTGTGATTAACTTCTTGCTCTGCACTGTACAGCCGTGAGAAATCAACTTGTTCATGGTAAATGGATATAATTAACCCTAATATAGATGATCACCATGTTAGATTCTTCTTAAATACTTTGAATGGCCACTTGAATTGGCGGAATTGATTCAAATAACCACGGCTATTTCATGCCTACCAACTGCATCAATCTAGTGAAAGTACCATACCTGGATGTCATAAGGGGATTCCCTGTCCAAAGCCAAACCGCCAGCTTGAAAAAATGAAAAAAACATGTGGAGACATAAAACAAATATTTTTCACCATATGCAGCAATTTTCAAAAAGTACCCCAAAAAAAATTTTGTACCTCGTTTTTTGAAGTGACCTGGGTATAAAGTACTCAAAATTACTAAGGTCTAGCGCAAGTAAACTACGAGGAGAATTTCTGATAATCTAGCGTAATTGATAACAACGACAATAGTCTATCTCGATCACTTGTGTGTTTTAATGTCCAAGATAACTTGGCGATACAAATGTCATTCGTGTGTAATATGAATTTATTTTTCCATATATTATAGCACAACATTCTTTAGCTATCTTATTTTTAGGTTCAAATGGTTGTTATGAATCCAGTTATGAAACAGGTTAAAAGACTGTATAATCCATATAATATACAAATATAAAACTTTCATTGCTTCCAGTTGAACCAATTAAGGGTGCAATACAATTTCATAAACATCTCTTATAAATATGTTACTGTTCATATTCAATACAGTGTATGCAAAGTCTTGCTTAAAGACCCTGGACTCCCCCCCCCTATCTATTTAACAACACTAAAACACTATAAAGTACATTCGATAAGCTCGAGGGTTCAGGGTATTGTAGCAAGACTATATACATGTATGTATCCTTGTTTTAATTAGTATGGGCAGAAGAAGCCACCCCCTATGTCTGAGAGTGAGTCTGATTGGGATGACACCACCAGGGCTAGCAGTCCAGATGCAAAGCTACATAAAGCACCTGCTATTGAAGTGAGCTCGGATGAAGAACCATCAAGGATGTCTGTCAAGTCATCAAGGTCGAATAAGAAATCAAACAATAGATGTAAGTTGAATATTTACCTTATATTACAAACACATCATCTTATGCATACTTTAACTATAAAATTAATGTTAAATAATTTAGCCAATGAGAGATCCAGTCAAAAATTGATGCGCCAACGTCTGAAGTTGGACTACAACCCTGCTTGATACAATAACATACACAGATAGCCTAATCGTGAATTAAAAAAGTAGGAGGTAAAATTAGAATTACTATGGAGTTTTTATGTTGTAGCTACAGTACTGAAATCAACTGAGAATACTTCTAAGTCCAGTAAGCAAGGGACTCCAAAATCTCAACAGAAATCTCAACCAAAAAAGTAAGTGAAACATTATAAAAATGACTGAAGCATTGTCCAAGCTTTTAGATAACCTGTAAATCACCTGCAATAGTCAGAGGCTAAAGTGACTAACTAATGGGAATTTAGGGTATACATCGAGATGATTCTATCTTTAGCTAATGGCCAGACTTGATGCCTTAGAGCTGGCATCATAACGTTTACAGTGAATTTCTGCCAACAGAATTAATATATTTTTTTTGCAAGGCGCATAACATTTTTGTGGTAGTTGAGATGTAATTAACTTCAGCATGAACTATCCTTATGGCACAAATTTATCCCGATCTGTACATACAAAATTAATTTTTTGGGCAATTTTTGAAGACAAATTTGACTTTGCTGCATTTACAATAATAAGGTGTTAAAGGGCTAATAGCTGTTATTGTCATCCTATTTGTTCCTATCTTTTTATGTCATCACCAGAAGTGGTGACATACATCTGTATTGTTAGTCTTAAACTTTTTTTGAACATTGTTCAGCAGTTTGTGTTTGGCATTTGGTGTTTGGCAGTTAGCATTCGGTGTCTGTAACAAATAACAGGTGGCGAAGTTTTGCATGTTTGTACCTTGTTGGTATCTACAGAAGTACCAAGTCATGAGTGTGTTTAAAAGGATGTTGACTTTTTCAGTGATCTCCTTGATACATTCACATTCTCAGACAGAGGGCGCAGAAATGATGCATATAGCGAGGAAGAAGATATGAGTGTTAGATCAAGAGCCTCAAAATCATCAAAGACATCTAAACATCATCAAAATAACAAGCCATCCAAAACTGAAAATCCACCTTACGATTTCAGAGATGCTATAACAGGTAAGTTTAATTATTAGTTATTATGTTGTCACCAAGAGTTGATCAATATATTGATGTTTTTTTTATTTTGTTTCATCCTTTATTGACCAATTTATTTGTCACGTGCCAGGCTTTCCATGTTTTATATCACCATTAGATCTGAAGTGGTGGCATTGTTTTAGTTTTACTAGTGGTAGTTTAGTCAATATATTGTTATAGTTATCAAATTTATCTCACCTCCAGAAATGGTGAGATATTGTTTTTTTCTGGACAGTATTTTGCGGTTGGTGTTCAGCAGTTGGTGTTTGTGACTGTTTGGCAATCAGTAACACATTTACATGTATAACAATTTTTAGAGATGAAATTCACGGTGACCAAGAGTTAACAGTGCAAATCGGCCCGGTCGTGTTTTTTTAAACTCTTTAGTCGTGTTTTGTTGAAAATTTGAGAGGTAGGTTGATAAATTTGGTCATGAAATTGCTGTCACTTGACTTTATGTAAAAGTAAGTAATTTATATTGCTTTCCATACTATATCTTAACTTCAGGTATTCGTAAACGTGTTATTTGCACGAATCGTATGCTATAGTCTTGTTATATCGGGAAATGAGCAATTCTGTCAGTGTTATACATATTTTTGCCTGAAAATCACTTGCCTGACTTGTATTCAATGGATACATCGATTCATAAGGAAAGCATTCACAATATGTGCGAAAATTAAACATTAGAAGAGCTTAAATAAGTAGCAATTGACCGAATAATATTTCTTAGATTAAACTCTTTAGACGTGTTGAAAAGATTGCGGTTAATGACGTTGACCTGTTAGTGAAACGTTCTAGACGTGTAGAGACATTGGGGTTTAACAATTTGGAAGTGGGAAACAGCACAATTAACATTATGTATTTCCCCAAAAATGATCACAATGTGGAAGAAGTTGTTGTCTGAGTGACACTATCTTAATTATAAATGATTAACAATAATCAAATGTACGACATAATATGTCAAGATTGATCTATGGGATCACTACCGAATTTGATCCTTAAATCAAAATGGTTAGAATCAGACATGCATGGTTAATGCAAGCGAGCTTTGCCTCGTCGCTCGTCATTTTGAAAATTTGACCAGATATCATTTTTTAATTGCCCTGTCGCTCATTAAATGGCTCGTTGCTATTTTTGAATTTGCCTCAAATACGTTTTAAAACGTCCCTATTGGCATTAAACTAACTTTTCTCTGTTATGAACGTAAATAAATTTATTTAAAATGAGAGGAAATGTTTAGTTTGTGATGCACTACATGTAAATGCATATATATGATCACCTAATGTAAGGAATAACTCCTTCGTTATTAAAATCGTATGCTCAATATCTATTAGGTTTGCCTCAGGATTTTTAACAATTTGATTCGATGTTATTCCCTAATTCGCCTCACACAATGCAATACAATTTCAATTTTAATTTTCAAATTGCAATAGGTTAAAAACGCTACATATGCTGCTATCGTTCTATGAGTGATCTATGAACTGTACTGTAACATAGTTTTCTAGCGAATTAAATTACAACATCTGTTGATCTTGTTAAATCATATATCTGTCTTTTTTATTTATTCTTATTTATTCATATCTTGACTACAAATTACAATAAACGGGTGACACATAATGTATATTCCCGTGTTTAGTACTAATACGATTATTTTCAGAAGTACAGACAAATTATTAAGCAACAAAACATGGTCAATGTGAACAATATTACAAGACAATTCAAAGTCGTTAATTTTATCATGTCTAAAACGTTATCTTTACAATTCCAAAACGTTAACATACTTATTATAAGACACGTCCATGACGTTATATTGTCCCTTCTCCATAGTTAACTCCACTTTCTACATTTACGGTCATTTATGGCAATTTTAAGATAAATACAGTTAAAATATTTACACGATCTTTAGAGTAGTGAATATTATTCCACGTTGTTGAATGGATTGTCTGTTTAAACTTGATTAAATAACACTAAATGCAAATTAAGTACATATTTCTGGCACTTTTGGTATATAATTGCGATTGATATGAAGTATGATGGATTTATCCCCAAAATAGATTCGTGGGTATGAAGAAGAACATCTTAGGTAGAAGTCAAGATATGTAAGTTTGTAAGATATGGAATATTCTTACCATTTTGCTCCTTTCTATCGAATGTCGCATCCCATGTTCTTACAAAACACGACTAAAGAGTTTAAAAAAACACGACCGGGCCGATTTGCACTGTTAACTCTTGGTCACCGTGAAATTCTGTCTTGTTATTGCCTTGTTTGTTTAGTTATACAATGATTATAATTTGGTGAATTAAAAGATTAGTTTTGAATTAACATAACTTACTAGAATGTTATGATTATACATTGTTTGATATGAAACTTGATGGAGATAAATTTTGTTGATGAAAAATATTCACATATATCAATGATAATGAGGATCCTCCCAACAGAGGGCTACAGAACTCATTGGATCTACGAGCCCTGCCTTCGGAGGATGATATTTTAGCATAGTATGTACCAAACACAATACTTCCACTTCGACTAAAACACTTATGAATAAAGGAGCATATCAAATTTTCCCTTTGGTTCCAGACAAAAGGAATTCCCCTGCCCCTAAGGAAAACAGACCCCCTGGTAAAGATCGCAAGGGACAGAAGTATGACATACCTCCAGACTCAGCAAGAACTGAAAAAGGTAATATTTTTTATCTTATGGCAGCAGTACATAAATTAATTATTTAATTAGAAAATTAATGCCAAAATTAGCCACCATGTGGCATAAAGTGATGACACACTCTTATGTGACAGCCAGAGTTTCAGATCCTCAGTAAAGCAATACTAGTATAAATGGCAAGTTTTTTTGAAAAATTACTAGTATGAGTTTTTACTAGTTTTTTCAAAAAATTACTTGTAATTGAAAGTAAATAACTTGTGCAAAAACTCCAGGGCCTACAGAGGAGCCCCTTGGTTTAGGCCTTCAACTTCCTACTGATTCCCTGGACTGACACTTCCTTTACTGGCAGTGTCCTTTTTACCAGGAATTTGCATGTATTGATGTATGTCACATTTTTTTGCACAATATTACAATAAATATGCAATACATATTCACGATTCTTTAATTCAATCACTGCAAACACTAGAATTGTTATATTCATGAACTCAGTCTGATTCTGAATTAAATCTTGCTGAATTGCCAAGCCATACTCTTCGCTTCCTGTTTTTCGGCAAGGATAAATAACTCAGTATTTCTCAAATACTGTTGATTATCTGTCATTTTCACTTCAGATTTATCTTCTTTAAGGTATGGGTAATAGATTAATTGCTCTGGGTTGAATTCTAAAAAAAATTTCAATTTTTTGGCGCAAAGCTTCGACTAGGCCCCTAAATGGCCAGGGTTTAGTCTCCAACTGGTTCAAGCGTTCAGTAAAAAGGGTTTTAAGAGATCGCAGATCCCAGAATTTCATCAGACACTGCATAATGCGTGCGTACGTGATACAGGTTAATTGCGCAGAACATTTACAATATAGATTTTGCAGGCAACTTTTCCACGGGGTTATATCCAGGCTTATATCATATGTTTGCGCGGGAAATACACCTGAAATCTCCTGAGAAGTTATGACTGGAAAAAGTTTTAAACTTTTTGGAAAAAACGTCTCTATATTTGACAAAACATGTGGTAAAAAGGGATGTAAAGCTACAAACAAGTAAGTTGAGTGAGAGGAATTACTACGAGTTTAGAGATCATGCCATACTAGTACGAATGGCAAGTATTTTGAAATTATTTCTTGTATTTGACAAATTACGAGTATACGAGTGGGGATCTGAACCACTGGTGACAGCTAAGGCAGTCATTATGAAGGGAACAAATAGTTAAGATCACAAGCATTATAAAGTTCAATTTAAACAAACTTATTAAATTAATATGTACAATATTTTATGATCTAACAAGTGCGTGATAGAGGGGTTGCCATTTTAGTAAAGGGTGTAAATACGTTTTTGTGCTTGATACAGGGTATATTTAATGGAAAAGGTTAAATTATGATGTTGAATTATTGGTGTCTATCATATATTTAAGAACTGCCATCTACCAAATATCATATACTTTTGATAAGATTTACAATCTCTAGATCTTAGTCAATGGCATGTTGCACCTCAGCCTTTAATTGGCGATATTCGCGACTATTAATTTTCGTGATTTTTACACAATCGCGAAAAGCACGAAACTAAATTGCACACGAAAAATATCGGGAGTACAGTACATTGAAACCATACACTCATATATTTCATAAGAATTTGCAATCAAGCCTAACAAATCTATTAGCAAAATATTAGAAGGCCAGCAAATGTACACATGCTAAAGTGATGAAACTTTAATGAATTTTAATTTTGCCTATACTGAGATGTGTTAAACTCTATTTGGGTTAGATTTATTGCTACACCCTCTACTTACAGCCTTAACATGCCCCCTATGGGGCCCCCTATCGGCTATCACCCGCTTCAAAATCATAACAGGTTCCTTTATATCTTCCTTTATCTTCTGTTTAAGAAAAGCTGTTAGCTATCAGCTGTATTTTTGTCAATCAAGATTTCTCTTCATCTGTGAATTACCCAGCGAGAAACCAAAATGGCAATTTTGATGGAAAGACACAAAGTACCAGTCAAAATCTCTGAAGATTTCCGTGCAAACAATGGCAGCTCTCCCAGTTAGGTTTTAGACTGTCTTCTCATATTTTGTCAATTTTATTCAATTTCAAGTATTGTTTAGAGTTGTGCGTTCAACATATTCGAGAAGTCAATAGCTATAATAAATTTGCAGATTTTGCTCGAATTTATGTAAGCTTTTCTCTTTTGACGGATACTTTGTGTCTTTCCTTGAAATCATGACAGGTGTAACTGATCTACTGAAATCAACTTCAAGTGCTTACTACTATCTCCCAAATCTGAGCTACATCAGTGCTTTTTGTTGAGAAAATATGTAAGTTATTAGCCACTTCTTTGCCGATCAGGATTTAAATTCTCTTTATCTGTCATGTACCTAGCAAGATTCAGAGATTTTGACTTGTACGTCATGTCTTTCCGTCAAAACTTCCATTTTTGGTTTCTTGGTAAAGAGTATCTTCTCAATGTATAATGAGAATTTGCTGTTCGGCACAGAAGCACCTTTTAATTTTTTTCGATTTTCGCAAGGAGGACACTAACACAATTTTGAAGCGGTTGATAGCGGGGTCTAAAGGCTGTTCTAACAGATCAGTCACAGCCTCTGAAAGAGCTAGATCTAAGGCTCTAGCTTTGGGCTAGTCTAAGTCCTATAGATCTAGTAGTCTAGGCCTAGAATCATAGCCCAGCCATAGGCCCGTAAAAATGTAAAGAAATAAAGCTTACAGCATGTTCTATAAGTGAATTTGACTCATTGTTATACATGTTCCGGGCCTATGCCTAGTATAGTCCCGCAGGACGAAGAAGATAGAATGTAAAAATCAAATTGAAAATCAAAATAATCGAACGAAAAAAAATTGAAAAAGTTGAAAATTCGATTTCGATTCAATTTGATTTTCTGCCATTATAAATGAAATACTGTACTTACCAACATGTTTCTCGGATATATATGTTGTTCTTACTTTATCTTCGCCGAAGATCGATGTTTATTTATATATAACAATCGAATAATCGACATTATTCAAACTCATCACTACGACACCCGGGCTCGATTTAATTCAACACGCACTTAAGACGGGCCCCTTGGACCAAGCCTAGCTAAAATATATCACTGGAGTTTTTCGTAATAGGTAGTTTCTGATCGAATTTTTGTCAAATCAAAAAAATAAATTACTCGGCAATAGGTTATTAAGATGAATATTGGCGAGAGGTGTACACTGACAAAGAATGGTTGAAATAACTCCATAAACGTCAAAGATCTAGGAAAAAAACGATGAAAATCTCCCCTAAAAAGGACCCCTTCGAAAATGGCATTCTCCATTTAAGGGCAAAAAGGCGGAGTTCACGTGAATTGCGGCTTTTGCTGGGGCATATTCGGGCATCTCGGCTTCAAACCCAATCAGAAGTTTCAATTTTGACTGGCGCCGCTTATCTCAAGTCTCACCCAATATTTTTATGTATACGTTAATAATAAATGCTTCTTTACGTATAGTTCTTTAACTTTCACATTATTTATGGAACTTTCTGTATCATTAAAAACAATCAGTTTTTCTTTGATTGAAAGATGGTGTCATTAATAGGCAATAAAAAGACTTTTGGCAAAGTGATCTAAGCTTGTTTTACATTCAAACTTCCATAGAAGCCCCATATGAGAATCTTAAGCTTTTATCAGTCTAGCAAATGGGATTTATGGGAGAAATCACAGTTCCTTGTTGCAGTAACTGGGTATGTCAAATATGCTGAAATCCTTGATTCCATCTTTGAAGTTGAATGTTGTTGTCATCCTTAACATGTGCACTTTCCCTACAGGGGAACTGAGTATTCCAGACATAGTACTCGTCACTGGAATGCAGGTGTCTGTCATTGTGAAATGTGTTTTAACATCATATGTTTTACCTTTGAAAGGAGCTTTCCAGGAGTTGACCTTTAAACTCTCACCAAGTATTTCTTCTCCCAGAAATTCGGCATCATCCGGAATACAGCGCTCTGGTTTAGGATAAACTATTGGTCCAACCTCACATTTCTTATATGTATTGTGTATTGTATAATGTTTGTTAGCCTTGAAATCTTGGATCATGGTCACCACTTCAGGATGTCCATTTTGGACGATAGCATGGACTGCAGTTCTTTCATTTTTCCCATCAAACCACATTTGACCCATGACTTCAAACTGCAGGGGATTGGATTTAAAGGTTAAGCGTTCAACCCGGCTGATATTGGCGTGCCATTGATACGGTGTACAGCATTTCTGTGGAGCATTTACATAAAGGACTAAATTCTCATTGTGCCGATTTGTTGGGTTTGCAGAAGTATATGTTGCAAGGATCAGGCCAAGCAGAACAAATAGCAGCAAGTTGATCGTTGTCATACTAAAATGAGTTTTGAATAAACTGTATAGAACATATATAAAACATGTTAAAGTCTTTCATATACACTCTTAGAAGATTGAAATTTCTATTTATTATGTCACTACCAGAAGTTATGACATATTATATTGTTATAGTCTCCAACTTATTTGTGGACAGTGTTCGGAGTTGGGTAGTTGGTGTTTGGAGTTCGGCATTCAGTGTCTGTAACAAATTCTTACAACTTCAAATAATACAACTTCAAATTTTAACCATGAACATATATAAATACATATTTTGGCTGACCTTCAATGTTCTCAGAAGTTCAAAGCTGACTTAAGATTTGACCTTTGGTTGACCTTCAATGACCTTCGAAAGGTGGTTATAATTTGTCATGTTAATGCCTTGTACTTATATTAGGGTGCAATGACTATGAAACGAAAACAAACACAAAGTGGCAACGAGATCAAGAATTGGTAATTAAAATGAATACATGTACATTTCATCATTTATTTATATATATTCATCTCCCTTATGCAACATTCAAAGGTGAAGTGAGACCTCACCTAGGAATTGTTCTGGACCAATCAAACCTGAATTCTTGAAAACAATGAATGACAAAATCTTACCTGATATTTTCTATGATTGTTATTTACTCAATATAATTCACCTGTAGATCTTATTGCTATGGCTATATTCACATATTCAACTGACTTATATTTTTTTTAATTCAGGATTTTATTTATATAGCCAACATTTGAGTTATTTATGAACCCTCAAATGATAATAAATGATGAAAAGATTATGTGGCAATACATAAATCACATCTGATTATGTGATTTTGAAAACAAAACAGCACATCCACTTGTTATATCATTTGACAACATTAGACTAATGTGAAGTAAATTTCCTTGTAGCGCTCCAATCATATTTTCCTCTTTCCTCTTTTTTTGTTTTGCTTCCTTGGAAATAATTGCCCTCATAAGAGCTTAAGGAAATTTTCAGATGGGGATTTCCTCCTGTTGAACAACTATTTGATTTGTGGGAAGTTTCAATCTGTTGAGGACCATGATGCTTTAACAGGGGTCTAAATTCAAAGGTGTTTTATTGATTAAATAATATTTTCTTATAAATGTTGATGCTTAGCAATTAAAATGAGCCTCTTTTGCATTTTCATTTAAAGAGATGCTGAACAAATTAACAAGAAAGTAATCCCTGAAGTGTGTCTGAAGTCTGAAGATAAAATTGGTTAAAAACACTAAAACCTGCTTGAAACAGCCACACTAGTTAGCTAATGTTATGGTGTTAACAATTTCAAAGTAAAAAGGAATAAAGAAAAATTTCCATGGGGAAATTAGTTTAGCACCTCTTTAATGACACTCTGCATACTTTATTCAATCATGTTGGATTCTATAATGGATTTATTCATTTATGAGAGTCAATATTTATAAATAAACTTAAAATTGACCCTTGTTGAAGTCTCCTTTGATTCGTATAAATATAAAGTGATACTTAATACAGAGGGAGCTGCATGTTATATCAGTAATTTGAAACAACCTCAATGGTATTGATACTGTTCAATGACTATTCTGTCTTGAAATCTTCCCAAAATATATATAGAAAAACTATGCTGGATCAAAACAAACTTTATGTTCATAGACAGTCAGTCCTACATGGCCTTTAACTAATGATAAAAAATGATAATAACATACTGTTCTACTGTATAAGAATTTATTCAGAATTTATATAACATGAAATTTTATATGAAAAATATAAGCTTAGTAACCTGGACAGGTTGAATGATGCATTTATGTTTTTACTCTATATTTGCAATGGAACAACCATTCTTATTGAATTTTCATGTTTTATTCTGGAGACAATTTCCTAGATAGAAAAAATATTTTATCAAAATTTCCAATTTTATAATTTTGACAGGCTTCTTTCAAAAACACTTCACTGTCAATAAAATACAGGTTTTTGCTTGAACAATTGAACTTCTAACTTCATTTCAAATATTGTCTGGTTATTGTATTTTAGGCCTCCTAAAGTCTTTCCAGATATATTTGTTGCCACATTAAAAATTATGGCTGATTATTGTTATTCACTTTAGTCATATTCAATATTACTACAGTGCATTAGGTCAATAAAAAACGTGTTGCTCTGGGTCTTGTTTTGTGAAACTTTCCCTAGATTAAGCCCAGATAGAGGAGGTCAATCTTCTTGTCAACAGACACGAGTTCAACCCGATCAAACTGTTCAATACTGTCCAAATTGAAGTAGAATATTACAAATTTCCAACTTCAAGTATTTCCGGCATTAGATCCTTCAGAGATGTTAATATAGCTGTGTCAAATTCTATCATGAAATTGTCAGGGAAACCTGACATATTCAAAGCATGGTACACTTTACATGCCACAGGGTTGCATGCTGAGTGAAATTGGCGGGAAAGCCTAGTGGCAAAAGAAGGTGCTTTATCAGACGAAAAGTGACCCAGAGTAACAAGTTTTTCATTGGCCTCATGCTAGATGTAATAATATTATTGAATATGACAAGTACATCTGGAAAGACTTTAGGGGGCCAAAAATTCAAAAGCTGGAAATCTTTGAAATGACGTTAAAAGTTCAATTGTTCAAGCAAAAACCTGTATTTTATTGATACTGGAATGTTTTTGAAAAAAGCCTATCAAAATTATAAAATTAGGAATTTCATTAAAATATTTTTTTCAATATTGGAAATTGTCTCCAGAATAAAACATGAAAATTTCAATATGAATGGTTGTTCTATTGCAAATATAGAGTAAAAACACCACTGCATCATTCAACCTGTCCAGGGTACTACAGTATAAGATAGACTTATGCAGAGGTTGACTGACTAGTAGCAGTAGCTGGTCTTCAATATGAATCTATCTGTACTGTAGTTGTTTAAGTGAAAAAAAGTTAAACATTATAGGGAGAACAAATTGCAAGCAATATTTACAGCAAAGCAACTAAAAATTGATATGTTTATTATTTGAGGATCTTATCTCTTCTTTTGACTCTGATGCATCCTTAACTATGTTTTTTAAACTTTCACATTTATAGTAATTTCTGTATCATTCAAAAAATGTCAGTTTTTCTTTGATTGAAAGATGATGTCATTTATATAAGCAATGGAATAATAAGATTTGGCTCAGTGAACTAAGCTAATTTCACATTCAAACATCCATAGAAGCTCCATTTGAGAATTTTAAGATCTTAGCAGCATGTCAGGCTATCCAATTGGAAAGATGATGTCATTTATATCTAAACAATGAAACGAAAAGATTTGGCTCAATGAACTAAGCTTATTTCACATCCATAGAAGTTCGATTCAGAATTTTATCTTCATGGTAGAGTTCACAATGACTTGTCACAATAATCAGGTATGTCAAATATGCTGAAGTCCTTGATTCCAGCTTTGTAGTTGGACGTTGTTGTCGTCATTAATATGTCTAGTTCCCCTTGAGGAGAATCGATTTTTCCAGACAAAGTGCTTGTTACTGGAATGCAGCTTTCGGTCATTGTGAAATAAGCTTTCACATCATATGTTTCACCTTTGAAAGGAGCTTTCCATGACTGCACCTTCAGACTCCCGCCAAGTACTTCTTCTCCCAGAAATTCGGCATCATCCGGAATACAGCGCTCTGGTTTAGGGAAGTATACAGGTCCAACTTGACAGGTTTTTTGTTTTTTGTTCATTGTATACTGTTTTTTGGCCTTAAAGTCTTGGATGACAGTTAGCACTGAGAGAACTCCATTTGTGACAATATTTGCATGAACTGCGACTTTTTCTTTTTTCCCATCATACCAAATATGGCCCACAAGCTCAATCTCTACAGGGTAATGGTTGACCACTAAACCTTGAACCTGGCTGATATTGGCTTGCCATAGATATGGTGTACAGCATTTTGGTGGAGGTTTTTCGTAAAGGACTAAATTCTCATTGCGACGATTTGTTGGGTTTGCAGAAGTATATGTGGTGAGGATCAGTCCAAGTAGAACAAACAGCATCAAGTTGATCACTGTCATACTAAAAAACAGTTGAGAATAATCGGTACAGTACATATGTATAAATGAATTAAATCATAGGTATCAGGGGGGTTCGAACCCCCCCCCCCCCCTGGCCAAAATTTCTTCCAAAATCATGCAGTTTTCCCCATTCTGACTTTTTTTGGGTGATTTTTGGCCAAATTTACCAAAGTGAACCCCCCCTATAATTTTTGGGAAAAGTGAACCCCCCCTTGGAAAATTCTGGCTACGGGCCTGAGTATTTAATAAACTCTTTAGAGAATAATACTTCCATTTCTACATGAAACTGCCTTCACCATGGTCAAAGTTATTGAAATAAAACAAAAATATGAACAAGATTGTGAATTAAACAAATATACACTGTAGAATGAATAATAAGAAATGACAATGGTTGATTAAAGAAGAATTTCATTTGATATTATTTTATGTACAGTATTTCCTATTATTGGGAATATGCAATTCATAAGTCCCTCATTTAAGGACGAGGTACAATGTCAAAACAGAAACACTGCTGCATGTCAAATAACCAGTCCTTCATGTGAACTAGGCCTTTATGTTCACTTTGTTTAAATGTTAGTATAATCTATAGTTTGCCTTAACCTCATATTCAACACTAGGTTAATATGAAAAATGCTCAATACAAGGTACAGTACAGTACTATAGCACTAAATGTATGTATTGGTGAATAAAAGTTAATAAATGATTTATCTCTATTCCAATATGCAGTTTATTCAGACATGTATTCTTGGCATTGAAAATTCTTACCTTATATTTTCTGCGATTGTGTATGTGATATGACTTCCTTGTTGTAGATCTTATACTTGCTTGGCTGTATTTACACATAAACCTGACTTGGTTGTAATTTAGCATGTATTTATAGTACAAACATTTGAGTTGTTTATCAACACTCACATGATAAAATTTCTAAAATTATGAGGCAATGTATGAATCACAGCTGATCTTGTGACTTTGAAAAAAGCTCCACATTGGCAAAGACACAATGGCACATATGATATTGATATTACCTCACTCCTATCGGCTAATCATGTGATGTGAATTTCCCAATAATATTTTCATCTTGCTTCCTTGCAAACTATTTTTTGAGTATCTGAAGCGCCCCTAGCAATTCTATCTATTGATAAAAAGTTAGATAGGGGCTTATTGACAGCTCTTTCTTTTTGATTTTTTAAAATTTAAATCAATATGCTTACAGTGAAAAATAATCTTCATATAAAACTAAGTGAAATTTTCAGGCTGCTCCAGATTAGGCTGATTTTTTTTTGTTTTTTTTATTAAGATAAATTTATTTCATTACAAGATATAACATTATACATCCCTTCAATCGCCCAATGGCATTATAGAAGGGTACAGTAAGATTATACAAATACAATATGAATAAGGTCAAGGGGGTTAATACTGCACTTGAGGTTGACCATGGGGTGGACCTATCTCTGTGGACAAAATTATTTAAAGTACTGTTAAGGAGGGGAAAGAGCTCATAGGTTTGTTTCAATGAATTCAGCAATTAGGGTTTGGAGTTTTGAATTTAAATCAAGGGAAAATTTTTCAGAACCATGTTTCATTAAGTAAAGCAGATCATTCTGAGTTGAGTGTTCGTCTGAAGAACCAGTTGTATCCATAATATCAGTTTTTAATTTGGTTATACTTTCTTTGATGAGAGGACATTGAAAGAAAAAGTGTTTTTCTGTCTGAGGAGCTCCACAATTACAATTTGGATTATCAATATATGTAAAATTATGTGCATAAAGTTGGGCTTTGAAAAGAAGATCGGCTCTAAATCTGTTAATTAGAATTTCATGAGATCTTTTCAGATTGAGTTTGGAAGTGCTAATAAAACTTTCTTGATTTTTAAACAAGATCTTTTGGTGTTTTTTAAAGGATTGAAAAGTTTCCATATTACGTAATCTTTTAGGTAATTGTGACCAGTTTGATATTGCAGATGGTACTGATGAATTTAAAAACCTCTCTGAGCACCTGGTGGGTAAAATAAAGTCAAATCTATCGCGCAAATTTCGTGTTCCAGGATTTTTGAACTTCTCAAAGATTTCATCTAGAAAGGGTGGATTTGGCCCATTAACTACCTTGAACATGAAGTTATTGATTTGCATTCTTCTTCTTGTTTCTAAGGAAGGAAGGAAGATTAGGCTGTTTATCCCTCATTTTGCAGATAAAGCTTGGAACAAGTGTTCCTCATTTTGATATGCAGATAAAGCTTGGAACAAGTGTTCCTCATTTTGATAAAGCTTGGAACAAGTGTTCCTCATTTTAATATGCAGATAAAGCTTAGAACAAGTGTTCCTCATTTTAATATGCAGATAAAGCTTGGAACAAGTGTTCCTCATTTTGATATGCAGATAAAGCTTGGAACAAGTGTTCCTCATTTAAATATGCAGATAAAGCTTGGAACAAGTGTTCCTCATTTTAATATGCAGATAAAGCTTGGAACAAGTGTTCCTCATTTTGATATGCAGATAAAGCTTGGAACAAGTGTTCCTCATTTTGATATGCAGATAAAGCTTGGAACAAGTGTTCCTCATTTTGATATGCAGATAAAGCTTGGAACAAGTGTTCCTCATTTTGATATGCAGATAAAGCTTGGAACAAGTGTTCCTCATTTTGATTCATATTCATGAGAGTTTCTCTTTATCTAAACTTTTTTAGAGAATCAACATCCAGCATATATCAAGGGATAGTACTGGATGTGGATCTCTGTAAAAGGTATTCCTACATACAGGGTGTCAAATAAATATGTTCTTCCCTTGATTTCAAAAGTGTGAACTTTTGTGCATAAAAGTGCATCTAGTTGAGCTAGTCATCTCAAACTTGTAGTGGGGTTGCTCCATGAAGTTTAGTTTTAATGTGCTAGTCTATAAAGAACAATACAGATTAATTTATTTATTTCATGATAATATAACAATGGAATATACAAAGCATGTGCACTGGACACCCTTAGTAATTGGGCGTATCAGTGCATATATCAAAATTTATTGCAGAGCAATCACAAAACATATAATATATAACATTATCACATGATTAGGAGTGTCTAAGCATTTTGATTGGTCAATTATCTAAATTGTTTAGATGCAATACAGAAACTTTGAAGTCTGGATATAAATAATTAATTTAAATGGAATGTGATCTTATATAGTATTTCCATCCATCTTTTCCAAAAGGTCCTTTTTAATGTTGTGTTTAAAAGAATTCAAAGTTTTACATGTTCGAAATACAATTGGCAAAGAATTCCATAAAATAGCACCAGAATATGTCACTGATCTTTTTGTCAATTCAGTTTTTATTTTGCTGGGGCGTATGTTATGAAACTGTCTTGTAGTACGATTACCAACATTATGATTGTGCATGTATGTAAAGTAGTTTTTGAAAAGATAAGCAGGAAAATTTGATGGTTCCTTGACACAATTATACATAAATTTTGATTTCTCTAACCTGTGAATGTCAAAAATTGTTAAGATTTTCATTTCCCTAAATAATGGTACACTAGGTTGTTGATAATCTGCATTACAAATCAGTCTAACAACTTTTTTCTGAAGATTAAGTAATGGTGTAAGTAATGATTTGTTGGCATTACCCCATATGATGTTGCAATACGAAATATGTGAATAAACAAGTGAATAGTAAATGTCTAACAATGCATGTCTTGATAGTTTATTTCTTACTTTGAAAAGAATGCCTATTATTTTTGAAATTTTTGAAACAATATATTCAGTATGCCTATTCCATTTCAGATTTGCATCAATGATTACACCAAGAAAATTTATATTGTTAACTCTTTCAATCTGGTTATCACCAATATATACCTTGTAGTGATGGCTATTTATATTATTAAGTCTTGATTTAGTAAATAACATATATTTAGTTTTCTCTATATTGAGTGAAAGCTTTTTGTTTTTTAGCCAGTTGATTATACATTTTATTTCAGTGTTTGCCCTCAAGTAAAGATTATCTAAGTTGTCATCTTCTAGAGAAATAGTTGTGTCATCTGCAAAAATAACTAATTTTATCATATTGGTAACATTAAATATATCATTTATATACAATGTGAAGAGGACTGGTCCCAAAACAGATCCTTGGGGGACGCCACAATGTAAATAATGCTCTTCATCAGAGTATGAACCTGATATGAAAGTTTTTAATGGTCGATCTTTTAAGTAACTTTTGAACCAATTTAACACTACTCCACGGAAACCTAACAGTTCAAGTTTATTTAATAATATTGTATGGTCAATCGTATCAAACGCTTTTGATAGGTTAAATACAATCCTAGAATATGCTTATTATTATCCATTGAAAACCGAATTTGTTCCAGAAAAGTTAAAAGAGCCATGTATGTTGAGTTGTTTTCTTTGAATCCAAATTGTTTTTCATTCATTAACTTATTCAGTCAATATGGTACAACGAAAATGGGACTTCTGCGCATGTTAAATTTTTTCGTCAAAACTCAACTTTTGTTCAAGTTGATACGATTGTCTTTCGAACTAGAGACTTACCTCATTCGAAAGATCATAAAAGACTTTATCTATACTGAAAATCTTAGATCCAAACATAGTAGAATACGCCGTCAGTCCGCATTTGATTTTTTGAAGTGAGTTTCGTAGATCGTCAGATTTCTCCGACTGATATCGGGTTATCTCAAACTGGTTCGTTTATAAATACAAATTTGTTTACCGTTGTAAGGCGCATGCGCAAAATTGATTTATAAACCTTATTGGTTGATGGTTTTTCTCCTGCGCATGCGTGAAGTCTGATGAACACTTATGACCAAGACCGGAGCAAACATTACTAGCTCTTGAACGAAATTCCAAGATTCAGGTCATTTCGCCGTGTTTGCTAAGCGTGTATACGTGAATGACAAGCTGTTTTGAGTAGATCGGGTACCTGTTTTAGACACAACATTGATTTAGCTTGACATTGATGTGCACATTGGCACTTTTGAGCATGTTAATACAAGTTTTTACACTCTTAGCACGAGACGGGTTTTCGAAAAATCTGTTATCTGATTCACTCGATTATCGTATGGATATGTATTTCTGCTGACATTTCAACACCACATCACATAGAATTACGATGCAGAATGATAATAAAACACAAAACAACTACTAAATTCCACTTGTTATTTCACAGGAGGTAAAAATGCAAACTGCCTAAATTCTTTGTAAGGGTCGTCAGACATCGGATTGGCCGCCATATTTGAAATGAAAATATCACTAAATAGAGGTCTGCGCATGCCTCAACATTTCGACTGTATTATTTTTGATAAATTTAGAAATTCTTGAGTGCATTACTTTTTCAATGCAGATAAAAAAAAGTTATGCAACATTATGTGGATGTTAAAGCTAAGGGGAGAACATATTTATTTGACACCCTGTATTTCAATCTGTTGGGCACCCGTCAACATTACAGTTTACCCATTATAGCTGACTTCAACAGACTTCCAAAATCCTAGCCTTTTACATAATTAATGTTCAACATTTCAGGATTTGATGACTCTTGGGACAGTAACAGTGAAGGTGATGATTCCACAGGCTTAGCAGATATCAGGGCAAACTTTACCAAACCTCACCCTGATCCACAACCCTCCGCACCCCCCACCCGCGCTCGCACTGAACCCACCACACAGCCAGTACCCCAGGGACCATCTCAAGGTATTTTATACTTTATTAAGCATCAAATATTCAAACCAGGATTAGCCTCAGAAATTATTGTAATGTAATGGATTTGACCTTGGAAATCACCTCTTAGAATTTGGCGTGGAATGATTCCAATTGAATCAATACTGAGTTGTTCCTGAACTCTTAATGTGAGAAATATATGTGCATGTATATGTACGTACATGTATTTAACCTTTTTAGTTCTGACGCAGAAAAATAGTTATATTATATGTTGTGTATGTGTTTGTATTACATTTTGTTTTAGATAGAAATAAAGAATTCGAAATAGACTTAGGAAAATCAACATCTTCAGGGAAAGGCATAAAGAATATGGTCAAAAAGCTTAGTGGAAAATTCAGCCCAAGAAATGATAAGGTACTGTTTGCAACACATATTTGAAGAATGATTAAATGCGCAATGTATTTAAGGCTTTGTGTGATTTCAAAACTCTCAACTTGTAACAACGGAGGATGTCGCTGTCGCTTTTTGAAAAAACATTTTCACATGTTAATTATAATCAATTTAAAAAGTTAACTGATATAATCTGATTGTTAAGAAAAGTGTGATTTGAACCAGTATCTGGTCCAAATCTCATGGCATATGTTGTTCAGGGTCATTACAAACTATAGTGTCAACTAGCCACACTGTTTGGCACCAGGTAGCTTGGATCGAGTACAGATAAGACTATGAAAAAAAATTGTAAAGTTTTTTTTTCAATAGAAAATCCCACTTTATACTGATACCAGAAAAACTTCCTTTGTTCTTGCAACTTTTGCTACAGAGCGCAACTTTTACAAAATAGCGCAAGTTACCGCATCTTTAACACTTCAGCTAGTTTTCAAGTCAATATCTGTCGTTAATTCCTTGATAAGACCACTCAAAATCAGAATCAAACAAAAAGGTACACAGAAGGTACCGATTTATATTATTTATACTGTCTATACATCACAATATTCTTGGTTATGGACATGAATATGAAGCGATTTTTGGTGACTGTTAATAAGAGAGACCCCAATCACAGGGCAACTTTTCTTCTTTTTGCATCGCAACTTTAGCATAGCCCTCAAGCAGCTTTTTGGGGAAAACTTTCTGCTGTCAGACTGTCTGCATCCTCCGATCACAGGGCTTCAAAATCCAGAATACTTCTTTCTTTTTACCCCTGCGATAAGTAGTTGGGATTTCCCCGATTAAGAACTCGCAATTTGATTCGCTGTCTCAACACTGCCACAGCAATCATGTATACATCATCGGCGCATAATTAGATCACATGATTCAGGTTAATCGGACGCTTTCAAATTGGTTATTACAGGGGGGAAGATGTATTCCATTTCTTTCTTATTAAAAAAATCTTGAAATTAGAAATAAACAGTGGAAAAAAGCATTGATACGTTAAATAAAAACATAACATGTTCTTTATATTAAATTTACTTGACGCAACATCTTTTCGAAGTATTTTTATTATACAATCTGTATTTTTACATTGCAGGGTAATATTTCCCGGGAGCCACTCGTTCAAGAATCTCCACAGAAGTCCCCAGAAAATGCAATTCCTCAACCCCCTAGTCAGTCCAAGAATATGTCAATGTTTGTTACTAGTAAAGAGGTCAGCGTAAGAAATAATGACAAGGGGAAATCTCAAAAATACTCAGAAGGTCAAGGTGCAGAGAACACCCCTTATATGGACGATCAGAATAGGTAAGTTGTTTTGCGTGTATTGTACTTTGTATTTTAATTGTGTATTTTGTATTGTACTATGTATTTTGTATACCCTCATGACATACTTCTCTGCAATGAAGAAGTATGTGCGTTGCTTGCGAAGTGTCATTTTGATAAAAGTTCCTGTCAATGAATAAGGACTTATATAGATGGTGCTACTAGAAAATAGAAATAATATCAAAAATTATATTTTGATGTATTTTTTGGTAGCCATATATTGAATGAGTTATTCAATATTCAAGGTATTTCTCACCCGCTGTTTTCTGATCAAAGTGTTTTTATGTTACTACAAATTTTATGAAGTGGAGGATAGAACATTGGATATAAATTGGCAATATTGTTACTCCAATGCGAAGAACAGTAAAACAAACAGCTAGGGAAGGGTACAGTAAAACCGATCTTAGTGAACACCTCTCTTTAAATACACCTGTGTTTAGTGAAAATCACTCCAACATTTTACATTGACTCCTGTATAAAATCCTCTTTGGTGAACACCTACCTACAGCGAAGTACAGAAAACACTTTTTTGTGGCTCCATAGGTGTTTACTATATGCAGGTTAAATGCTGTATTTAGTTTTGCCAGAAATGATGCTTTAACTTGATCCCTTTCTTATTTCAAGTCGGTGATGACATTTTTTAGCAAGGCAGAATGATATATTAGTCTGATGTCTTGTTTAGAATAATTTGTTTTTATTAAATATTTTAAGGTATGAAATCACCTTTTTTATTTATCATTTTCTTCATTGCTCATCTTGTGCTAAATTTCCACTCATGAAAATGTACCCGACAACCCCCCCCCCCAAAAAAAACACAAGATATTAATGCGAGATAAATATAAGTATATGTCCCAACATTATTAATGGACTTGTCTGACCAAATCAAGAAAGTTAATTAATAACGATACAGAAATGTTGACACTGGATCATACCTGTATTGCCAATATCTTGTTAGAAGAGAAATGTCTTTTCAAGGCCTCATGCAAAGTTTGACTGACTGAAAAAAGTTGTTTTAAAAGAATGAAATTAGAAGAGGTGTGCCTTTTCAGCATGTTAGCCTAATTTTAACTTTTTGAACATGTTTTAAGATTGTGTTGAATAAAATCAGTGAAGCTTGTTGAAAAGATTTCATTATGACGGGTGCATTGAGGACACCACCAGGGCAAGCTTTGATATTGGGATCTAACCTTTCTCATTTGAGGCCTTATAATAGATAAAAGTAATATTATGGGGTCAGGTAAGGGTAGTAGTGTCATGTTTTTGGTACCTCAAAAATTCAGTAAATCAGTTGGCTATGTTTCAAATTAATGTTTTAGGGATGGTCCATGCAGTGTAGTTCTTTTGTGAAGATGAAACAGTTTTGGTAATACCCCCCCCCCCATGATGTAATGGGTCATCCTTAGTGTAGGTGTAGAATGCATAAAGATTGAAATAGTCCCCCCCCCCCCCGAGTAACTCTATGGTAGAGCACTTGGCACTAGGTTGAATAACTAGTTCAGGCAATACCAATGTGCTTGTTGAGTTTAAATGGACACATGTGATATTCCTTGTTGGTTTTTCATGCTTCATGCTGTACCTAGTGAAAAAAACAACTGGTCCGTATCAAAAATAACCAGTGGACCAGTCCTTAGGGCATACACTGATGTAAACCCAAGTCAGAATATACTGCTCAGTGCTCACCCTTATTTGATGGTAAACAAAATAAAATAAAAAATGATGGATATATAGTTCTTTCTGTATTAATCTACTTTTTTCTCACTATACATGTATGTAATACACCTGTTTGTTTATATTTTCTATGCATTTATATGATAACCATTTTTAAAGATTTCAGGTCTCAAATTAGTCTTGAATTCAGTCTCAAATTAACATACATATATATTGCAGTCCTTATGCCCCCCCCCTCTCTAACACAGACACATGGTTGAATTAGAAAAGCATGGGGGGAATGATCAAAGACTGGATGCAAGACAAAATCTAGCATTCTTTAAATTTTTAACAATCACAAAAATAATGTTTTATTGTTTTAGTAAATAATCCACAAATTGTGGACATATGATGGTGATATTCCTTGGTCTTTTATGTTTACAAACATAAAATATGACTGTAAAATATCCAAACCAGACAATGCTATTCATCCTCATTTGGTGGTAAACAAAATAAAAGACAAAAGTGCCAATCTTTTTGATTAATGTTAGACAAATGATAGTTAATAGATAGATTTAAAAAAAAAATCTGTCACTTGTAATTCTTAGTCCTCTATTCTGGGATATTTCCCGATATGTTTTTTTTAGGAATGTCTATATCATGCAGCAATTTATGCGTCCTCTAAAAGAGGTCCCCAAAAGTGATTGTTAGCAGAGTCATCAGCAAATATATCATAAAGATACTCCTCAGCAGCCGTCATAAATTCTCCACGATTTATAAGTCCATTACTGTCATCATCAATGTAAGCAAAAACAGCATCGGCAAATGTTGCATCGATTCCCAAGACGGCATAGAAACTTTTGAAATTCTCCAAAGAGATCTGTCCAGTTTTTTTTACATCCATTGCGTCGTAGTAGAGCTTGTATTGATCTTCAAACCATGGCTTGAACCTGTCATCATGGATGAACTTGAAATTGTTAAGAATCATTTCTTCTTCAGTCATCTGAGTTTTTGATGTGCTGAAGTCATCCCAGAGGAAGGTGAATATTCTGTGTACTCTGTTGGCTTCCTCTCCCGATAGGTTACCTGGGAATAAGATTGGTTAAATACTATTTGTCAGGCATTTCATTTGCATCAGGCAACAGCACTGGTGACTTTCCCCAGTTGTTTGAAACAGAATCATTATTATTTTGAGTGGCACCTGTTTCCATAATGTTTTGATTGTTAAAATTATAATTTCCATTGATGTTTCCTGTTGTTTTCATTTGTTTAATCAGATATTCTAATAAAAATACATAGTAAGTAGTTTGCAAACCGGGCCACTGGGATTCCAAAGTGCCCCAGTTTTTATAAAGGCAGCACATTTACATAATATTTTTAAATTATTACAAGTGATCCTGGATCCATCTCTTTTTAATATTCTTTCATTTTTTGGCTAACATAATGAATAACTAACTTACCAGCCTTTATGAGTCTCTCTGCTATTAAGATGTGATCAGCCTTTGTTAAAACTCCATCGCCATCAGCATCAAAGCGTTTGAACTGAGTTCTCATTTTCTTCACCCAATACTTGGGCAAATCCTCTACCTATAAAACAATAATATGGTAAAAGCTGTAGATCCGAACACCTCTGTTATCTTACAGGGGCGTCAGAAGGATTTGTCAAGGGTGGGGGCAACTTTTGGATGGGTTGTGCGTGAAGAGTGGATCGGGGGCATGCCCCCAGAAAATTTTCAAATTTAGACCCTCTCTGGTGCATTCTGAACATATCTCAGCACAATATTCCCAATAATAAAAATAAGAAAAAATGTTTTAGAAAACTAGCTTGACTTTGACTAAAAAACTTTGATTTTTACTATAATATACATTTTGCACTCAAAGTAGCCTATTTACATACTGTATGTGTTCCTGAGAAACTATGATATAGAAATAAATATAATATGAGAAATGAGATCTTCTATGCTTGATGTAGACTAGATTATGACACAGTATCATTTCTGTCATTATTACACTTTGACTTTAACTAGCTCCAGAGCTTTCAATTCTAGGCTCAGTTTCAGATCTAAAAAGATCTGGGAATAGGAGGGGGCAGTCGCCCCCAACGCCCTCCCCCTTCCATGCCAATGTCTTAACACCTCAGTGTGAAAAGTCTCTTTCTCAGAAATTTTTCTCATTTTTTTAATCTTCCCTGTACTTCTATGTTAACAAACTATGTAACAACTTTTGTGAATCCAAATGAACTTGGTTATCCATGATAATACATGTAATTTCTTATCTTAAAATATCTTGTAAGGCATTGTTTCTGATACTGTTTGAATGCAGATTGCTTGGGTGTTCAGATAATCCTAGATTTTATTTGTTAATTTCAAACGCAAACGATTTTATTTGGACTTTATTTTTTGTAGTTTCAAAACAAGTGTCGTTTATGTACGTTTGTTTGTTTCTTTGTTTGATTGCTTGAATATTTTATTTTAAAACTTACCTTTTTTGAAGATTTAGACATGATTCGTTGTTTGCCTATGGTGTCCACTGGAGCTTAATCTCCACCCTCTTCTCTTGTGCATGTATATATGTAATTATCCCACCGAACGAAGTTAGAGGGGGATATAGGAAAGCCGTCCATCCGTCTGTCTGTCCGTTTGTCTGTCTGTCTGTCCGTCCAGGCAATAACTCAAATACCCATCAACGGATTTGATTCAAATCTTATAGGCTTATGCCTTATGGGTGTAGGACCTCTGCTCGAGATGGAATTTTTAATATGGCCGCTCAATTCAAAATGGCCGCCATTTTTCGTAAAAAAGTAATCTGTGATAACTCAATTACTAGTGGACGGATTTGGTTCCAATTTTATATACTGGTGCCTAGGAACAAAGGAGCTTTTATTCAAGAAGAGATTTTAAAGATGGCTGCTGATTTTCAAAATGGCCACTTTTTTCGCAAGAAAACATAATCTTTGATAACTCAAATACCAGTAAACAAGTTTCATCCAAATTTTATATGCTGATGCCTAGGGACATAGTTGCTCTGTTCGAGAACATTTTTTCAAGATGGCGGCTGAATTTAAAAATGGCCGCCATTTTTCCATTAAAAACGAAATATTTAATAATTCAAAAGCCAGTAAATGGATTTAGTTCAAATTTAATCTGCTGAAGCCAAGGGAAACTGTTGCTCTGTTTGAGAAATTTTTTCAAGATGGCATCTGAATTTCAAAATGGCCGCCACTTTTACCCAAAAGATGTAATCTCTCATAACTCAAATACCAGTTGACGGCTTTGGTTCAAATTTTATATGCTGATGCCTAGGGACATAGTAGCCCTGTTCGAGAAAGAATTTTCAAGATGGCAGCTGGATTTCAAAATGGATTTCAAAAAACTTATACCAGTGAACAGATTTGGTTCAAATTTAATATGTTGCTACCTAGGGACAAAGGAGATCTACTTAAGAAATTTTCAAGATGGCAGCTATATTTTAAAATGGCCATCATTTTTCGTAAAAAAATGTAATCTTTGGTAACGCAAATACCAGTTAACGGATTTGGTTTAAATTTTAGAAGCTGATATCCTCTGTTCAAGATGGAATTTTCAAGACTGCCATTAATTATCAAAATGTGTTTTGTTCGGTGGGAATTACAACTCCGTTGAGTTGATGTTTTTCTAGTTGTGACCTTGCTCATGCAAAAACAATCACATTTCAACCACAGGTAATGCCAAAATATCACCCAAAATTGTGGTTCATTGAGTAAATAGACTGTCCTCATTTTTTTTCCCCTCTCATATTCAATGAGTCTTTTCAGAGTTAATGACCCTTTTCTAGGATCAATGTAGGGAACTTATATGACCCTGTTTGAGATTTGAAATCAATGTTATTTATTGTTATTGTATTTTGTTTACCACCAATGAAGGTGAGCAATACCTCTTGGGTATGTCCCGTATATACGGTCGTAATTTACGTAATTAACATGGAAGATAGACCCAGAAACCCCTCCTTGAAGGAGCCCTGTTTTCTTTTATGTGCACTTATACATAGACATATAAGTACACACCACAGCCTTTTGTTCGAGTTGCACACCACTCAGTCAAACACCCTGAAGTACTTCACGCAAACAAGCAAATTTAGTCTTGCCTGAACCGGGGATCGAATCCGGGACCAATTGCGTAAGAGGTACCTGCGCTACCGCTGAGCTACATGGGTGGACATGTTTAGATACATCACTGTATACAGTCAGGGGGATTTGTATATGTTAAACATTTAAATGATGTGCATTGGGTTGGCTAGAAATGTGTTAGGTTTCAAGGCAAAATATATCCATTTACTTGTCAGGCAATTTGTTGCATGACGTTTCTGTTATATGGACATGAAAACTGTCTTTAAAGATTAAAAACATTATTTTGTCTTATAAGTCCATGATGTTATGTTTTCTAATGACATCATGAATGGTTTTTGACAATTTTTGTATGTTATTGATGGCAAATTGATGAGATGTATGATGGTGGTCTATTTTACAAAAACGCTCTTTAAACCCTTGAGTACTTGAGTAGGGGACTACAGAAAATTTGACTTCACATATCATGAGTTTAGGAGGTGTAAGATTTTATCCCCATACTTATCTACCATTCAACAACAACCTGTTTTAAAGTAGATAAGATCCAGGTCCAGGGTCTTGAAGCAAGACTATTCTACCATTTGACATCATTTTTGTTAGGTATCATTTGCAAAGCATCAGAATGAGTAAATTTTAGTGAGGCAATTTCCTCACCTACTCCATGTCATGTTATGGCCCTGGTGTTAAAGCTGTTCTACGGAGAGTATTTCAACTGTTAAAGGGTAACGATAAGCTTCCCGTATAGGAACAATATGGCGACTCTCCTGCATCAGTCTATTTTTAAAAACTTCGGGAAGATCTTGAAACTTCACCCATAAAGTGTGAAATTGATTTGTCAAAATAGAAATCTAAATCTCCCTTTTATACATCTTCGCACACTCGGTCTTCACTGCGTTGATCGTCTACGGGAGCCGAGTGAATGAAGATGCTTTTATAAATGTGTGACGATCTTTACTACATCTATTCCATTACTACATAAACAGGTAGAGGTGTTTACGCAGTGACTTCAACTTGTGAACTCTTGAGTATTATTCCAGGATCGCGCCTTTTATACTAAACGATGAGCAACTCCAAAAACGAGCGTTTGATTTGCTAAACGATATGCGTTACCCTTTATATTTTGTGTTTTCTAGAGTTGTGTTTATCTACAATGAACTACACACAGACCACTACACATCACTGACCAGTAGCACTCAGGAGGCTGTCACACAGAGATTCGCAGACACGTAAGAATATAAGTCTTCACAAAGTTATATACATCAGGCCCGTAGCCAGGATTTGCCAAGGGGGGTTCAGTTTTCAAAAATTTCCAGGGGGGTTCACATTTGACAATTTTGGCACAATCACTTGAGAAATGCTCAAAATGATGAAAAACTGCATGATTTTGAAAGAATTTTTGGCCAGGGGCCCAAACCCTGCAAACCCCCCCCCCCCTCTGGCTACGGGCCTGTACATCAAGACATTCCACCCTTTATCTTCAAACACTAGCTGTAGAGAGGGAGGGGGTGCAGGTATTTGTTACCAAACTTGCCTGAATCTCCACTCTTTTTAAAAAATGAATATTCAAAATTATTGAAATATAAAATTTCTGCCTCGTGTAGTTTAACTGAATGAGAACTTTTTATACATAGATTGTATTTCATCATAAAAAATGTTTATACATAATGGCTTCGCCTTTTGGCATTATCAGGCTTAGCTGAAACTTAGTGAGATATGTAATACTGATCTGTCTTCAAGGTGAATAGAAGAGATATTTATTTTTCATGTCCGTGCCTTTATATAGTTACCCTAACCTAGTAATTTGAAGTATCATTTATCAATGTACTTTTCATTCTTGTTTTAAGATCCATATAAAGATGTCACTGCAATGAGACAAACTGTTTTATAATTTTCTTAAAAACATGAAAAACTCCATGGGTTCAGTGTCCTTCGTGTAGCCCTCTATATTCCAAATGAGTAACTCTTGATAAAGTTGGACCTATATTTTCAAACAAGACTTTTGTCATTGAAAGTGGAATACAAGTGTAACAACATTGAGGGAATCATTTATGTCGCCACCAATAAGTCGTAAACTCATCGTTTTTGGGCCGATATAAAGATGGCAGCAGATTGATTAGACTGCCCTCTTTATTTAAAAATTATTTCTGTCATCCTTTAGCCAATCAGTAAATTCTTATTGCTGCCATTTATCGTGACCAACATTAGTGTTTGGTATCTGAAAAAAATTATTACATTTTTTTTAATTAAAGAATAAAAACCGAGATTTTATGATTTATGGCGCAATACAACTATTTGTATTTATGAAGTTTAGCAGCCATACATACTCCAATATAGACCAGAAATCAATTGTTCTAGCTTTTGTGACGTTACGTATCATATTAGAATTTACGATAACTGTTCGAAGTCGATAGCTGTTCAGATTTACATATTGTAGTTCTGTGTATACAACCAGGGGCTGACATTTTGTCAATGCATGTGTTCTTTTTTCCTAATTTATAAAATTTATTTTCAGAGCTGAAGTTTTCATCACTAGAGGTGTCCAGGAATTCTTCGGCATCATACGCATAATAATTGGCTTCATCTTGATATTTGTGGTTGAGACCATCAAGTTTGTACTGAGATATATTGGACAGTTTCTCCTCGTTGGGACAGTTACGGCATTCGGGGACTACCTTATAAAGCCACTTTTTCTCGCCCTCCACCAAAGCATTCTTAACCCAGTGTTGACTTTTATCTGGAATCTGACAATTGGCTTACGAAATATTATTGGACCGATTTTGGAGATCTATAGAAGTCTGATGTCTTCTACTGCCGTTTTATTACAGGCTTTCCGATTGGTTGAAATCAGGCAAATCCCAAACCCGAATCATCAGTCAGTGATGACAGCCTAGTCTTAGTGGAATTAAATACGAGCTTTGAAAAAATGATACCCACGATCTGAAGTGAAATAATGTGTATGATAACAGAAATAATTGCTGCAAATATACGTTCATATACAATGGCGTAGCGTCATATACGCATAAAACGCCATGGCGTACTCTCAATTTAGAGAAAAGTTGATTTTTAGATTGAATTGGCCCACACTTTAAACATGGATAAAATTAGTCCATATTAAGTCCGAATTTCGTATTTTAGAACGCTCTAAAACGCTTCAACTGCAATCTCATTTTTAAATTATCTTGGGGAGAAAACCCACCGCCAAACCCCCTTCAAAGATTGTTATAGCTTCGCTCACTCGTGGCATATACTCACAAAATACCCACGCTACGCCACTGATATATGTATTACATCGGAGCAACCACAAAGCATTATCCTAAAGATGGTGTCCATGTGAGAAATGTATTTAAAATCAAACTACATATTATTTTTTATAATATCTTTAACCGTCCTATGACTGCCGTCCATAAAATCTATGTTACAAAGATAACATTTTCTTAATGCTTTAACCTCTTACTGTTTTTAATGAACTTAATAACTCTAGGGGACCAAACAGTTTTCACGTCAAAAACAGAATGCTTTCTATATAGGCTTCTGGAAAAGGGTATGTACCTCTTATGATTTAGTGATCACCTCTTAACCAAAACTCACTTTATATACTCAGGAACACATTTCAATGATAACTTGCAATTGTATATATGATTTTCAAAGCATTATGCATACAGTTTATGCATTGTCTTATACAGTTTATGCGTTGTATTGTACAGTTTATGCATTGTCTTTTACAATTAAATGTACAGTTCCAAAATATAGGGCTAAATGGGCACTATTGCCCCATTTATATACATAGGAGACCTGTTTCAGATTGGATAATTTCTTGGTACTTTGCATTAATTGTATATGATATTTTACTTCTGTGTGATTTAACTTTATAGTGTATTAAAAAGGTAGTGGAATTGATTACAGCAGTTTTTATTGAATTATGATAGATTAATGGAAATAATTATCTTAGGGAATTTGAATGGATATTTATGTGGTTTAAAGTTATTTAAACTATTTAGTACTTTTCTATTATAATTGACTTATTTATTTATGATATTGATAATAAACTAAAGTCTGATATATGATATTGATTCACACATAGTCTAAAATGATAGGAATTCTTCTTCAAATAAAGTATTATTTCAATAAATTCCTTCTTTTATACTATGCAAGGCTGTACACTAACTTTCACCTTTGTACGAAAGAATGAAGTACAATAGCATGTATTTTAGATTATCTCAGAATTATGTGAAAAAAACATAATTTAAACCTGCACATCGCTCCAAAACGCAATATCTTGACATATATTGTTTTTACATTTTCAAGCTCTAATATAAAGTTTATGTAAATAAAAATTATTTTTTTCTGCGTAATATCAAAGAACAATCATTTAGTTAAAAAAATAAAAAGGCGAGTGCGGGATTCGAAACCGGGCCTCCCGCGTGCCCGGCGAGGATTCTACCGCTACACCACCGTATTATAATGAGTGGAGGTAGTAATTAAACGCTACTTATTTTGAATGCTATGATTCGGAAGTGACGTCACGTTCTTCATTTATAAACCTTTCCAAAATCATATCGCCGGCTCAGATCGAAGCAAATTCAATGAAAAATCTTTGAAATGACACATTTATCGTAAGTATTTCTACACAAGATTTGCCCCATTTGTTCATCATTCTACAATCTTTCATTAAGCTCAAAATGATAAAGTTCACCCCCGAAACAACCCAAGATTGCGTTTCGGAGCGTAGTCCAGCTTTAAAGCACTAGGGTACATTTTATATTATATTAATATTAAGATTGAAATTATTTTTATAGTCACCATAAGATACTCGCTGCTAATATTGAATTAACATTTATTTACCGTAATAGTGTTTGCTGTACTCTATGTTATTTACAAATGTATATTTATCAGTTGTTAATACTCTATGTAAATGAATAACAAAGTATTAGTATTTGTAAGTGTTATTGCATGTTTTGAAAGTTGTTATTGTATTTATGCTGTTACCTCACTTTAGAATATAACAATGATTGTAATCACATTTCCTCATGTTAAGATAAGAGAAACAAATGTAAATATGTTAGATATATATGAATGTATGTATATGTATACATGTTCATAATAGGACCTTTCTTATGTGAACACTTTTCAGTCTGAACACATTTTAGTTCATTATTATTATGTACAAGTCTTAATTAATCAGATCTCTTGATGTGAAAAGTCTATGTCATTGTGTCAATTTTAAGATAAGCCGATCCCAACTGCTCTTGCCAGAGAAAGGTTTTTATGATGTATATATTGTTATAGTCTCCAACTTTTTGTGGATTGTGTTTGGTGTTTGGCATTGGGCGTTTGGTGTTCAGCTGTCAGCATCTGTGACAAATGGCAGGTAGTGACATTTTGCATGTTAACGCCTTGTTACTGTAGGCTTTATGTTCAAATGATGGGTAAGAATGAGTCCCATTGCAATATTATCTGTCAGGAGTGCTTGGTGTATTTTTGATTAACAAATCCAGGGACAAATAACCTCCTTAGATGTAAATTAATGTATTACTTAACAGACTAACATTGCTTAAATCACAATGACCAACCATGGGATAATAATTATATATATTTCTTGTAATGTTTTTTTTAACTTAATTTCACCATTGTTATTACTTTGAATTCTTCCAATACTTGGTCTTCATCACATTTAAAGATGCTGTTACGTACAGTTCATTGTTCAAACACGGAGAAAAAGTAATTTTAAAATACATCTACCATAAATGTTAAAAAACATGTTGTATTTCTTTTTTGTATTATACATTAAGATAACTTAAACTGATGAGACTTGAAATGACATATCTATTAGGAGACATGTCTCTCTCTCTACCAAGAACGTATATGGACAGATCTCTTACGTACATTCCCAAGTATCCTGAAACATGTAATAAGACAAATAGAATGTGAAATGAATGGCATCTATTCTTTAACTGCAATTCTGATTGGCTGCCAGGGTTTCGATGGATCTTTTCTGATTGGTTAAGGCTAGATCAAATAATTGGTTCTTATCTATTGAATAGGGTTGTTTCACAAGGGAGTTGCATCTGATAATTCTGCCTATTGATATGTAGGCCTACTCTTTGATTGATTCATTATTTAAACAGATTAGATAATTAATTGCCGTGTGGATTATATCAAATATAAAAGTGTTGGTTTAACAACTGAGAAAACTCTTAATGGCTGAAACAAACCAGAGTATGTACACAGAAATGAGAAAACACAAGCATAAATCAAAAGTATAAATAAATGAAGAGAAAAAACCAATGTACGCCTAAGTTGAAGATCAAGATCAACATGCTGGCACAAGGGGTTAGAAATAGAAATACAGATTTATCATAGAATTATCATTCAAATCTGAGATGAATATGTTTGTTCCTAAATTCCTCAGTGTAATATACACACATTCATTTTTTGTGTTAACATTGTTCTACCATTGTTTTTTGAATTCCTCACTTTGACATCAATTTTTGACCTATTGTAATAGAGAGATTACTAGTAAATTAAATTTCCTGAAATATAGAAAATAGAGTCAACATCCATTTACATTATCAAATTTTCTTTCGTTTCGGGCTTGGAGAAAGCCCCATATTTACCTTTGCAAGAACATAAAACCTGTCAAACACCATTGTTACACTTTTATATGTTCATTTGATATTAAGTCATTTGGTCTTGGGAGTCTGAAATGTTCCACTAACAGAGGTGTTCCACTTCTAGAGGTGTTTCACTTCTAAAGGTGTTCTACTTTACAGGTTTCACTGTACAGTATATCCTTTACAAGGCAGAGAGCATCAGACTGCATTTCAACATTAAATAACAACTTATCAATTGAAAAGAACCAATGTTTACTTTATAAATGTCTTGTTTACAATTGATCGGAATATGATAGGTAATGCTATCTGCATATTAAATAAAAAAAGAATTTCAACTCTTACAAAGTGCATAGGCCTACATTGTATCACCAAAGAAATTCCTAAGAATAGGAAAAGTTTTTTTTAGCTTTTTGAGTGGGATAATTTCAAGTTTCAACTAATAATTCCAACTTACTGATTTGGAAATATTCAATTTTTATCAACTTATTTACCAAGGGATATTGATTTTAGCATTGCTTCATTACATATATTATTTTTATCATAAATAGATGATGCATCAGATTCAGAAAAGATTACAAGATAAACAAAACATCCATGATATAAGTACAAGCATTTATTTTATAACATATTAACTATGCTTAAGATGTAAAACATTTCTACTTTTAGTTTACTTTTGAAATACGTACACCATGCATGGACATTGGATATTGTTAGGAGTGATTTCTGCTGCATTGACATTTGATTATATACACGCACAAGAAAGGGAACCAGGTAAATAAAAGTATTCTGATACCCATCATGTATTTCTGTCTCACCAGACAGCACTTGTGTGATATTATAGCCTCCAAGGGGTGACATATTGTTCTCCAACTTTTTTCTGGACGGCGTTTCGCGTTTGTAACATTCGTTCGGGGTCAGTAATAATTTGTGGTGACATTTTGTCATGCAAATGATTTATCATTACTCAGATAGGCTCGGGTTATTTAAGCTCTCTCAGTTGCTAACGAAACTAGTTACATAGTTGAACTTCCTTTCTGAGATTCTGATACTCAGACCATCTCTGCAATGCACAAGAAGGAAACTGAGAGAAGGCTGTGATATCTCACGATGGTTGCAACAGTAAAAATCACTAATATTGGCTATCTTGTTAGTTGGCTTTTCCTCAGGCTTTTCATAGCAATTTTATGTCACCAACACAAATGGTGACATAATGTTATAGTCTCAAACTGTTGGAACAAATGGAAGGTGGTGACATTTTGCATGTTAATGTTATGTTTTGTTTAAAGGGGCCTTTATAGTTTACTATTTTAATGACCGATGTTCAGGAAATGTTTTTGTTTCAACATATTTTTGTGCATCTCTAGAAATAGTTGAACTAAATAAAAAAGTATACAATCCTCATTTCAGAATTCAAAAAGAGACAAAATTACACCGAAACGGGGTTTACATTACCTTTTGCAATATCAAAATAATTTAAGATGGTGTAAAACATCAGTAGTTTGATAATCCTTACTTTGTACACTGTGCATGTAGTTGATGGTGGGTGGTCAAATTGGAACAGTTTCTGGGCCGGATGTAACAGACAATGTGGAGATAATGGAACGCAGATACGCAAACGAAAATGTACTAAACCTGCTCCTAAATATGGCGGTAAGCCGTGTGAAGGTCTGTCATATGAGAGGCGACCGTGCAACAGATTCCCTTGTGTACCAGGTAAGCGCCCTTCAAGAATTGTATCCTATAAATTAGTACGAGCCTAAATAACATGAATAAAATAGGTAGTCTCGCTTCAAGACTTGTGACCTCCGGTTGGATCACAAGGCCTTGAAGCTAGACTAAAAATGGGATGAAGATGGGGATCGTTCTGGCGATTTGACCCAAAATAGAAAAATAAACCAGCCTTAAAACGCTCTAATTTACTCTCGCGTTTTATCAATTTGGTTATATTTCGTTATAGTTTGTTGCCGCTATAATTTCTGCTTCTACAGTACTAATTATTACAAATTGTAAAAATAGCATCATGGGCGTTTTAATGAAAGATATACTTGATTCCTGGTATGTTTTCACCCAATACATGCTCATGGACGTGGCTTCGAATATATAATAGAGAGGTTTCGCAAAACGTTTTTTAGCTCCACGGATCCGTATCCGTAACGTATTTATCAGATTTATGCGTAGTCAGTTCAATTTATACGTGAAATGATACGGAAAACACGAAAAATGAGGCTTTTGTACGTTGGTCATTTACGTATCCGATTTTACCCTTCGATTATATTGTTTTTAGTTCTAAAGGTATTACTATATGAACAACCACAATGTGCTGTGTATAATTTGACTAAAATTTGGTGAATGAATTTGTTTATTGTTTGAAATAAATTGAGTTTTTCAAATAGTATGTTCAATTTATTTTACACTGTATGGAATGGTATTGCAATAATTACAGTGTACATGTTTCGCACAACGTTTTAGCTACCCGTATCAAAATCCGTAACGCATCGATGGAGTAAAAGTGTATTCAATACGTTTGTGATACCAACAGCAATACCGAAAGTACGTAAACTAACACTTTCTGTGCGTAGTTGTCTCCGTATCTATTTTGTCCTTCAAATCTTGATAAATTTTTCCCTAAATGTATAATTTTAGTAACACACATATGTTATCATGTGTGTCGTGCTAATTTTGATGAAGTAATAACCTTATCTGCCGATAAATTTGATTATAAGCGATGGGCCTGCAATTTTTACAAATAAAGCTTTAGTCACATTTGCTAATAGGCAGATGTAAGGTCTATCGTTTCTGGGGTCAATAGTAATACCGTAGTCAATTTCTTAGGGACATCAAACCAACGGTTAGCAGCTAGGCCACCTGAATATATATTTTGTGCCTTAAGTCACGCTCCGAATTCATATAGAGCAGGGTCTTGGGCTTAGTTTGAGTATAGTAGCTTGTTCCTGACCTCGACAATGAATGTGCTATTGGGTCTAAAGATGGCGCCCCGAATCAATCTTGCCCGTATCCAGCTTGTGGCAAGGGGGGGGGGGGGCTTTTTTGGCTTAAAACTCCCGAGAAGTGCTCAGTATGATGAAAAACTGAATGATTTTCAGGTAGCTTCTTCCGGGTGGTATGACTTGAACACGCATCAAGTCATGCGATCTATGTCAAATAGTAAGCGGCCTCGTTTGGGGGTCCAGGGAGACTAGTGCCCTAAAGTTTAGTGTCCAAGCTTCCCCGAACCACCGTATCATTTCCTATTTTCATTTTTGTAAATACAGGCCTGACATCCAGATCCTGTAACGGATCTTCTCTCTTACATATGAGTCACGGTAGGGGCCCCAGATGTTCCTAACTCTTGGGTAGTGGTCCATGATGTGTTCTTCATTAGCAGCTTTGTGATGATAGGGAAGGGGGGAGGTTGTAATTCAAGTACATATTCAGTAGATATCGGGTTGTCCCCGATTGTTTTGAGCGGTTGTCTCCAGTTGGAATAACTTAGTTGAGTAAATCGGTATCAACGTTTCGTTGTGGTTTATTGGTTGTGCCTGATTGTGTTTTGATGGGTTGAGTAAATCGATTGAGTATTTGACTAAGCCTGGTTGTGTAATGGTGGGTTAGTGTCAAGTAGGTATAGGTTTTGCCGAAATGTGTTGTGTACGTTTGAGACTAGGTTCTCTTTTGATGGTTGTTAGTCTGGTGATTTAGTATCGGGTTGTGTCCCATTGTGTTATGTTAATCTTATAATGGGTTGTTTTCTCTTGTGAATATGTTCTGTTGGTTGGCTAGCTGGTTGTGGCTAGTCGGGTGAGGTATCTTGTTTTGTCTGATTGTGTTGTGTGATTGGCGTTGTCTCCAATTGGGTTAAGTTAGTTGTGTATCTCGGTATTACAATTTTAATGTGTTTTTTTGCCTGTGCCTGATTTTGCTTTGATTGTTTGGTTTTGGGTTTTGAAAAATTGTGTTGTGTTACTTGAACAATGGGCTGTGTTTGCTTTTGTTGGTTTAACATTGGGTTGTGCCAAATTGTGTGGTGATAATTTCACAGTTCGATGTGTTTTCATGGTTGTTAGTTTAGTTGTGTTTTATTGGTTGTGCCTGATTGTGTTTTTATTGTTTAGTGTTGGATTGTGCACAATGGTGTTGAGTTAATTCAACACTTGGTTGTGGTTGTCTTTGTTGTCTTATTGGGTTGTGACATATTGTGTTAATCTGACAGTTGGTTGTGTTTTGGTGGTTGTAAGTCAGGTTGCGCCATGCTGGCTTTGGTGCCGGGTTATGCTATATTGCGTTCTGAGTATATTGACACTGGGTTATGTTCTATTGTACTGTTGCATGATTGGTGATCTAGGTTGTGTTTGGTTGTAATAGGTTATATATGTCGAGTTGTGGGCTGTGTCCGATCAGGCTGTGGTGTTTATTGGGATAAGAAACAAATGGCCGGTTTAGGGTAATTTGTTGTTGGTTTATCAGTTGATTCTATGTAGACCCCAAAGGAGATATAGGGTATTATGATGGTGAGATATTCAACTGGCATGTTAGGCGTTAGCTTCGCGTCGTTCTCTGATGAGCTGGTCCCATGTTGTTCAAAGAATTCAAGAAAAACAATGCTAATTTATCTTTTTACATAATATATTTTTTGTTGATTTCTCATACAAAACATACTTTTATTGCATAACTGATATATTTGTGTCGCTTTCTATGATCAAATATGTTACTTTGTTCCCCTCCTTAGTTTATATGAGGCATGGGTTTTCAACTAAAGCCCATGTATGAGGAAAGGGGGGGGGGTGGCTTATGTGAAAACGTATGGTTTCCGAATGCCTTGGCCTTGCCCAAGTCGCTATTTTTTTTTTATCTTGAATTATTACCAAAATATACAGCTGCAAAAACATGAAATTAAAGGTCCATGTGCAGTATGGCAAGTGATTTTAGAAATGTTTACGCATTTTGTGGCATAATGCAGTCACTGCACGTCACTTAATGACCACTATTCAGCCTATTTGTTTTCAAACCCTTAAATATTCCCAAAAGAATAATTTGACACTGAATTGGTTATTGTAAACCGAGAAATAATCTTTTCTGGCCTAAAGGATATTCTTCATTTTGAAATTGATGTCATGAAATTAATAAATGACACCTTAGGGATGAAAGGGTTAATATGTATTTTTGCACTCACCAAAATTACTTTTGGAGTTGTGATTCTGAAAGCTGACACTCCCAATGGTGTTTTGAAATCTAAGTGCAGATGAAGCCTTTTATTTGACCCTAGTTTACATTTCTATTAAACACGGATTGAGATGCGTTTATAATTACGTACTTCAAAAAACGAACTGCGAAACGAAAATTATCGATATACGTATCCGTAAACGTAACGAGATACGGATGCGGATACGTTTTAGCTAATTCGTTTTGCGAAACCTCTCTAATTTCTCACTGGGCGACTCGCATGAAGCAGTTGATTTGCTATCATTTCAAATTCCATTTAGAAAACTTCAATGATGAAAAATCGATTCTAACTTGTTGCTTCCCTTTAACGTTTAAGCCTACGTCTCTTCGTGTTTTTCAAGTTGATGGTCAATGGGGTCCATGGGTTGACTACCCAAGATGCAGCAAGTCATGTAATGGGGGAACAGAGGGTAGATACAGGGTCTGTAATAGACCTCGTCCAAAATTAGGGGGCAAACAATGTGAAGGTCCTAGATCCGAGTTGACGCCGTGCAACACGCAACCTTGCCCCCCGAGTAAGTAAATCGGAAACACTCAACCGTGCCACGTAACTAAATATTTCTGCATACATTCTACAGAAACATGCAAGTGATTTTTTACTTTATTGTGATGCTTTTCTGATATTTCATTCGCGCTACGATTCTCTTTATCAAATGAATGTGCTGATGATTGTGCTGACAATTGTGCCGACGGTTGTGCCGACGGTTGTGCCGATTGTGTTTTAGTTGACGGTGGTTGGAGTTCATGGACTAACCCTGACCTAGCAATGTGTTCTGTGTCGTGTGGTGGAGGCTGGAAGACTAGAAAACGTTGGTGTGTCAAACCTCGTCCTTTGAATGGAGGTCAGAAATGCCAAGGAGAAGGACGAGAAACCCTTTCCTGTAACACTCAGCCATGTGAAGAGCCCAAAAGACGAAGTAGCGTATTATTCAACGTTTCTTAAATAAATTGAATTTGTGATGTTACATAAATTCATCTTTATCTAGTCTTGCGTCGAATGGGATTAAATGGGGGGGGGAGTGGGATTGAACTCGAAAAAATTGATGCAAGATTAAACATTTGTCACAAACAGTAACCGTACAATTGGTATGTTTCAGCAATATCCAACGAGTGTATCGAGTGTCTGTGCAGAGTAAGTGTGCTTTATTTCTTAACTCGAGCTCATTTAATTATAATTTTTGTGAAGTAGGCTATATTGGGCGGGGGGTCACAGTCTTGAACCAGGACTAATAATTTCGCTTAATTTGGAAAGGAAAATTGATTGACTTCTACGACTAGACAATAACATTATACCATTAAATATGGAACAAGTAATAACCCGAGGTAATAATAATCAAACAGTAACTATGTGCTGTAAAACACACGGGAGATAAGCAAAACGAGGGCGAAGCCACGGACTGCGACTAGCGTAACTTTACACCGCAGCCCAGCGCCAAAATGGAGGGACATCCGTCAGTGCCTTCTGCTTCTTCCGACAAAATAGAGAAATCCAGGTATTTTAAATGCTAACGTAGTGTCTAATCGGTGACCAAAATATTACTCTGTATCTACTGTTGGTCTGTAGATAAGAAAATAAGCAGTTGTCCAGATCAAGCTAAAACATTAGCAAAGTTCTGATTTTACCTGTTAAATATGTGCATATTATTTAATTTACTATACATTTGAAAGGAGTTTTAACACGTTTCTGATATCTAAAGGTTAGTTGAGGCTACGAGTATAATTCGTGAAAATGATTTGATAATAGAATGTGTTCATGAGGAGAAAATTAGATTCAAACTTCGCATTCATAGTGGACGCAGTCCAGTAAACAAAGCTATTTCAACAACGCAACACAGCCTCCATTGATATTCTAAGCAACGCAGTCCAACCGCGAACACGAAATACATAAGATAGTGTAAACTATATTCCTACGCTATTATTGTTTCAGGAAAAGAAACTCAGCATCCAGATTATCATTCAAAGTTACGTTGATTAACATATATTTTTTACCTGAATCAATGTCCCAAATTGCTATATTTTATCGTTTAAGACCTAGAAATATGGCAATTCAATAGCGTATTTGGCAGAACAGTCGAGCGCAAGATGACAACGTAATATGTTTATTACAAACCAATTTGTGGATAGGGTTAAATATATAGATAATTGGATAGTGGTGAGACTTTTTATAAGAAGTAGAAATGCGAAACAATTAACTTTTTGATGATGCAATAAAAGCTGTTGGGGAAGGGTACATTAACTAGTATTTAAGATATCAGGAAAATATCAAATAATTGGAGAGTTGGTGAGTTAATGTAATTTTGGATGATCTTTCCAACAGTCCATCAATATTGCTAGCTACCATAGATTCATGATTTCAGCTGTATTTGACAGCTTGTATATATTTGCAGAATGGATTGAGACACGATGTAGGTCTATTAAATAGCCCTTTATATTCAATTTTGTCCAAAGTTGCTCCATTTCGGCCACACCTGTACACACATTGTGCTATCTACCTTTGGCTGTGATTGCGTTCAGCTTCAGATATAAAGCAACACTGAGTCGCGGACTGCGTTGGGCAGATGGATGGACTGCGACTATTATAAATTCCAATGTTCTATGTAATTGTACGTTTTCCGCTTACCAAATATCACACGAAGATGTAATTGTAACAACAGAACATGAATAATTATATTAATTCGATGTCATTTCTGATTCTTTTGTTTAAATCGGTATATTAGGGACAAATATTGACAAAATTACATTTTTTGTGGCAGATTTCGAATTCATTTGTGTTCATGCTAAACTATTGGACAGCCGAGTACCAAGAATGCCATATGCAGGTGGAGTAGCCTATGAATATGTTGATCACCGACTGGAACATACTAGCTATTCTGTAGAATATCCAAACCAATAATCTACCCCAAATCCTAACATGCCTTCCAAATTAAGTTTGGACTTACCGCCATTGTTCAGCTATAATGCGTTGTAACCTCGTTTTGAATTACGCGAGTCGCAGTCCGTCGCTTCGCCCTCGTTTTGCCATCCCCCGTGAAACAATAACCAACGTGATATATCAAAAAATTCTCTTGATATTGGGCTCAGCAGATGTTTTCAATTTCGGTAATCATTTTCTATTGATCTAGGGGCCTTGGGACCAGAAAAATTGGGGCTGTGAGGCTGCGGCTGCTGCTAATAACAAATATAGGATCAGTACTTCCTTTTATATCGACTGCGGGAAACCTGGTTGGAGTAAGTTTTTATATTGTTGGAAACATTTAGGGTTATAGCTTAGGGCTATTCGGGGGGAGGGGATCGAGACAAAACATTTTTTCGGGGTACGATGAAGCGCATTTCGTCAAACAGTGTACGCAGATTCTAGTTACAAAAGACGAAGCTCTCTTTTAAGAAGTGAAGTCGAACGAATGCAAAGGGTAAGTTTTCCGGGTGTTTATATAACAAATCAACAGCCCTTGTTTCCTTAGGAGGGGGGATATTTCTTTTATGGACTTGTTGGCACATTCAATAACAGTGATAAGAATGAAATAGTGCAACGACACAACACGCACAACACGCACATCACGCACAATCACTTATCTCAATGACTAAACTCGATCGCAAGTCTCAAAGGCATCTGGCCGAGACACACCTCTGTGACCATTGCTAAGACAATGGATAAGGACAAAATAGAAGATTATACGACATCAAATCGACATTAGGGATTACACCCAGGGTATGACACAATCAAATTATATGCACATAGACATTCACAAACGGAAGAAATAAACTTGTCATAAACAAAAATAATTGAATTGCCCATTGAATGCCCATGATAAAATCTAATTTTATACAACAATTAGTCTTGTATCGAATCCCGTAACCATTTTGTGTGTGTATAGGAGAGACGGAATGTGTGGGCATGTGATATATGAGGCCTACATGAACGGAATCTTGATGAAAGACTAATAATATTTAACTTTGATTTGAAGATTATGAAGAATGCGTTGCCAATGAGGAGTGTTCAAAACATTGTATACGTCGCTACATGTGGAAGTATGTCCCAAGGAAGTGTTACCCAAACTTCAATGCCCGCGAGGCACCCGAATGTGAAGACTATGCTAGGTTAGTATAGTAATACCCGTAACAGCTCCAGTGGCGGATCTGAAAGCTAACAATGGGGGGGGGGGGCACATATCAAGTCATCAAGAATGTTTACGCACTAGTTGAAAATCACGAGACTACATTTTTTGACTGGGCTATTTAAAAATGTTGATTTCTTATCCAAACGATCGCACGAATTCATTTGTATTTCATGGCATTTTGTTTATCGGATCGCATCCTAATATCCACTGATTGTGCATCTTGCCTCCACTATTACTTCTTTTCACTATTACTTCTTCTCTTCAATGATCAATCACAAGAAATTGAATGCAATGAGCTTGTTTGATCGCCATTTTCTGATTTTTACAGGTTCCATTACTATGGCCCTGCTGGGTGTGGTACTGCAGGTATGGCTCGGGTGAACAAATTTGTACGGAGAGTCAAAAGGTGTGTTACTGGAGACGAAAATGCATCTCTTAGACCGTGGGAGGGCCACGATATTCCCTTCAAGAACCCAAAACCAATCCGTAGGACGACGACGCCAAGGAAATAAATGATATTTGTATGAAAATGTGTTGAATAAATATATCAACAATTTACGAGGTGACTTATTTTTGTCTGTTAAGGTCAGGGTGCATGATGGGAAATTTTCTGCATTCCTCAATTGAGTCACATGTTATTTTTCAAACAAGAATCACTCCTTCCCCACATTGCCTATATCTTCCAGTTTTGCACAAAGAGTGCACTTGTGTGCCTAGAAAAGACTTGTGAGAAGAATGTTTTGATGAAGTGTATAAAAAACAAGAAAATACGGTGAAGAAAATTTTCAGAAATTTTTTTCACTGAATTTTCTCATTTTTTATACATTTTACAAAACAAACCTTCTCACAAGGCTTTTCTAGGCACATAAGTGCACTCTTTGTGCAAATTTGGAAGATGTAGACAATGTGGGGAAGAAGTTATTCTTTCTTGAAAAATAACATGTGACTCAATTGAGGAATGCAGAAAACTTCCCAACATGCACCCTGTCCTTAAACGTATTTTACAAAAACAAGAACTTATTATTGATGATGAACTTTTGAAACTTTTATTACATGATTTTAGATTAGTGCGCTATACTGGAAAATTCCTGAATGCTGCTCTTATCAAAAGAGCAAGCTTCGTTTAATAATCTTATCATAATATTGTTTTTCAAATATATTGTACAATGTGCCCCATACGCCTAAAATAGGCTGGGTATTCTATACGAGACACTTCAATATACAAAAATACAATTATATCTTAGAATGACTGATATTTTTTCCCGGATATTTTTGAACTGGACATTTATAATTATTGACTCAATAAAAAAGTTATTTAAAAAGAAAAAACAAACAAAAACCTGTAAAATTTTGCATCTTGCGAATATTATGTTGACAAGATGTGATTGCCAGCATGTTGAAAGCCATGTTTTCAATAATGCAGAGAAAAACTTTCTACTACAAAACAACCCCAACTGCCGCTGGCCTGACAGATTGGTATGGGAACAGGTTCACAAGTTGAGACCCCGAAAAAATTGAAAAGACCAATAGGCTAAATTGAAATAAATCACATAGTTTTGATCCTTGAATCGCTCAGACGGATGCGCCAAATAAGCCCAAAAATTCAAGAACGCGCGCGCTTAATCAGCCTAGAAATTCTGATTCCCGGGGGAGCATGCTTCATGTGCTTGCTCGGCCTATACGGCTTCGCGTACTAGCCTATATACATGTACATGTACTAGAGCATTGCACCATTCGATCATCCTAGCTACGTCCACAAGCCGTAAAATAATTGAATTATTTTACAACTTTAATTTTGAGTTCTGTTTCTTCTAAATCAACCAAATACACCCGAACGAGGGTTGTCCCATAAGTCTTGAAATTTTTACTCTAATTCAAAAAGATTTTAATGAATTTGGCTGAAAATTGGTATGTATCAAGATCAATCAATTATCTTCAACATGTGATAGTTTCATAACAAAATTATGAACTTTAGTAATTATTATGGTTGCTATGGTAACCGGGGGGGGGGCAGTAATGAAATATAGTAAAAATGTAAAATGTAGCCATGGGAGTATTAAGGATTTTAAAGGATGGTATGCATCTTAAATTGTGAATCACCTGTCAAGATTGACAAAAACACTGTATTCTTGGTAAAATCTCATGACGAAATGCCTCTGTGATGTCATAATAAACTAGCACAATTGCTCAATTTTGGTACAGAGCCACAGCATTTTGAAAATCAAAATGGCAGGGATTTTGTCACCAGATGTTAAATCTCTGTGTGCAGTTGTGCAATACCACGCCTCCTTAGGGCATACACCTACACAAACAAGAATAGCCATGGAAAAAGTATATAGACAGGCAATAAACTCCGAGTGCACCTACAATATGGAGGTGGCAGAAACTGGAGATACCAGCCTGGAGGATGCTCCCAGAAGTGGAAGGCCAAAATCCAGTCACAATCTCATCTCACATATTGCAGAGAGTATAAGGGCTGAAAGGAGACTTTGATATTAGTAAGAGTACTGCTCATAGTGATGAAGAAAGACCTTGGGATGTCAAAGGTAGCCCCTAGATTCGTTCCACATATTCTGACAGAGGAGCAGAAAAGGCAAAATGTTGAGCTGAGCCAGTGGTTCCCAAATCCTTAATTTTTACATCATATTTGTATTTTTTATCCTGTTTTCTGCCCCGGGTACCCCCAACATACCATTTTAAATCATCTGTAACATTGCCATATATATATGCTATGAAACTTACAGAGAAAGTAGAAATATATCTAAGTTACAAAATGTGAGATTTTTATCATTGTATCCCAAATATTCTATGAATTAGAATAGAAATTTCAAAACTTATGGGACAACCCTCGTAATAGGCATTTAAAAAAATTGGGCATTATTTTTCAAAAAGGCCCTAATTTTTCTTCCGCTGAAATTTTTGGGACCCCTCGGACTTATTTTCGGGGCCACCCCGTGTCTTATTAATAACATCCTTGATTAAAATGCGAAGTATTAAACATAAAACATATGATAACATTTTTATATCTGACCCCTCGGACTTATTTTCGGGGCCACCCCGTGTCTTATTAATAACATCCTTGATTAAAATGCGAAGTATTAAACATAAAACATATGACAACATTTTTATATCTGGATCGGGGGGGGGCTCGACGAGTCCCCATCCCGCCCTTACCAAAAGTTGGATACGGGCATAGAGATGCAGAACCCCCCTGGAACCCCCTGGGCTTACCGTCACTGTATCGTGGCAAGCAAGTATTGGCTAGAGACTCGAGTAACCCTGGGCGGGCCCATGGGCACTGTTCGAGGCCGGAGTGTAATGAGTACGGGATGAATCGGAGTCATAAAATCTGAATCAATCATGGCGGTCATCGCGCCTCCTTTGTCTTGAAAGCAGGATCCGGCCAACGGAAAGGCAATGTGCAGATTAGGCCTAGGCCCGGTGTGAAAGAAATTATGGTCCCCTGGAGTCCGTTTTTGTACCGTTCGTAGTACGAACGTTCGCAATTCGTAAATTCGTAAATATTTAAAAAGTTACGAATGAGTTACGAATTCGTAAAGTTGCGAATGGATCATTTTTGTACGCTTTCGTAAGTCATTCGTAACTTTCCAATTGTTTAGAGTAAGATTTACGAATTGGTTGACGTCATATTCCACAGTTGTCAGGACAGATAGTACAACAAACAGGGTTGATCAAAATAATTACACGGCCGCGCCTGGAGAGCCTTAAAATTTAAGGCTCTCTAGCCAAAATGCTAAAGAGCCTTAAATTTTTAGGTTCTTTAGCATTTGGGCTAAAGAGCCTTAAATTTTAAGGCTCTTTAGCATTTTGATAGCCAATTCTGCTAGAGAGCCTTAAGGAATTCCAGGCGACAGAAATGACGAAATATTGCTTTTGGGACAAGATCAAACGACTTTGACATATTCTATACCCGACCTATTTTGTAATTTAACAATCAGCACAAATATACATACCATATTAGCAGATATCGGACAAATTCAAAAAGAAAATTTTTTTGATCGATAAAATCACTGATTATTAAACCGGAAGTGACTTCTCTGAGGTCCGCGAAGATAAAGAAGATAACATATAAAGATTTCAGTCATTTCCACTAACTTTGCCGTCGATTTGAATGGTTTTAAATGATCTTCTCATGCTTACTATGACTTCTATTAGTACTGTTTTGACTTCCCCACTTCATAAAAAACATTATCACTTTTTGCTCGACTCATAAATTTACTTCCGGTCTACTGAGAGAAATAAGAGAACATTTTCAATCCCCAGTCTAAATTTGGCTTTTAAAGGTTCAAACATCGACTTTGAAAAGTAAATGTTTGTTTGTTTGATGTTCATGCATATCGAAAATATATGTCTCTGGTTCACCAGAGAAGGTGTAAGACCAGGCAATAATGTATATAGCCAGAAAAATGTTATTTTTACCATTTTATCCACTATAAATCGCAACGTCCGTTTAAAGTAAAGATTTTGATGTATAGACATTTATTGATGGATTGGAGGCTAGGATAAAAATGTTGTTGTTGTGTTGCATAAGCCGCTGTTTCCTCGACAGTTCACCTCTTGTACTGTAAATTTTCTTTGTGCTGTGTGCTTACATTCTGAGGAAGATCTGAGACTAACATATTTTATGTTAGTCTCAGGGAAGATCAAATCCAGAAATCTCCGGTCACTTTCTTTATCAGGAGAGCTGTCAACACATCTGATAAGAAGTGTTCTTAGCAGCTCTAGTGAAACTTGATGCTATGTTGGTCTAATACAAGATGCAGCCTACTTGTAAATAAAATACGTTATCCATGTAGGTAATATATGGTTCAACAAAAAACAGCAACTAAAAAACAACAACTAAATATGAGAAACTTATGTGGTATATGCCATATTTATGTGTCTGATCATATAATCTTCAAATTATCCATCAATTTCTTAAGAAATTGGCGAAATTAAGGAAACCAGAAATCACATTTAATGAAAGGGCGGTGTTTATAGGCTGTATGAAATGCCCCTGCATTAACGCTCACATATATGAGTTTTAAACAATAATTTAGTAGACTAAAGTGTTGATACGAAATCTCAGTAATAGTACCAGTTAGGAGATAAGGTGATGTCCGATTTAACATTACGATTGCTGGATATGATGCAAAAATATCTCGTCACGTGAAAAATTCTAAAATCAGCATTGAAATCTAATGGGCAATAGATTTGGAAGTGTATTCTGTGATGTCCCTGCATTCACGATAAACTGCGTCAAGATGTGCTGATCTAGAAGAAACAAGATCCTTTTTCATCCCCACCCGGTCTTCATCATACTTTTTGCTTTTTACTTTTTTCTTAAAATGGGATTCCCTGTATTCTCGTGACTATAGTAAAGCCGATACAAGTGATTAATTTCATTAAACATTGATGATTGAGCGATGGAGCAAGCCCAAGAATTCTAGAAAAAATTGTGTACATAATATACGGACATCAGAGAACCGGGCGGAGAACAAACTTCCGGCTTTTTATTCAAAATAAAAAGTGCTCCATCGGGG